TTGAACTTTCTACACATTTAGAACAGAGCCTGAAGGTTTAGGTACAGTCACTCTATTAGAAAAATATATTTTAAAATACAACAATTCATGGTATTCCACCCTACTTTCGAAAAGAGAAGGGAGTTTCTCCTGGTGTCCTGGCCAACAAATCCCCTAAATAAAATCGATCACTCACTGCTGTCTGTCTGTGTGATATTGCTGTGGGATGACACCCAATTCCATTTCTCTGCCTCCACCCTTCAGGACCACTGCTGTCCTGACAGAATGTCTGTCAGACATCAAGTCCTGGATGAGAGCTAATTTTCTTCAGTTGAACATCAACAAGACCGAGGCTCTCCTGATTGGTTCCTGTCAGCGCCTCCTCACCAGTTGACAGCATCACCATCCATGGTTGCACACTCCACCTTATTAAACCAGTCCAGAACCTGTGGTCTTGTTTGACCCTCAACTGTCCTTTCTGCCCCACACCCTTGCCATGACCCGCTCTGCCTTCCCCATCTCCACAACATCGCTTGGCTCTGCCACTGTCTCACACCACTGGCTGCCAAAACCCTCATCCACACATTCATAACATCCAGGCTCGACTATGCAAACTCCTTGTTTGTCGGCCTCCCCAACTCCTCCCTCCAAAGGTTGCAGATCATCCATTTCTTATGTTCTTCTGGGGATGAGGTGATGACTCCAGAATGGACTATCAGAGAGCAGGGCAGAATGCCTGAAAGCTCATCCGCCAAATGGTGGGGTGGATAGCGCAGGGCATTAAGGCATGATGAACAACAACAACTTGCATTTATATAGCACACTTCATGTAGAGTAGCGTCTCAGAACATTTTATGTGTTGTACCACAACTCCTGCTAACAGATTTTTTATTGGTTTCCCCCTTGTCCAATTTTCTCAAGCATTCCCTGAAGGCAGTGGCTTGGGTTGGGCAAGCAGTCCGTAAACACTGGATGCCCTCGGTACTTTAGGTCAAGCATTTATTCTTCATGGCTGAACCACGGCTGTGAGTGAGTGTTGGCAGGTATTCAGCTGAAAGCGAATATCACAGCTGTGCCAATCCTTTCCTCAGCAAACATTCACAGATACATATTTTCAGCAGGAACCTCGGCTGATTTTTGCCTTCCTAGCCCAAGGGCACTGAAGCCAATTGTGGTGCATTTGCTGATGCCAAAGCTGAGATGAATTAACTCGACTCAGGGCTATATGGCTCAGTTTCACATCAGCAGTGACTTTCCCATCTGAGCTATTGGAGGAGCAGTTACATTAATGCTGAATTTCCGGGCAAGCCTTCTATAGGTAAACATGTTCCAAATAGAGACATTTTCTCAGGATACTGTGTAAAGAACAGATTCTTCCATTTTGTTTGAAGAGCCCTGCACAGATGTATAATTTTAGAAGATACGAGCAATTATATATTAAATTACATTTTAAAAAGAATTACCAATTTTGGCTGTTGGTGGGACATTGCTGTGCTCAATTGTGCTGCCATGTTTGCCTACAAATACAGTCACTCATTTCACAATAATTCCTGTGAAGCGCTTTGAGACGTCCTTCTGACGTGATAAGACGCTAAACCAAATGCAAGGATTCTTATTATTATTATTACATGGTAATGTCAGATGGTAAAACTCAAAAAAAATAATTGTATTCCAGTTAACAAAAGTCCAACTACGATAGGGCTTCACAGGGTTATAAAATGAAGGTACTGTATCAAGGTTTCAGTAAGTCTGTTAGGAAATGGCTTGGCTGGATTCCATTTCCATAGATAAACTAATCCAGCATTTCATGGCTTGTAATATCTGTCTCCATTCTCCACTCAAACAGAGCATTATCAGGCTTATATCATAAGATGTTAGTATACACTATGATGTTAAAAAACACAAGATAATTGTTGTTACGGTCTGCAATGGCCTCGCCCCACCCTACCTGATGGAAGCAGATTCGATAATAGCTTTGAAAAGGGAATTAGATAGGTACTTAAAAATGAAACATTTGCAGGGCTATGGGGTAAGAGAGGGGAGTGGGACTAGTTGGTAACTCTTTCAAAGAGGTGGCACAGGTACAATGGGCCAAACGGCCTCCTTTTATGCTGTAAGATTAGATCAATCAATTACCTCTGATTTTCTATCAACTAAAAAATCAGATTACATAAATGACTGCCTTCTTTAAAGTAAAATGTTTTATACAATTCATATAGCAAGGTCAGAATTTCTTGCTAAGAGTATTGATTTCAGTGTATAAACCTGTAATTATAAATTATGATTAGAAAAAGTAAAGACATTCACAGTTAAATGCTAATGGAACAGGATATAGCTTCAGGAAGGGTAAACATATTTATTCCAAATTCTGGCCTGCTTCATGTCCTCCACCCAATCCGCCCTAATATTGATGGACAAGTTTTCAGACAATCTGTCCCCACTCTCTGCAAATCCATCCTGGAGTGCCTCCCTTCACTTCCTTTCTCCCCGTCTTCAATACCTACCTTAAGAATTCTCTCTTTCGCCCCCCTTTACCCCATCTCTTTCCCCTTCTCTCAGCCCCCAACCCCCACACCCACCTTCCTACAACCCTGCTCAGGTTCCCAGTTAGCTGGGTTAATCACTTTGAGATATCATCCCAACAGGAAAGGAGCTCCATAAATGTAATTTTTTATTGAAAAACCATAGATCCCACTTTCCATTGAGTAGCTGAACCACCACCTTCCAAAGTGCAGTTTGGATTGCTGCCCTGTGCTGAGCCAGCTGATCTCAGCTGGGTCGTCGCCAAGTGTTATAATTCGCTTCAGAAAGGGAACACATTCCAGCAGGACTCCAGGTCCTGATTGCGATCCATTGACTCTGCTGGAAGTGTATGTAGGTCAGTAAAGATAGGAGGGGTTTCGGCTGCAACACCTTTTCACCTGGCCTGCTGACGATCACCGTCGAGGCTTGCGCGTGAATAAGTAGCATATATTTATATACTTTGTAGTACAAGGCCCAGAATTTTTCAGGAAGGCAAGAGCATCAAATTGAGCACTGTCATCAATTTCCAAATCTGCCCATATAAATCACACAGAATAAAGCTTTAAAACATGAAATGCTCATATCTCTTTTTTAAGTCAAAAGCAGAATGTCAGGCGAGAGCAGAACCATCTGTTTGAATTGTTGTCCTGGTTGGACAATAAGACACAGAACTGTCTTACAGCAACTAGCATACTGGCTCTGCTTAATACGATTGATTATCGATGAACTCATTCATCATTTAACCCAATTACGATTTTTTTGGTGTTCCTACTGTAACATAGTTGCTCAAAAATATCCCCACTGTCATTATTAAGCAGAATGACTCACAACAATTAGGATCCCCATAATATGTAGTGCATGAGTTTTAAATGAGTTTAACATCCTTCATGTTCAACCAAGGTCCTGTCTGCCTGTTCAGGTGGACGTTATGATCCCATGGTACTATGCAAAAAAAGAGAAGTTGGCCAGTAAATCCCCAAATAAAATTGATCACCAAGGTAGAGGGATTTGAGGAGGGAGTATCAAGCGGCAATGGCACAATGGCTGAAGACTCGGCAAATGATAGTGGTGGGTGGGGGGAGGAGGTTCAAGAAACATGTAGTGTCTTCCAGCTCAGCTTCAAGGAGACCCTACTTACCTTCTTCCCCCCACTAAGGGGAATAGTTGGAGCTGAACCTTTTGGGTGGCAGACGAGGGAGGCATAGTCCTGCTTGGAGGTGACTGGAATATTTATATGGAAAGTATAGTCACTGAATATCTGGTTGGGCAGACTGATCTGTAAGCACATTTATGAGCTTAAGCAGAAACAGAATATATTACCTTCCTATGTGCAGTAATTTAAAACCCACGTTCTATGAAGTAATGAAATCTTAACCTTTTCCACTCACAGCAAATAAAGTGTCTCCAGGCTTCTCTTTATTCCCAGGAGCACATAACCTCAGTACTGTATTTGGCTGTATAGAAAGACAAGGCTGTATATCATACTGCTGATGGCTTTCATTTCTTTGTATATAGTGGGTGTATGAACAGATACTGTCCACCATGTGTAGGCTATCCTGAAATAGAATTGCTTACTGTAAAATTTGGTGACCTATTTTGCTGAACTGTCCGCTCAGCTGGTCTCCTTATTGTCCCTCGTCCCCTCTGCTCTACCATCGGTGGTTTCAGCCACTATACCCCTCACTCCCACTGCCTTGCCCCCTCCTCCTTTTTCAGATTACCCAAGGACCTTCTACTTTGACTATGTTTGCAATCACCTCCTCCCTCTCCCAGGCTTGGTGTCAAGCTCCGCCATTGTTAACCTTCCCGTTACTCCGCGAAGGGCTTTATATAAATGCATGTTGTTGTTGTACATTTATATTTAAATTTGCAATGGTCATGGCAGAACTACTGAAATGTTAAGCAGAAAGATCTTCCAGGGAAGATCCCAGATAACTCACTGCTCAATTGTACTTGATACTCTATAAATGCGATGCAGAATTCTGTTATTCTAACCACCACATCCAACCTCTGCTGATGCACTAAATACATGTTTTAGTCAGCCTCAGTTGGGTGTCTCAAACATGCAGAAATCCATCATCGTGGTTAACAGTAACTAAGCTAGAAAGAGTTCTACATATGTAATGTCACGTATGCCTGAAAATGTCCATGTCTGGAATGAAATGCACACTCTCTCCCTGGAGGAATGTGTCCTTCTTACCTAATTCCAGAGAGTGTTAGCCTTTGGATCCCCAGTGTGCTTTTGTAGTACTGTGAGCGCTACCCTTCACATGATGGCTTTGGCTGTCAGGGTTAACAGGAGCTGAGTGGGAAGAATCCCTGCTCCCAGGAACCAGTCTGTCCCTCCAAGCCTGCCGACAAGCCTGGCTGGATGGTTTATCATCTGCAGTGCCCTGGAGTACTACGGATGCATCTGGCTCAAGAACTAGACTACCGAGACTGCCACAGAGGCTTAACTCGATATAGTAAATAATGAAAGCTACCAATTACTGAACAGGTGTGATCCAGAATTCATTTTAATATTGACTCAGTAGTTTTAATGCCATCATTCAGGAAGGTAAATATTTTCAAACCTAAAGTAAATTATCGTACAATAACTATACTAGATATATTTATTTAAAGTAATAGAGTATACATACAGGCTCATCTTTAAAGAAATTACCTTTTTCAAAGAAAGTATCCATAACAATGATTTAGACTTTTTAAAAATGATTCTAAAGACACTTAAATGATATCATTTTTAAATTATATTCGCATGAAGGGCATTGACAAATCTCCTATAGATATACTCTGTGCACTATCCGACATATGCATGCGCACAACAGCAAGGTATTTTAAAAAGATTTAAGATTACACAAAAGCACAATATTTGGATACGTTTCTGTCCCATTTCGCCTGCTCAAATTGTGTGTCTACTTTGAGTCACAGAGTAAAGCCACTCCTCGTAGCGTCCAGTGATCAGGATTGTGTAATGTTTTCAGATAGAGAGAGAAGATATAGGTCAGATCTGTACGCCTGGGCTTTTTGTACACAGGGCAAGAGTAGGGTGCCCCCTGCTGCTTCTTCAAATCAAGAGGAGCAGTGGCACAGATTGCGTACACATGCACTACAGGCAACAATGTGAACAAAACCTGCAATGACAATTGAAAGTGAAGAGTTAATGTTGTGGAAAGATTAAGCAAAGCAAATTACTGTTAAGTCATTAAAGTATAAAACATCAAATCATTATCATCATTTGCTAACCAAAATTGTTTGGCTCACAAAATACACAGTCAACAATCACTTTACAGTAAATCTCTTGAAGCGCTTTGAGACATCTTGACGACCTGAAAGACGCTATGTCAAATGCAAGGATTATTTATTATTATGAATCATCAAAATACACAACTAATATTAGTCAAAATTAGTGTAATCATTTTCTTTACCTACAATATTGCAAAACAACTCAATAACCTGGCTTCCATTTAGATAGGATAAGCAAAAAATAAAGTAAATACCATAAAAGTAATTTGTAATGTTTCCTTATTTATTTCTAATAACACAAACCTTGGTATTCATTATGTGGATTTGACTGGATAATGCAATAATCTAACTAATCAAATAGAAATGAGCATCAATTCCAAGCCATTGTTTGAAAAGCAATTTATTGTACAGTAAAGTTTAATTTTTTGATTTAAAAATTCAGAATATAATCTACAATGAAGAAAAAAAATGAGATTGTGCACACTTTATATATATTTGCCTACAAATAGACATAAACTACACTTGACAGAGAAACTCTGAAGTGCTGAAATGTTTAAGTGTTATAGGTGTATATCAAATGCAGAGAACATTACTTAATCTATCCACCAGTTCTTCAATTAATGACTTAACACTTACATTAATATGGTATCCAACTAAACACAGAAGAACACATAAAGAGAGATTTCTCCTGAGGGGAGAAATTACACATGATTCTCAATGGAGGGAAAGCAACACAATGACATTTCTTCATTAAAATCTGGAATAGCCTGCTTAGGGCTACTTGTGGAAACAAGATTACTGTGTGCAATGTCAGTAAAGGTTTGTAGGGAATTAAGACAGGTGGAACAGCTGTGTCTGAGAGGTCTAGATGGGCGCATTTAGTCCTGTTTAGAATTGACATTCAAATGAACTCGGGTCTGAGAATTCAGCCACAGCACTGGCTAGAGTTAATGATTCAACTTGCAATCGACTGCAGGGGGAATGAACTGTTCATTTAATACTGATGAAACTTGTATTCAGTGTTCGATCCATGAGAATAAAAGATAAAACACAGGCTTTAAGCGGACTCAAGCCACATGTTGGGACTTTGTTTGTCTGCCTGTCCTGTCTGCCTGTTCAGGTGGACATTAAAGATCCCATTGCATTGCTTGAAAAAAAAGGAAGTTTCTCCCAGTGTCCTGGCCGACAATTCCCCAGATAAAATTGTCACTCCCCAAAAGCAAGATCCTTTTTTCTTTTTTGTGCCAGACAATATTACTCCCTCCAAGTGCAGCAAAACTGAATAATTTGGGTCATTCATTCAATTTATGTGTTAATCTATATAACAGTCGCTTAACTTCAAAGTAACTCAAAGTGAAGTGATTCAAGCCTTTTTTGATGTGATAAAGAACTACAATTTGCATTTATATGGTAGCTTTCATGGAGAGAGGATGTCTCAATGTGCTTTACAAAGATTAAATAGGAGATCTTGTTGGGAATTAGGAAAGGCAGAGGGGAACTGGCCTAAAGTGCAGTAAAAAAGATGAATGTTTATATGGGAAGCTGAGAGGGAGGCGATCAGTTCCAGTGGACAGGGCAAAGTGACTAATAGCTCTTCCCTCCCAATGGTGGGGTGGATTGGGTCAGAGGTGGTGGACCAGAAGGAGTGCTGAGGGAATAGCGTGACAGAAGATTATTGAAGTACAATGGGCAAGCCCATTTAAAAGCTAAGGACAGGAACCTTAAAGTTAATTCACTGGAGAAAGGAGGCAGGGGATCAGGGTGAGGATGGGCTCACTTTCATTGATAATTTTTTTAATGTATCTCTCTATCTGTCTATTGCAGTTCTTACAATAATTATCTATTGTTAGTGTATAATACAATATAATAATGCTTGCATTTTATATAATGCTTTTCATGTCAGGAGGACGTCTCAAAGGACTTTACAGGAATATACTGTAAAGTGTAGTGACTGTGAAATTTGTAGGCGAACAACATATGGTTAAAATAATTCAAGTTTGATAGATTTCACTGAGTGATTATATTATCCATGAGAAATAGAGGAACATATGGAAGGTGATTACATTTGCATATTAAACATATGGGAAAACAAAGGCATGTCCTACAATTCAACTCAATATTCCTTCACTCTTCACATAATATGGGGAAATTAATGCTTTTCTTCAAGCTCTCCCTTGGGTGACATTTTGTGACCAAGGAGATGTGCAGGCAACCAGCTGTTAGCTTCTGCCAAAGCCACGACTTAACCAGTTGGAATGTTTAACAGAACGGCAGATTTTTCTCTAATTTTCCTGTGGTAAATTCTAAGAGTCATTTTACAGCATAGAAGATGGTCGTTCAGCCACTACATCTGTGTGGTGCTCATTCCCCGACTGGAGCTACCTGCTGGAATCTCATTCGCATTGAACACACAATGCAACGCTGCAGAATTCTACAAAGAGCTCTCAAACTTACCGGTAACTTAGACCATGATGGAATACCTCATGTTTGATTAACCTAAGAAGCAGGAAAATGTTGATTTCCCGTTGTAACTGGCTTACAATATCAATTACAAATCTTGACAAAAGTGTAGATAAAGCTTCCCCCAGATCCCCCAGTCTTTTTTCAAGCACATTATACTGAAGGGAAATCATTTTTCTGGTTCACACTACTTGTGAAGAGAGTTCAATATGACTCATAATAAATGTGAAATTCTCCCTGAATTTGTAAATCATGAGCCCTATCAAATTGAGACGGCAAAGTTTCCAAACAATGATATGAATACTAAGCCATAGAGGTTGATTATGCGATCTTAAAGGTGTTTTGCAACCGCAGTTCATTATATTCTTTAGCTTATTAATAGTAGATTACAATCCATGTGTTAAAATAATAATAACCATTTTATTTCATTGACTTTTTGTTAAGTATAAATCACATATTTTATAGGATTCAGCTCACATCATTCACTGTTAGCTATTCCAAGCAGCAGAAATCCCGGATCAAATAGTCTTATTATATTACAAAGAAATGCTTTCATGACACCAGACCCACTAGTGAAATAGCTTGGATGCTCCTTCATATAAGCTAGTATGAGGTTAAGTAAAACAGATCCAATTTTAATATAATATTAATACCCATCCACCCCCAATGCTGGATACTCCAAAACCCATATTTTCCCTATATGTGTTCCATTATGGAGAAGTGACACTAGTGACTACCCTTTTATGGGGAGCTGGGGTAAACGGGATCTTCTTGGGCTGAGCTGGCTCCAAGGTAATGGGTTTGGCAATGAAATATTGGAAACTGTGGTGCCCTTGATAGTCTGATTCCTAAGCCAGATGGGTCCACAGTACTCTAGGACACTGCAAACAACAGTCCAACCAGCCTGGTTCAATGGGAGATGATGGAGAAGCAGACTGGAGCTGGGATTCTTCTCACTCGGCTCCTGATAGCCCTACAGGTCCTAACGGATGGAATGGTCCTAGCTGGTTAAACAGCAGGTAACCTGCCAGACAGTGCTTACAATGTAACTCCTGTAGCTCAGTGGTTAGAACATTTGCCTTGTAAGTGAGAGACCTGGCTTTGATTCCCGGCAAGGGGAAACCTTGGGCAAGTTTCCTTACTCTTAAAAACAATAATAAATTGGTCATTTCAATCCACGACTGTTTGTGGAAAACTGCTGTGCGCAATTGGCTGCCGCTTTTCGCCCACAAATATACAGTCAATTCACTTTACAGTATATTCTGTGAAGCACTTTGAGACATCTAGAAGACGTGAAAAGCACTATATCAAATGCAAGGATTATTATTATTATTACAATGCCAAACTATGGGGTTTTAGCTGGTTAAACTCCAGTGGTACCCTAATCGCAAACTCTGGGTCCCCAAGCCTTGGATCGTGCCAAACTGTACCTAATATTTTCTGGAATTAAGTAAGCAGGGCAGGTCTCTAGTGAGTGCACAGTCCATTCCAAACACAGAAAAAGTTCTATGCATGCATATATGAAACTGTCTGATTTGGATACTCTTAATTAAGGAAATAGGTTTCTTCATGTGAGATAAGACATCCTGCTGAAGTACATTTATTATTGTCTCCTCTGTGTTTTATAATTATAAACTGCCTATCCTCATTTACCACATTGTACAGTAAAGGTAATGGTGAGAATTAAAAGGCAATAAATGTATTGCATCTGCTGAATGCTTGGATCTCATCCAATTCCAAGTCTACAGATTGTTATTGCTGTGGAGTAAACCTTTTTTTTGTCAACGGTGGAAAGAAATCCATTCACGTTCTTGTTGCCAAAATATGGAACAACCCAAAATCCTAATAACATCACATCCTGAATAATGTATAATCTGCTTTGTCATGGACTCAACCAAACGTAAATACCTAGATTTCTTTCATCCTGGAGTATCTACCCTGACGAATGCTTCCATGGGAACATATGATCTGGAGTAGGCTATTTGGCCTAAGGAACCTGGTCTGCCATTTTATAAAAGCCGATTTTTTAAGCCGATTTCCTCACAAATTCTCTATATCCTTTAATAACCTTAAATCCCGAGTTTCTATCCATATCTCTTTTAAATATTTCTTGGACTTTGATGACAAATACTGCTCTCATCTTTGCTTTCTAAAATGCAATCCCATGTCAGTGGGGTGTGAGGGATAAACAAGAATCCGCTTACTTTTGGAGCTGATTCCATAAGTCTTATGTTTCTTCTGTCCCAGCCACTGCCCTCTAAAAACAGGCCATAGATGTAAACGCCACCAATGTCTGCAGGGGGAATAGCAGTGACATCTTCCTTCATCATTTTGGTCACATCATTGTGAAGAATAACGCTGTCCAGGGCCCAGCCCTTGTTCAGATTCATACGAGTGGTTTCCTGACGCATTGCAGTCAAAAAACCCTGTGCAGAGAAATACATATATATCAATTTCTTCATATTATATAAGAGACCCAACCAGCAAAAAACAAAATAACTTTATATAATGGTGTCAGATGAAATATGAATCAATTGCATTAATTTTCTTTGGAAATATGATTATGGATGAAATCGTACCATCAGAAATGCTGCTGTTGCTTCTAAGCAGAATTACTCCTTGGCTAGTGGTACTGTAGTAATAAATATGCCCATGCCCAACAAATATTCACCAACTACTTTCCTCAGCTCCTTTTCAAATTCCTTTCCTCAAAAGTGTAGAACTCTTTTAACCCAAATACAGAACAACCCCTTTATTATACAGTTATCCAATCTCTTGCTTTTAGAGAAGTGGAAGAAAAAGGCAGAATTCTGGGTCATCAGATTGCCACTGATTACTTCCTTCACAAATAACTTTAGCAGCACTTCCTGTACAAGGTGCTCATGCTTGGTGTGCATGTGACCAGGGCTCAATTCCCTGCAGGGCGAAACCTTGGGCAAATTTCCTTACTCCACACGTCTAATAATAATCCCTCGAGAAAAAAAAACAATAACATTGGTCACTTCAATCCATGACTATTTGTGGGACACTGCTGTGCGCAATTGGCTGCCGCGTTTCGCCCACAAATATACCGTCAATTCACTTTACAGTATATTCTGTGAAGCGCTTTGAGACGTCTAGAAGACGTGATATATCAAATGCAAGGATTATTATTATATGTAGCAATTAGGATCAGGTATCCTAGTTAATTTTCCCCTCCATACCACTGTCTCAATTAAGATCCACACCCGGTGAATGTAGGATCTTCCTGATCTGCATGGCTCAGGTTTCTATGTAGCAGTGCGATCAACAACTAAGCCATTGGAACAGTAAATCTGATGTAAATAGATTGGTGACCAAAAACTTTCGTCCAAGAATACTGTAATGGTTACTTTCTTTAGTCATTACCCTTATTTTCTTAAGAACGTAAAGCTCCTTACAATATAAATATTGCCTTCCTCTAATCATCTACAGCAACCTACACCTTTCTTAAAAAGTACTGCAGAAATCCATCTCAGAAATGAAGACTGAATTTAAGATTAATTTCCAAAATGCTGCACAATTTAAAATGTAAGATTTTTAAGGCTAGCACGATTAGAAACCTTAGGGCTCAGATGGTAATTTTGCAGCACCCTCTGCTCCCTTTGGAATGTGCCCCCACTTCCTATGTTCCAGCAGTGCCTATTATCCTTCCATAAACCATGCATAATGTGCTTCATCGTAGATGCTGCAGCACTCATTTAAACTCCTGAGAGAAATTTCTACGTAATTGCTTTCTGATTCAACCAGTGCAAAATCCCATAATAACGCTAGCGCTCAGAGCCGACAGCTAAATATGGAATCCTGTTCATCACGTATCTTTACGACCACTACTAAATGGAAATTTACGTTACAGCAGTGGTAGCCCTAGTGTAAACCGCACTGCCAACAATGCTGTTCTATTTTAAGGGCAAAACCTTCCATCAGGAGAGGTGGGTTCAGTTTTAGCTTAATAAGGAATAAGGAGATTGTAAACCATATTACAATCCGATACGATCCCCCCACCCCCAACCCCATACAGATATACACACCAGCAGCCTTGCAGGTTCCATCCAAGAGGGGCACTAATTTACAACAACAACAACAACACTAATTTAGGGATTATCTGTAAGATCTATAATTGGATTTCTCTAGTATAAGGGCTAAATACAGCCACAGCCATAATATGTTTTCTGATACTCTGAGCTGCCCACTATGACAAATGTAAATGGGGAAGCTTAGATCATTACCTTGCAGGTACAAAGAGCACAGTACACCACTTACCTCAGTACCAATGTACTCAGAGTTTAATGCATTCATCTAAGTGCAACTGAACCTCTCCAGAGAAAGCAAATTAGTATCTAAAAAAGGTACTCTCCTGAAAGATTTTGATTAATGTTCTAGTTACAGTGGGTTTTCCATTCCAATAGCTCAGTTGTTAATGATGATGCCAAACCAGAACCTGAGCAAAGCAGATCAGGAAGATGCCAAATGTAATTCACAGGGTTTGAAACTCAATTGAGGCAGTGGTAGGAAGGGGAGAATTCCTGCTCCTGATCACTTTTGGAAACTCAGCATGTTCAGGTAAGCACATGATCAAAATCGGATGTTATATCTCCCGTGCTTGATGCTCACTGTCTACACTGAACTATGAAAATGGTCACTTGAGTGAGGTACTGAAGGACAACTTGAAAGCTGTAATCTAGTAAGACTTTAGAGGAATAGAAAATGATAATGAAGGAGCATGGATTTTTTTTCTCAGTGTGTCAGGATCCATTTCACAATAACTGGAGTATTTTGAATAAGGAAATTGGGAGTATTTCTAATCAGAGGTAACAGGAAGTGGAACATGAAACTACTCAAACTCTTGTGTGGTTTTCAGAACATGGCTTCTCTGTAAGCCAGGACTACATAGGAGAGCAACAGTTCAACCCAGCTTGAATAGACAGTGGTTGGGGCTATGTGCAGACCGAGTAAGAGAGCTCTTGAGAAAGGGAACCAGAGATCCAAAGACATGCAGGGGATCGAGAAGATCCCAATAGAGATCAGAGCAAAAAAGCAACATAAAAAAATACCCATTGGAAGGTCAATATTGGAAAGTTACAATAGCAATTTCAGAACAGGAAGGCAATGATTAAGAAAACACTCTTCTGATCACTGGGGAGTGCACTAATTCACTACACTGTTGTTATAGCAACCGTAAAATAACACATTTTAACAACAGCAACTTGCATTTATAGAGCACCACTCACGCAGGTTCCCAGAGTGCTTGACAGTGGTGGAGCACTTTACTGAGCCGGGAGGGGAGAAGTGACTATAGGCATGGCCTGAAGGTGGTGAAGGAAGACCCTCAAAACGAATAATAATGGAGAAATTAACCGTTTTTGATTACTAAACCAGTACCGAGATTAACTATTTGAGTAGCTGACCTGAGGGTTAAAGAATCCAGTCATCCAGAATTGGTTTGGTCGCCCATCAAACAGCCAGGAGTAGAACTGCTGATTTCTTTCAAGCAGCTCTGTGAACCAGAACCCAAGAGTAGCAGATTCCCAGGAAATTTTGTACCACAGCTTTGGAATCCGGGCATCATACATATTATCAAGCGCATCTCTCAAGTCTTCAGACATTATGATTGTGCCTAAATTAAAAAAAAAATCCTTTAGGAAGCACAGAAAACATTTGTACAATGACTACAGGTTCTTACAGCCTTTTCTCATTCGCTGTCTTTTTTGTTGTGGCCTGACATTTTTCTCTTTCCATTAACTACTGCAATTGATGGTTAAGATTGGCAAAGCAAACCAGCCATGTAAAGTTTATTAATGGAACGTGCTATTAATTTGACCTCAAGCTATCCACTGTCATCGTTAAAGAATTTCATTGTCGCAAGGGCTTAGCTTCATCTCAAGTGCTCAGTGTTTGAGATTGCTTACATTTAATGAGCATTGGCTGGTAATTTAAATGTTCTGGTTAGTGGCTATTAAGGGCAATCTAAAGTGATAATCTAAATTTATACACAATTATATGCATCGTGAAAAATCTGAATCTGGACCAATTTAAACAAGTTCAGCCTGAGCCTGTTGTCTTTTCAAATTGCACAAGCATTTTTCGTCAGTGGTTTCAATAGCAAATACATCTGTTCATCTCAGTTTTAATGATTGACTTTTACAAACTAAACTAGGTATTATCTGTGTGGATCAGAGAATGTTTTACTGTTAATTTCTATATTAAATGAGCTCTGGTTTTCCAGACCCATGAATGTTATAAGAATTTGAAACAGCTCTTCCTCCTTGAAATCACATAAACAAAATAGTTTTGCTAAAAAGAACAATATATTATTTTCTAAAAAGAATGCTGGGGCAGCATAAGACTTTTCTTTGGGATGCGTGGTTATCGTTTAACTCTGGTATTAATAAGGGTTGCAATACCAGAGCGTATTTGGGGTATTGTGGGAGTTTAACTAATTACAATTGCAGTTTTCCATTGTGAACAATATCTGCCAAGCTTCCTGCTGCTTGTCCAGCTAGCCTCACCCAATCCATCAGGGCTTTTTTCTAGCAAGGGTAACAAGAGCTAATAAGGAAGAATCCCGACCCTCAGTATTCTCCGTCCTGATGAGCCAGGCTGGCTGGCTTGTGATCACAGTACCTTTGCGTGCTATGGGCCTGAGCTAATCAACTGGGCTACGGAGACCACAGAGGACTGACTTAATACAAATATTCCATTGCTAGGTACATTACCTTGAAGCCAACTCTGCCCCAAAGAAACCCTGTTATCTCCCCCAGAATGACCATTATTTAATTATTTAAGATTGGACAACATCTGACACTGGACAACATTCGCCAGGCAGGGCGAAACCTTGGGCAAGTTTCCTTACTCCACACACCTAATAATAATCCCCCCAAATCAAAACAATAATACATTGGTCATTTTCAATCCACGACTGTTTGTGGGACACTCCTGTGCACGTTTCGCCCACAATTATACGGTCAATTCATTTTACAGCATATTCTGTGAAGCACTTTGAGACGTCTGGAAGACGTGAAAAGCACTATGTCAAATGCAAGGATTATTATTATTATTTTGAAATCTTAGTCTTAATTTGGAAAGATGTTTTTCTACAGTTCTTACATTTTATATCAATGGCCTTAAGGCTAAAGCCATGAGATTCAGGCCTCTATTATCCACTGGATCAATTATAGCTTGTTCCTTAAGAATAATTTGAAACATGAAACTGAAAGCAAGAATCGTTAATTTTCATTGGTGCACTGTGCACAAACTCTTTCTGCTGGGTGTCTACAAATTTAATGGTGATATTCTTGATAAAATTATGTCGTGAACTCTAGCAAGTATTCTTGCAGAAGAATCCTAAGCAAGCTTTCAATCGTATTTTTTTTTACCCAAATGTAAAACTTTTAAAAAAACTTAATCCAATTTAAATGGAACTGACCTTTTCCAAATCCAATTTTTTCCCTAATGTTACATTTTAAAAATATACTACTTGAGGTAGTAAGATATTAGAAATGTATTTTCGCACTTAGGACAAACATGATAACTTATGAAAAATATAATCATAAGTGAAGTACACCCTGGCTCATGAGTGGAAATAAATGTAATGCTCCATGGCCTCTTGTATTTGTATACCTCCTCTTCCCGATTTTCATGTTGGCAGCAGGGCTTAGTTTGTGCCACTTTTTATGGATGTTACTGGACGTTTTAGCAGGGATTGCTTGGTGACGACATAATTGTAGCCAGACAATAGATTAAAGTGGGAGGATCTGTTTTATTTTGGTCAGCTGGATGTCTGACTCATGCGGAAACCCATCACCCTGTTTAAAAGTACCCAAACCAAACTGAGAGTTCCACATATGAAGCCACCTCTTACACACGCAGATTTCTCTATGTCTGGAATGGAATGCTCATGCTATCCCTGAAGGGACTCATGCTGCTTATCTAATTCTGGAAGGTATTAGATGAAGGTTGACAAGCCAAGACTTGGGGACCCTGTTTACATAGTAACCGTTGGTGTTACCTCTTAAGTTCAACCAGCCCAAACCACTTAGCTTGCTATTGAGTGGAACTGCCTGGCAAGCTTTCCCCTGCTTGCCCAGCTAGGGCCACCCTACCTGATAGGCTTTACCTCACAGAGTTAACCAGAACCAAGTCAGAAGAATCACTGTCCCCACTGACTTGTCCCTGCAAGTCCTGCCGATGAGCCAGGCTGGCTGGAGTGACATTAACAGTGCCTTGGAGTACTGCAGATCGGCTTAGCTCAGGAAATGCCGATGAGAATTGACTCTCTTCCAACATTCCATTGCCAAGTACAACCTTGGAGTCAGCTTAGCTCCAAGCAGAGCCCACTTATCTCCCCTCAAGGAGAATCGTCACTGTGATTTTGACCCATGGGCTGGTGTATGCCGACACAGGGAATATCAGATTCAGAGAGGAAGTCAAAGTAATTAACTTTCACAAACTTTTAAAAAAGTGACTCATGTCAAATCCTCCCAAAAATCTAAATCCAATTGAACTCTGTGAATTGAGTCCTGTACATAGTAGTCGTTGTACATGTATGAAAGGTAAGCAGTCCATATGGAACAACAAATTATATTTTATAGCATCTTTCACATCAGGAGGATGTCCCAATGGATGCAATTAATAGCAAAGTTTCTCTATATCTTGAGTCTTTTTTTAAAAGGTAATTGATCTGAACCTACAGGAATCCCAGTACGTTCAAGATTCATGTCCTCACTTCATCCCAAATGGGGTAGAACATAAAGCAAGACAAAAGGAGAAAAAGTACATTTAGGCCTAGGGAAAAACTACAAAATTGTGGACTTTGATCTCCTGGGGGTGAAGTTCTGCACAGACACTACATTACCCTAAAAGACGAACAAGGTAAAAACTCCACAACAACTCCATTAGGTCAGCATCAGCCTACTACCATCTCATCCCCTAGGACTCAGAAGCAAAATAAAACGCATTTGCCATGGAGATTGTAGCTATCATGACCTCCAATGTTGTCCCTGATAGGTACTTATCCACTTCTTATTTTGAAGGACATAGCACTGCAATAAATAATTATGCTGGGATTGTGTTTCATATATCGACTCCAAAGTCTAAGGACTCTACGCACAGAGTAAAGGGTTTGTCTGGAGTATTTAACCTCAGCAATCACTTTGACTTTACAGTATCCGCCGATTTCTTTTAAAATGGAAAAGCAATATGGCTGCATACATAAAGCAGAGATTTTTAAAATTATAAAGGGTTCAAAGGTTAGCATAAATAGGTTATTCCCAATTGTTTGGGGAGTCCATAACAGAGGGCACCTTATTATAAAATAGTGACCAGAGGAATTTAGGAGGAATTGTTTCACGCAGAGGGTTATGAGAATGAGGAACTCACCGCCTGAAGCTGTGGTTAAAGCAGATAATATAGATGCATTTTATAGAATCATAGAATCCTACAGCACAGAAGGTGGCCATTCGCCCATCATGCTTGTGCTGGCTCTTTGAAAGAGATATCCAATCAATCCCACTCCCCCGCTCTTTCCCCATAGCCTTGCACTTTTTTTCCCTTTCAAGTACCTATCCAATTCCCTTCTGAAAGTTATTATTGAATCTGCTTCCACCATCCTTTCAGGCAGTGCATTCCAGATCGTAACAACTACAACAACAAAATTACATTTGCATAGCGCCTTTCACGTCAGGAGGATATCCCAAGGCGCTGGACAGACAGTTTTGGACCCGAGCTGGGGTTCGTGATCGGGGAGGGTGGAGGGCAGGGGGGGAAGCTGGGTGATCGAAAGCACAGTCGAAGAAGAGTGTCTTGATATGGGTCTTGAAGGAGGCAAAGGAGGGGCGAGGCAGAGGGACTGTGGGATGGAGTTCCAGAGGGACAGGGACAACAATTCACTGTGTAAATAAAATCCTCCTCCTGTTTTTTTTCAACTGTTATTTATCCCCAACAAATTGCCCTTCCTAACTCTGAACCTGTGTTTTTTTGCTTTCATGGTGTATCTGAAAATATTACTCCCGGTCGACATTTTCAGATCCATTTATGATCTTACATATTGTCTTTTGCTGAAACAAGAATTAAGATTGCAGTTTAAATAATTTTTTTCAAGTACATATGAAAGTATATATGAAATATTATGAAAGTTATTATTGAAACCTGCTTCCACATGCTTTCAGGCAATGCATTCCAGAAAAGAGTGACTTGATGCCTAAAAAAAATTCTCCTTATTTCCCTTCTGGTTCTTTTGCCAAGAGGAAGCTAAATATACATGAGAGAGAAGGGAATAGAAGGATATGAGAGGGTGTAAGGAGTGGATAGAGACTCCTGTGGAGTATAAACATGGCTAATGGCATGTTTCCATGCTGTACAGTCTATGTAAATCTACACGTTCCTGCATATACACAGTATTATAACTGGTTTGCTACTGTTCTTTTATGGTCAATCATTAGTTAACCTTGTGATCATGGTATCTTTGAGCTCCTGGCTATCAGTGTAAACCCTCCCACACCCAAAGATGTCAGGGAGAGTTATCTTTCCAAGGAACCCTCAGAGCAGAAGAGAAATTGCAATGCCACAGTAATGAACCTGTCGTTTCACAGTTAATATCCAATTACTGCACTTTTGGACATGTGGGAAATCAATTTTTGCAGTTTGAGGAAAAAAGGGAAACAATTCCAACATGTATAACAAGCAAACAGATAATCTAGCAAAGTAACCTTATATGGTACAAGGTGAAATTTTGTAACATGGCATATCTGTGCGCCCAAAATATTGAAACCAGAGGTAATATGGTAGTATGGAGAATCTTTACCACCAAAGATCCTCTTCCATCCCATACCCAGACAGTTATGAATGCTCTGAGCTCCCAACCTCCCAGGCTGCCTTTATTGCTTGTAACGATTCAATTCCTGTCTTAAGAAATACCCACCTAGATTTTGCAGTCGAAGTGCATTCAAAGGGGTTAGTGTTTGGGTTAGATTCCATCTTGATTTTAATCAGACACAACCAATTTCAAAGAAAACGTGCTTATCCTCAAGGGAAAAATGCACTGGAATCAGTGATGAATTATGGACTTTTGAGTTATTTTAATTAAACGTTTCTGCTACCATTCACCTGTGGAAGAGCAGCCGGCACCAGTTTGTAGTCACAGCCGTGCCACCGTCACTTGATCAAAGCCACATTTTGCAGCAGAACCATTCTCAAGGTGTTGGCTGGGAAGTACAGCAGTACTACATTATTTCTGTTAATATAGTGGCCAAGTGCAAAATTCCAAAAAGGTAATATGGCAGACCCTGCTCCTTAATCATTTAGAATGCGAGCATTGACCTAAAATACATGATCTTTTCTTTATCATGAAATATCCACTGTCCATTCATTAACAAGCCTTAAAAGTTACTATCACTGAAACAGAATGAATGTTTTATTACCTTCATGCCCTGGCACTTACCTATCTCTCCGACCTGCTTACTCACCAACCCACTACCCACTGCCACTGCTCGACTGGCTTCAGCCTCCTGCATGTCCCTCGTGCCCTCGGTTCCTCCATGGGTGGCTACGCTTTCAGCCACTATGCCCCGAAACACTGGAACACTCTTCCTCTATCCCTCCACCCTTGCCCTCTCCTTCTCTATCTTCAGGTCGCACCTGAGGACCTTCCTCTTCGACCGTACCTACTGTCACCTCCCCCTCCCCCCGGCTCAGCATTGTGCTCCGCCACCATCAAGCGCTCTGGGATGCTACCCTGCATGAGGGGCACTATATAAATGCAAGTTGTTGTTTTATTGAGATTACACTTCCAATGTGTTATGATAGGACACTAAAAAACTAATGGGGATTCATCAGTGAAACCTTTCAAAGTAACGAATAAAAATCGTAACTAATCTTCACAAAAATCATTAGCAGGAAAAATTGTGAAGGAGGCATACATATCAATCCACAATATCCCGTAAACCACTTTGAAATGTCTTGAAGATGTGACAAGGCGTTATGTGAAATACAAGGATAATTATTATTATGAAAATATTCATCCTCATGTGGAGAAATGGCTAAACTAATTCAGTCACTGCTTTACCAATAGATTTCCTTTGTGATTTCTTCTCAGAAGTTATATTGTTGTGCTTGGGTCAATCAGCAGTGAAGAGTTCGTTAATGCAGCAGTCCTGCTCAGAGACATGTGGGCGGCAGTGTGTCAAACTCTAGCGTGTTTCATGTGTTTTTCCTCAGTTAATCTAGTGAATTAGAAGACTGCGATCAGATAACTATTTCCTTCCAAATAATCATAACCCAGCACCTGCAATATTAATGTGCTATAAACCTTCTCCTTCCCCCAGGAACAGAAATAAAAGTTTACCATCGATAGCTAATTTCAGATCCGTCAGCGTGCTCCTAACTCGGGCAATGACATGCTGTATGCGGTCAATTTCTTGACGCAAGAAGATGTTCATTGGTTGAATGCCACCCATATTCTGAAGCTGAGCTTTGACCTGCAGAATAAAGTCAAAATATCAGTGTTTTTTCTTCCATCATACTAGCCTATGGTACATGTTAACATTTAAATGCAGCAGATCTTTTATTGTAATGAAATGTCCTACGGTTTGCTTCCATTACCATTTAAGTCACCTTTCATAACCAAGCATAGAATGTCTTTGGGAAATACTTAAAGATTTTATGCCTTAGCTCTTCTATGTTATTTGTACACAATATAAATGCTGACGTAATTGCACCTTTCTATCATTGTGTCTCTGGGAACATTACTTCAGAAGACAATAAGGCTGTCCATAAATACAGTAGTGTAAATTATTTCAACCATGTCTTTCCACATATTATCCTCTAAACAGAGATGATCTCGTCTGTATTAAGTTATAAAGCTATCCGTGTGTATAAATTATTTAACATATATCAGCAAATTTGCTTTAATTTTCATTTGATACTGTGTACATTAAAAATAACCATTATCCAAAGGTTCCTGCAATGCTGAAGAGGTAAATGAGAAAAAATTGAATAAATACCTTTATGAGACTAAAGTATCTACCATAATCTGATGTTTTTGTGTACAAGTACAGTGTAGATTTAGTCTATAATTTAGTTTTATTACAAAGTCTTTTTTATGTCCGAAATGATGCATGGTCTTCCTCATATGTCACTTGTCTAGATAACAGAATCAGGTTTTGAGTTATAAATTCTGTGCCATTTCAAAGCGAAGTATTCATAAGAGCCTCACAAGCTAAGTAGAACAAAACAGTAAAAACCATGCCAATAGAGCTGGAACAGTCATTTATCTTGATGTTTTCTGGATTCTGTACCAAAAGTTGGTAGGGCACGGAAATGAAATGCCTAGAATTGTACGTTCCAGGATACCGTTCTATTACAGTTATCCTAACCTTTGAACAGGAATAAATGGTGTGCTAAGCACACAGACCATTCTTGGTTAGACTTTGCAGCTCCAATCCAAATTACATTTTGTTGCTAAAAAAATTTCAGCATCACCATAGAAAATTTATAGTAAATTCTGTGAAGCACTTTGAGACGTCTAGAAGACATGAAAAGCGCTATATCAAATGCAAGGATTATTATTATTATAAAATAGTGGCTGACGGACTCTACAGTGAGTCGATATTGCATGATGCTAAAAGGTGCCGGGCTCCTTTACCTGACAAGCCATACCAGGATGAAGACGGTGTTCAATCTGACAACAATACTCCCTTCACTCTCAGCGCCTTGCGATGTCCACCTGACGTGAACAACGCTATACAAATGTAATTTGTTGTTGCTGTTCACAGAGGCAAACATTCTGAACTTACTCACTGATTGTCAACACTGCACAGCACTGAATATACAACAATCCTCTACAATCCCACTCTTGCTGCTAATGAAACCATACTGGAATTTCAACCCCAATATATTCAACAAACTATTAATAGCAATAAAATACTGATTATACACATAATTTAACATTCCAAAGTATACATGCATCACGTGAAATTACAAGCAGTCTTAAAACCAATTATAATATTTTAATTACGTTTTATACTCAATTGTAACTTTTGGTGATATAGAAATATATCAAGGTTAACTGAAGGGAAATAATATTTTAAAACCGTCTGCCGAAAGATATAAAATAATTGAGGTCATAGAAAATCGCACAACTCACTTCCAAATGAAAAATAACTACTTTTTAATAATGTTCCTTGGAAAAGGGCAAAACTATTAAAACCAGCACAAGTCTAGAGGCCATTTGGAACCTAGCAACATACTGAAAAATACTGGAAAGTGGTGTAGGGAAGAAAAAAAATTCAGCTGTTCTCTTGTGTGGTCCATAAGTGTAGAAATATTCCATTCTTTGGATTTCACGGATATGTGATAAGACAGATCGATAAACTGTACATTTCTTTTTGTACATTATTTTCTCTGCTTTCTGTCTTCCCTACCCATACAATCTTCAGAACTCTAACCATAATGGCACCAGACAATCTGGTCCCAAGCGACCACTATTGTCACTACCAGACATGGCAGGATAGCCACTTGGATTAACTAATTCTAGAATTTACCCCTTATCACTTTAAACAAATCCACAGGTTGGCAAGAGCCAAGATTTGAGGATCCCAGAGAGTACTGTTGGAGTTTAAGCAGCTATAACTGCAAAATGGCATTGAGGGCACTGCCTGGCAAGCTCTCCTTTGTTTGTCAGATAGAACCCATTAAGCCTTTGGCTTGCAGGGAGCAACAGTAACGGTGTGGGAAAAATCCCTGTCCCTAATGATACGTCTGCCAATGCGCAGGCTGGTTTACCTTGAAGGACTGTCACAAAGGGCGAACTTAATTCCTATACTCCATTGCCAGGCACAAAATCTTGCAGACAACTTAGCCTCGAAGAAACCCTGCTTACCTTCCCCCAACCTCAACAAAAGATAGTCATTAAAAGAGAGTGAGGCAAAGCAAGGACATCTTGATTATTTTACCTCCAAATGAAACAAACACCTTAAATCAGTTGTGCTTTACCTCATATGGAATATAGTCTGGTGGGAGTTTTTCCAGCATCTCACTTGCAAGGCGTTGTACAGTGCTCTCCCTGGTATCTCCTTCACCACCCCCACTGTCTTTGGGTTGGATGTTGACTATTGTGCTAAGGGTCTCATTTGCCATGTTAGTCTGATAGGTAATGTCTGCATTGGAATGCAACCCAAATACCTGTAGAAATAAAAATATTCTCAAAATGTATTTTTGTTTGTTGTACTGTACTGCATTTTTAGAGGCCAAACAGAGAGCACAGTAAACATTACGGATTTTAGTGTAACATTTCACAAAATGAGTTACTTTGAAGTGTAGTTACTGCTCTGCAGGAAAATTTGCATTTATTGCTGTTAAAATATTGGCAGCAATAGCATTCGGCTAAAGGGAGATTTTGCTATGGTGGGAACGAATACAAATGTAAATCTTAAATACCTCAGGCGTATCAACCAGTGGCAGACTCTCAATGTACTGTAAGATGTCTTGGATAGTCTTGCCCTTGGGGATAACATAATCCTTGAAGAAGCAGAATTTATCTGAGAACATATTTTCCCCAAACCACACTCGTGCAAAAGTATTGAGCAACTGCTTGTCGAGGTCATCAGTTACACGGCCCCCATACTGCACTTCTCCCAGCATGTACCGCATACAGTTCCAGTTCACACCACGCTTAATGTCCATCTCATCCAGGTGGTTCTGCACAAACTGAACGCTGGCTGTAAAATCCGCTTGATTAAACTCATACGGGATATTCCAGCCCAGTGGACCAAACTTGCGCCTTTCCTGTACAAGTAAAGTTGAAATAAAAAACTAGAATAGATTAAATGCCAATCATTGTTTCATTATTTCAACATGCAATTTATTTCAATGATTGATTCACAAGGTAGAAGGAAATTGCAGTTTTACAGTGCTTTATGTGCTAAAATGTCTGAAAGTATTTTACAGCAATTATTGTCTAAGTCTAGTGACTATTTTTCAAGACATCTATTCAGAGCTCTGAGACACAACCCCAAATGAAAGGCACTATATAAATGCAAATTGCTGTCATGCACAGCAAATGGCACTAAAGTGACCAATCAAGCTGGGAGGTTGTGGACCACGATACCAGGAGAAACGTCCTTCTCTTTTCTTACAGTGTCATAGGATCTTCAACATAAACCTGAGGCAGGGAAATCAGACCTTTGTTTAATACTTGTATTTGCATCACATCAAAAATTGTTAGCCAGGAGATCAGGAATGGAAAATGGGAAAAAATGTAAACTTTTTCAAAACATCTTATTTCCCTTCCTTCTTTTCACATGATCACCTGAACTTTCTCTGTGACCACAAATGCAAATTAGAAATTGACCACTAGGGCCTAAATATGCACAAAATAACATGTATAGTGCTTTACATGGAACATTCGTCTGGGATCTAATTGAGTACATGGCGTCCGATCAATGAGGATTTGATTGTATAAGAGTGAGTAAAGTTCTAATACAGCAGCTCTCTGTTACTGTAATTTTAGGAGAGCTCATTAATATTAGGTACTGGAGTTTTATGCATTTGATTAAGTCCCAGGTAACATTAGGGAAAAGTCACTGAGATTTTTTGCAAAGCTACCTGATTACTGTGAAATTGCTTTGAAACTTATCCTAGCCAAAGGGGAATTACCCAACAAACAGAGCAAATTAGCACAAGCCTATCTAATGTCAAGAGATTGCTAAATTAACTCAGTTTAAGATTACATTTATTATCGTATTTGGAGAGGCTTAGCTATCATTTGAGTTCCTATCAGTTCCTGTTAGAAAGAACAAGTATCAGATGATGCAAATAATGAACCCATTGTTTGTAGCTGCAGTTTGTTCAACAACGATAGTTGATATGTCTTTTCACAATTAGGAAACGAGTGGTATCATAACCTCCTTTCACTATACCTGGTTTGAGCTGCACAGTAACATAATTTAGGTACACAAGTCATAAGGAGGCTGTTATAAAATACACTTTGCCTATAATGCACAGTTACTACTTTTACAGTAAATTCTGTGACGTGATAACATGGGAGTCTTATTATTTTTTAAGGGTATTGAGCCTGTTCCACCATTTTATCAGATTGTGATAGGTTTTTCTAATCCTATTTCTTTGTCTTTTCTCTAACTCATTTAACAACCTTATTTTCCAAGTATCTATCTATTTATTTACTTTCAAAGATTGCTGGGCTCAATACAGTTCTGTGATGAATAATGCAAGCCATTGTTTTGTGACTGGATTAATCAATGAATTAAATTTCATTTTGGCCACAATATTTATTTACAGTTATTTCACTGAGGAATTTCAAACATTCTTTTTTAAATAAAATTTGTCTTTCCAATGACAAAATATTGACAAAATAAAAGGCTTCAAAACACAAAATACTGCAGATGCTGGAAATCTGAAAACAAAAACAAAAGTGCTAGGAACACACAGCAGGTCAGGCAGCATGTACTGCGTGACCTCCTTAGTGTTCCCAGCGATTTCTGTTTTTGTTTTCAGTAAAAGACTTCACCTGTACAGTTGTATGAAGGAAGGCCACAGCATACAATAAAGGTTTCCACTGAACCATGTTGCTAATATCCAGATGTTCTTGGGTAATGCTGGTGTAAGTCCGTTTCAGGCCAGCTTTCACACCTGCACAGTTACACGAGAATAAATGGACAAACAGTGAAATTATTTCTGTTGGAACAAGATTTATAATTGTACTCGGTTAGTCAGCCAACCCCCGGGCGAGGTCTCCCTCCCCTATCTATCTATCTTTATATATTATATATGTATCTTTATATTTTATGTATACTAATAAAACGACGATGTTTGACTGCGCTTTAAAAAGGATTTCAATAACCGATTGACGTAGAGACATGATTTATACCTCATCGGAAAGGTCTTGAAACTAGGAGTGACATGGGCATATTTGTTTTGGGTATCTCCTATCATTTATGAGTTATTTCAGTTTTGCATTTTTGCTGCAGTTACATCTGGTGGCCACCAAGTCAACGTGGCGCTGTGCTTCAGAGCACCTATGTATGTTCGCACACACTGCAGTTACACCTGGTCACGCTGTGGCATCATACGTCACAGAGCACGCACGTAGCCAAGCAGTGGTGGGAACAAAATAAAGAACACAGATGCAGCTAAGCCGCGGCAACAACAACAAAATAACATTTTTAAAGCTCCTTTCACGTCAGGAGGCCGTCCCAGTGACTATAGATTATGCATTTATATTTATTATTTTAAAGATGCCTAAGCGAAAATCAAACCTTTCAAGGATAAGTAAAATTGCTAGACAAAAGAGAGAAGGCCCGTTAATGAAACTAAAGGACAAAGTCCTCCCACAGAAGTCCTCCCAGATGAGTATAGATAAAGATGAAATATATGTCTGTGTGTCAATCTACATTCCAAATTGGATCCTTCGATTGCAAGCAAAGCTGCAAATGGTACAGCTAGTTTACAAATATAGAGCTAAATACCGCGTTATTTTATGATATTTCAAAGCAGGGAAATATCAAAACTATATTTGGCTTTTCTTAATGTTAAAATGTTGTGTATTTCACTTCAAAATTTATGGTTGTGCAAGTAATGAATGGAAGAACGATTTTACCATCTGCTCTCTCCCTGAAAAATAACTACATTCAGAGCCCAAAGAGATGCTCATATCATACCGTGCGTTTTTATTCCTCCTGGGAGAGAACAACCTTTACAATCTATGCACTAAATCATATTAGACAGGTAATGGGCACCCCACTGAATGTGTGTGGTTAAAGGGAATAGTTGCTCAGACATCAATTTATTCTTCCATAACTAATCATTCTTCCATAACTAACGATAATGACATTCAGTCTGGTCTTTCTCGTATCTGAATATTAAACCATTAACTAAATATAAACGGGAGGAATAGTCTGCTTAACTACCATTGTTTTCAATGAAAAATCTTCTTTTACCAGTTGTCTGCCATGTTTCTCCCACAAAATATACAGTCATTCCACTTTACAGTATATTCTGTGAAGCGCTTTGAGATGGCTCAAAGACGTGATAAGGTTCTGTATCAAATGCAAGGATTATTATTAGTAGTAGTACTGAGCTTTATTTCACTCTACCAGGATTTTAATGTACAAAAATTTACTACTGGCAAAAATGTATTTTAGATATGTCCCATGTAGTAATTTATTATTATAATAATCCTTGAATTTAATATAAAAGAACAACAAAATTACATTTGTACAGCGCCTTTCACATCGGGAGGACGTTCCAAGGCACTGGAGAATCAGAGTTTCGGACACGAGCTGTTTTTGTTTTCAGGAGAGGTTGCAGGGGGGGAAGCGGGCTGATCGAAAGCCCGGTCAAAGAGAAGGGTCTTGCGATGGGTCTTGAAGGAGGCAAGGGAGGGGTCGAGACAGAGATGGAGTTCCAGAGGGTGGGGGCAGAGTGGCAGAAGGCCCGCCCACCAATAATGGGACGAGCGAGGGCGGGGGATGTGAAGCAGACCGGAGCCCACTGAGTGGAGGGAGTGAGCAGGATGGTTGGGGATTAGGTCGCAGAGCATGACCATGGAGAGCTTTGAAGGTGAGGACCAGAATCTTGAACTGTCATCTCTGTGTGATGGGAAGCCAATGGAGTCGGGTGAAGATGGGGGTGATAGGGTCACGGAGCCTGGTGCGGGAGAGGACACGGGCTGCAGAGTTCCGGATGATCTGCAATCTATGGAGAGAGGAGTCGGGAAGGCCGACAATCAAGGAGTTTGCATAGTCAAGCCTCAATGTAATGAAAGCGTGTATGAGCGTTTCGGCGGCCTGCGATGTGAGACAGTGATGGAGGCGGGTGATGTTGCAGAGGTGGGGGAAGGCAGAGTGGGTCATGGCAAGGATGAGGAAGTTAGAAATTGACCTCATGTCTGGGGATGATGTCATCAAGAGGGAGCATACCGATATTCAAGATGAGGGAACTAAGGACAGAGCCCTGGGAAATGCCACACAAGATGGTGCGGGGGCTAGAGGAGAAACCATTTGTGGAGATGAAGTGGAGGCAGTGTGAGAGATACGATCTGAACCAGTCAAGGACAGAGCCATGAAGGTTGAGCCGAGGCTCTGAAAACCTTTAATGTCAGGAGGACATCTCAAAATGCTTCACAAGATCCACTGTATAGTGTGAATTTATTACTATTATTAATATAATAATAATCCTTACATTTGGTAAAGCACCTTTCACGTCAGGTTGTCTCAAAGCACTTCACAAGATACACTGTAAAGTGTAATGACTATGTGTTTTGTTGGTGAATACAGCAGCCAATTTGTGCCAGGAAGTGAATGACCAGTTTTATTCGGAGTGTTGTCGATCAGGACATCGAGAAAAACTCCTCTTTTCAAATGGAATCTTTAACATTCAACCTGATCAAGCAGAAGAGAATTTCGTTTCTCTGCTCATTTGACGGTGCTATATCAAATTCAAGGATTATCATCACTGAGGAAGATGGGAGGGCAGGTTGAGGATGTTGAGCAAAGGACAGATCAAACAAAAATCTTTTTAGCAGGGATTTGAAGGCAGGCAGATTGGGCACGAAGTGAAGACATTTTGGGAGAGAACTCTAGAGCGCAAGGGCACATTGGTTGAAATTTCAGCCACCAACAGTGGGATTGTGAGAAGTGTGGTGAGCAAACGACCTGTAGCATTCCCAAGGAGGACAACTGAATGGAGGATGCGGGCAGGAGAACGGAAAAAATATCCGCAATCTAATGAGACTGTTAACAGTCACATCATTTACTATTGTTCTGTTTTTTTTAAAATAATAAAAATGTGTTTGAACACACAGGAAAATCTTAGCCTTACCCTGAGGAGGTTCATTGGTAAATTTAATCGAGGACTGCAATAAGTTGATGGGGAACTTTGGATGAACCTCTGTCGTGATCCAGGTTCGGAATCCGTCATTTACAGATTCTGTTGTAGTGACAGTATCGAGAAGCTCGTCCATGAAATTCAAGCCAAGGTGGCAGTTCTGTAGAAGAAGCCAACCACCGTCCTGCATACTCTGTGTAAGCAAACGCCTGGCGTGGATTTCTTGGCCCTGCCCCATGGAAATGGCACGGCAGGGAGTGTTCTAAAGGGATGTTAAACAGAGGAAGCAAAGGTCAACTGAGTACAAAGGAAACTGCCATGTGAATAATAATTCTTGAATTTTTATTTTTTTGAGATTATCTGAGTGTTTGACACATGCAGAAACCCATCACCATGCTCAAGAGTATCCAAACTAGACTGAGAATTCCACATACACATGCCAATCTGCACATAGAAATGTCCGTATGAATGAAAATGTCTCCCTGGAGGGATGCACCCTGCTTACCTAATTCTGGAGAATATAGGTGAAGATTGGCAAGAGCAAAGACTTGGGGATTCTAAAATGTGTGTTGGGGTTTAATCAATTAAAACAGCACAACTTGCCTGTGGGAAAACAGTCTGGCTATTGACACAAGTGGTTTCCTGCAAAAGACTCATGAAATTGATGCTGCAGTTTTCGTTTCGAGCATTTTATCATCCCCATTAAGTTGCACACCTTAAATAGCAGAGGAAATGGTATCCAAGAGGAAGACAAGTTGTATTTATAATGGAGGAGCCAGTATTTATTAATTAGATAAATCAACTGTTTAAATAGCATTAATCTCCCATATACATCATGTGTATTTCCTACACAAATGACTTAATGGTCCCATGTGGTACATGAATGATATAAAAGTTTATATCCACGCATGTCAGCTTTTATATGGATGCAGTTCCAATGTTATACATGTTCATGTATTGAACCATTGCCTGAAAATTTAAGTCTTCAAATTAATTTATATCTGCCAATATTCTATAAAATCAAGAAAAATGCACAATGGTGCGATAGAAAATTAACATAGAGGGAAGCAGTTAGTGTTCTTGACTTGTTAATGTACCTTGCTCTTGGCCAGACGCTCAATATTTTCTGTAGGATCAGAACCCATAGAAAGGAAACACACGAGAGGTGTTCGATTATCACCTTCTGCCAACATCGCTTCCATGTCTAAAATAACTCCTTCTGCATATTTTGGTCCGAGTGCCTGAGCAATGTAATGACGTGCCTGGAATAAACAACATTACTGTATTATAATTATAATAATAATAACTCTTACACTCGGTATAGCATCTTTCACATTGGAAGGATGTCTCAAAGTGTTTCACAACATGCACTCTAAAGTGTAAGACTGACTCTGTGTTTTATGGGCGAACGTGCCAGACAATTCGCATACAGCAATGTCCTGCAAAGAGTCATGATGAGAAAAATCAATTGATTTAGTTATTGGGGGATTGCTGGTCAGGATACCAGAAGACATTCTCTTCACTGAAAAGTATTGCAAAGCGTAGTTAATACCGCTCCAATAATCCCAATATACCATTGAAAACTGGGGAAAAAACAAAAGCCCCAAATCATCATGGTCTTAACCTTAAAACCACTGCCTGGAAAGTTAAGATACTGCAGAAATTTAGGAATTTAATTGTGTTTTAATTTGGACCTCTGTTTCCAAAGATTTGTTTTCGAATTTTTTTCCCCAAAATTATGCACCATCTTAAATGTTTAAGAAAATGGTTCAAGGCCAAGATCATAAGAAATTTCAGGTCTGTGAACATGAGGGAACATTTTGTACACTTTCAACAACAGAAAGAACACAAAGAATAATAAATCATATTAAATAATATGAACAGAGCAGAACGTGTTTTGTTGAACCAGACCTAAATAAACTCAGTACTCAGGATTTTTTTTACAGGTTATTTACATTCAGTTTCTTTGTCAAATGTCTTGTAAAATATTCAATGGCATATCCTATACATGCCAAAAATACAAACATAGGAACAGGGGTAGGCCATTTTTCCTCTTGAGCCTGTTCCACTATTCTATTTAAATCTTGGCTTATCTGTACGTTAACTCATTTACCTGCCTTTTCTCCCTATCCCTTGATACCCTTACCTAACAAACATATATCCACCTTAGACTTGAAAATACCACTTCACCCAGCATTCACAGCTTTTTGAGGGAGAGAATTCCAGATTTCCAGAACCCTTTTCCTTCACCCTAAAAGAAGATCCACATTCTCAACTTAGAAATTTCTCCAGAGCATCACCCCTCCCTCCCGTATCCTCAGATTATGGCAAAAGCAAGCTCCAGGAGAGAGATCAATATCTTTACCAATAAGGGATAAACTTATTTTATGATTTAATTGCTCTTTGTAGGACGTTACTATGTGGAAATTGGCTGCCGTGTTCGCCCACAAAATACACATTAAATGTGACAGGACTCGTGTGAAGGACACTATAAAATGCTGTTGTCAACAAGGTGTTGTTGACAGTATATCCTGTGAAATGCTTCGAGACTTGAAAGGCACAATATCATTTGTAAGGATCATTTATTCTTATATTTATAATGAACAGATATAGTGACTTTATTACTGTAGGGTCTATTGAGGCTGAGACATTATATGTAATAAATAACCTAATTCTATTTACACTATAATAGCTGTAGTGCAGTTTGATTCAACAAATCAATTTACCTGAGCAATAGTACGATCAGGGCACCAACTGCGAATTAGTTGTAGTTTGCGGAACACATCCAGCACGTCATCATAGCCATCAGGGAGGGGAGACTCTTCAGGGGCTGCTTCATCAAACCAGGTCTTCCAGGCCTTATCATTTTTCGTCACTTGCACTAGCAGTTGGTTGAATGGATATGACTGAGACAGCTGCACAAGATTTAGCCAGGTCATGTCAAGGATCCATTTCTTTGGTTTGGGCTCTGCAGAATTGAGGTCCAAAGAGGCGCCACCTATAAATGTATATAAATATATATATATAGTAATTATTAATTTTCTGAGCAATATTGATAGGGACAAAAAAATGTGTTTTTTCCTGTTAATTTCCAGACTTAAAGCAATCAACATGACATATTGGATTTAGCATTGCCCACAACATAGCCCAGCACAAATAGTTGGTACACTGAAAAAAGCAGGCACCTTAATTCTCCATTTGGTTGAAAGGATTTAGCACAAGGTCAAAAGAGACTTTCGGATAAATAAAGCAGTTCTTATCCTTCCAGCATATCAATGGGATCCATCCAGTACAGCATCAAGCTTCATGTCCTTTGCTCTGCCTGCCCCACCTACGGTGGATGGGTTTTCAGCCTTTCAACCCTCACTCTCTGGAACTCCATACCAGTGTTCCTCCAGCTTCCCCCTTCCCTCACTTCATTCAAGGTGCTCTGAAGTCCTACTTGTTTGACCATGCTTTCGGTCATCTTTCCCCTCCCCAGCTTGGGTGCCCAGCCAGTAATAATAATAATAATCTTCGCATTTAATATAGTGCTTTTCACGTCTTCTAGACGTCTCAAAGCGCTTCACGGAAGAGACTGCAAAGTGAATTGACTGTATATATTTGTGGGCGAAATTAACAGTACTGTTAAGCTCTTCGGTATGCCCCCCTAACATGAAAGGTTTGACTTAAATGTAATTTTTTTATTTTATTGTGCATTGTATTAAGTGTTTTTTTTAAAATGAGTCTAATGTCTTGACCTCGACCAGCCACTCCCTGGCAACCTGTTCCAGTCACTAATTATCCTCTGGGTAAAGAAATACTTTCGGGTGTCTGATCTGAAACTGCCTTTTATTTCCCCAAACCAGTGTCCACTTCTTTTGCTGTCCTGTAATGTCTGACAATATTGTTTTGGGTTTTCTTTTTCAATCTCTTTTAAAATCTTGTATCTTGTATAAGGTCCTCTCTGAGATGTCGCTTATCAAGGCTGATGAGCCTTAGCTTATTGCTTGTAGCTCATTCCTCTAATGCTGGGAATTATCCAAGTAGCTTTACTCTAGACTGTTTCTAGAGCCAGGGCAAACCCTTTATGTTCCAATGACCGGAATTATATGCAGCACTCTAGATGCCAATAAAATAATCATAGAACATAGCACAGATTTATGCCATAAATCAAGAAATATTCAATCAAGAAACATCTATTTTTAACCAAAAAGTTTGGCCACCACTGATTTAGTCCAACACCCTGTTTGCCTTGCTTGTTGATTCTGTTTTGACACAGTGAGGATTGAATCAACTAACACCTCTAGCTTCCAAGCTTTCCCTTTGATGAATTAATTTAATCCAGAGAATACCTGTACTTTTTACTGCCTATATTTAGTATTTTACATTTATCTGCATTGAACTTCACTTGCCAGTCATCAATCTTTGTGCCCTGCCAAGCTTTCTACGTAAGACCTTTGCTGCTTCTTCTGATTCCAGTTTTCTCCAACTTGGTGTCATCTGCAAACCTAACTACTTGCTCTGAGTCTATGAATCCAAGTCACTAAAATATATAAAGGACAGGAAGTGGTCCCAATACAACAACAAATTGCACTTATACAACATCCCTTTACGCGGGGTAGTGTCCCGGTGCGCTTCGAATACAGATCCAAGACACTCCACTTAAAATCTCCCTCGATTTTGACCTAGCTCCCCTATTGTGGAGTCCTGTAGCTCAGTGGTTAGAGCACTCGCTTTGCAAGCAAGAGACCTGAGTTCAATTCCAGGCAGGGCGAAACCTTGGGCAAGTTTCCTTACTCCACACGCCTAATACTAATTCTTCCAAAAAAACAAAACAATAATAAATTGGCCATTTTCAATCTACGACTGTTTGTGGGACATTGCTGTGCACAATTGGCTGCCGCGATCGCCCACAAATATAGTCAATTCACTTTACAGTATACTCTGTGAAGCGCTTTGGGACATCCTCCCAACGTGAAAAACGCTATATCAAATGCAAGGATTATTATTATTATTATCAATTACATTTTGTTTCCTTCCCTTCAGTCAATTTTGAATTCGTGTCCATATTTTGTCCTTGAAACACCCATGTGATACTTTGTGAAATGGCTTGTAGGTATACAATTGAATATTCTTCACTCAAACAGATGTATACATCATTGCCACATACAAATCGAGGTTCCGGATCAGCTGTTTTTCTCCCACACCCCCAGTTTAAAAGTGTAATCTTGAGAATGCAGGTAGTGGCTGAAACACCCAGTACAAATTCCCTCTCCTTCCCTCCTTGCTCAGTGGATGCCGTCATCTTTATAAAGCACTTCCATCCAATTCATTGCAAAATGCACAACCTAAGTGCAAGTTTACTATCTAAGTGAAAATTCTTATACAAGCACTTTCTATATCCAAAGTATTTGCCAATGTTATTTCTTCTATGAAGATTTGATTGTGCAAATTGATATCATGGAAATATCACTGAAAGTAGAAATAAGAAACAGTATTAAGAAGTTCCGTCTCCAATGTAAGTATCACCACAATACAGGAGGTTTCACTGCAGAGCAAGTTGATTTTTTTTATTTAGGAAAATGCCTTTTAATCAAAACTGATCTCATTATAATTAATTTTCCCCATTGTCAATTCCCCTGAACATCATACATTGCTCGTTAAATTCATTAGCCTTCATAATACAGCAAAGATTTTATTTTATAGAAAATAAGGCAGCTGAAAGTTGTAGGTCCTTCATATTTAGCCTGAGACTGTTTTTTAGCATCCAATATTCCCTTGCACAGCATTCAGTTCAGCATCTAATTATGCTATAATTTCACCACAGGGTGCCTCACAAAATTACCATCCTACTCCATGATTCATGCAATACCCAGACATCACTCAAAGGGACCATAAAGGAACATAAAGTCCCTAGTTTCCAGCTGCCAGCATTTGTTATACTTGTTGTCAGACTCCAATTGTCCATGAGCGATACTAACTAGGTTGGACCAGGCAATAAAACTCCTTGGTTTGATAAGGCATCCATAGTGAATATCTCAATAAGCTTCACAGTTAATCAAACCCAGTGCAGTGACTGTTCATTTGTAAGCAAGCGCAGCAGCAGCCAATTTGCTCAAAGCAAAGCGACAGTCATAAAGTGAACAACCAAATTATCTGGAAGACTGCTGGCCACGACAAGGGGGGGAAAACCCAAACTCTCTTCTCTTATTTTTAACTACTGTTGCAGGACGTTTACCCAAACAGACAAATAGGATAAACAAGACAAAGAGTTTAAAATCTTATCTGAAGGATGGCACCTCTGATAATGAAGAGTTCTCCCCAGTACTGTAATGGAGTGTTAACCAACAACTGGCCTCAAGTGCCAAAGTGAAACTCAAACCCATACGTTCCTGATCCAGTGACAAGATGGCACCAGAGAATCAGACTTTTACAATATAGGAGGCCATTCCACCCATTCTGTCTGTACCAGCTCCCTCGAGAGCAATCTTTTTCCCATATCTCTGCAGTTAGTCAATTTAAGGTGTTTATCTATTCCCCTTTCAAAGCTAATTCGGATTCTGCCTCAACTACCATTCTCCTCAGGCCTTTCTAAATGCTAACTATTGAGAATTGACTTGATTCCGATACTCTGTTACCAAGCACGTGACTTTCAGGCCAGCTCCACTTCAAGGAGACCTCACTTACCTCCTCCTCGAAGGAAGATAGTCACCAGTTGATCAAGTGTGAAGTGACAAGTGTAAACAGCCCATTAAATATCACATTCAGAAAATACCCTGGTCAATAACCAGAGGTACTTTAGAAGTAAAATGGCTCATTAGTTTATTATAAACTGTTAAGAAGAGGCTATTAAGACATTCTATGGCTTCAGTTGTGAATACAGGGTGTTGATGAGTGATTAATAGGGCAGAGAACCGGATATAGAATCCAAGGTAGCTAAATCACTGGAGATACACTGCCTGCAGTTATGAAAATGTTCACATAGCTCTTCCTAGAAATGTAATAGCATTTAAATTAAAGGGGAAAAATCTGTTTGTGGATAAAAATTAAGCAAAGCAGTCCATGCATATAGAACTTCATCTGCAAGAACAGCAATAATATAACTGGAGTCAGAATGAGTTTGAATTTGTGTAATTCAATGATCTGACTAAGCAATGACAGATTGTGTTGCTCCTCATTAGATTTTCATTGGTTTGCTCTTCCCTGCCGATTTGCAATTGTATGCCTCTTCCATTCTCTATATCACTCTTAATCACAGCAATTTCTCACCTGTGCAAAGCCAATCTCCTGTTGACTATTTTCATGTCTTAAAATTTCACAAGGAGATTCCATAATCCTTGTAAAACCATACTATCTCGCATTTACGCCATGCAAACCCTAGTGTTGTGTTATCAAGGGCATTGCAGTAATATAAAAATAAATAACCATGAATAAACATGACTTATTCAACACTGCGGAAACAACAGCACAAGTACAAGACAATGCAATATTTTACCCTTATACACAGCCTCTCCCTACATCCTTCTACAATATTAATAGCTCACCATGAAAGCCATTTGCTCCATCCAGCCTCCTCCACTATTTTATTAGTTGATTGAAATTCCAGCATTTTATTCTAATTTCTCCAGTTTTTCTCCGTAAACCATTAATATCCTTACTTCCCAAATTCCTATCAGTATGCCTTTTAAACAACTTTAGCCATTTTTGCATGAATGGCTTTCTTGTATGTGCCATAGCATTCTACATTCCACATTCAAACAATTTATGTGGAAAAACTTATTTGGTTTTACTTTTAATGAGCTAAACTCTCATTTTAAGATCCTATTATAATAATCCTTGCATTTGCTAGTGACGTTTCTTCGAGAAGTCTCAAAGCGCTTCACAGAATAAACTGCAAGTTGAATTTGACTGTATATTTTCTGGGTGAAACTAAATATCCCTGAGTTCTGGATTTCCCTACTATAGGGGAAACCATACTCTATCTACCTTCAATTGGTTTTATTATTTTAAAGACTTTTCTCTTTATCTCTTATCAAATTATCTCTTACTCTCCTCAGTTCTAAGGAATATCACCCATTTTACCCTACTTCTCCTTATAGCTAAGTGCCTTTATCCCATGTACGCTATGATTTCAGGTGGGAAAGAAACCCAGAAAGTAAAGCCCTAAATACCATGCAAAACAATTCTGCATGTCTGCAAAAAAATAATGCAGTTCTTGAATGATTCCTTAGCTACATAGCCAGTTGCTAAATAGATTTGAAAACTGCAGGTGGGATCTTTTCCTCATTAAAGATGAGGGTAGTCAGTGCAGAGCAGGCACAAATTTTCATTCCAGGCTAGATACAGCGTAAATTTAGTAAAACTCAGTAAAAAATGGTATTGCAACTTTCATATTTACTGTGCATGTGCATAGTGCTGCAACTAAGACATTTCAGTGTTTATAGGTACTATCTAAAATGCAAGGTTTATTATACGATTACGATTAAAGGACAAAAGTAAAAGAGAAGCTTAGACTGCTAATTCTGGGTTAAGATAAATATTCATAACTCAAAAAAACTGAACTCACTGTTCAGGTGTCAGTGTTATGCAGGACCCCAGTCAAAATGACTCTGGCGTTTCATGCGTTGTACTGTCATAGAGTAGAATTACATTTTGTAAAACATCAAAACACAACTATGAAGTGGGTGGTGCACTGGCACCTATCTACAGGTACAGAGCATCTACAGGTTATCATAACCATCTTGGTTAAGAAAATAATTTTCATGGAGCCAACTGCTAGGGTGAATGTAGCCAACGAAAAAAACAGAGAAGTCAGGAATTTATACTGGATGTAGTAGCTATGATTTCTGTCACTGTGCTTGGGTATAAAGCAAGCAAAATTCAGCTTTTCCCATCAAGAGTAGAGAGATTTCCACAACAAGTTCTGTCCAGAAGATAGGACAAATGTATCTTTTATTGAAATGCTCTGCAAAGAGTTTTGGTAAATGCAGATTACCTTTAATCAACGTTTGGAAATCGTTGTGCGAAATCTTCTTGGCTTCCATGTCAATCTTTAATGTCATAAGCAATGTGAAGAGGAACTTGTGATCCTCGTACAACCCTCGGGCTGTGTATTTGAAAATTTCGTAGGTTAGGAATTCAATAATGTTAGCGATTCGTTTTGATGTAATATGAGATTTTGCCGATTTTTCCATGGATAGGTCAAAAATACCCAGAAACTGTCGAAGTGAGGTCTGGTACATGATGTTCACTAGACTCATTTCAACTATAAGGAAGTAAAGAATACTGCCACGGGAGGCAACAGGGCGATACTCTTCACGAGCTGTGTTGATCTTCACCTCTGTTTCTGCAGCCACGTTCAGTTTTTCACTAACCTGAGAAAGGAAGAAAACCTTTTAAGCTTTTAAACACACATCTAACAATACATCTTCCTCTGCATCTGCTGCATTAAAATCTCCATTTGTCAGTTTTCAAGGGAAATCTATTTAAGTTTCAGATTCTTTGGAGGGATGCTTATGAATAGATGGCCATGAAATTCTAAACATGTGTGATATGATGACATAATAGTTAAAAAAAATCTTCAACCTCTGTTTATAAAATCACTTCAAGGTTTGAAGAAACCTTTAGGATTGTGGAAGAACCTCCTTGCGAAATATGCTCTTCTCACATGTGTGCTTTTTGAGATATTCTCCCAACATGAAAGGTGCCTCCTAAATGAAAATTGCAATTGTACTGTACACAGGATTTTTAAAAGTTAGATGGAAGATAAAAAGAGGGAACTGTACATTATAAACACTCACTGCCCCACAATAACACCGTCCTTTAAATAAGAAATAATGCATACTATAAGGCAGCATTTATGAAATGCAAAATTTACAGCGGGATATAATTTGTTGAGTTTGCTGTGTAGTCTAAGCGCCATCACTTTTGATCCTGAGATACACTGTAAATAAAGCTGTTATGGATTTATTTACTGCTAAAATGTGATGCATTTTCTGCAAAATTGCTTTCTGTGACAACCCTATTAATTCAAACTGCTTCCATCTGGAGGATTCAGTTATTCCACTGATTGCTCACTTCTATTTTCATACATATGCCAAAGGATTTGAAGCTATGGTGCCAGGCTGAGCTGATATCAGCAGGTCAGCGGTTACAATGCTACAATTGGCCTTACTGCGATAGGGCAGGCTCCCAAGGCCGGAAATTCATCATGCCCTAATGCTTAACACATTGTCTTGAAATATAAATTAGTGCAGAATTATAGAAACATGTTATTCATATTAAAAAATGCAGAAAATCTACTTCCAATTTAACCATAAAATGAGATAATGATTTAAGGTTCGGGCTTCTGAACACTATCCAAGACCATATTAGAAAGTGAACATCAAGTGATAGGGCTCTGTGTGGCAGTCTAAACAATAAACACTGATGAAAGGTACTTGGTTTATGGTTAGGATAATCAGTGATTGAAGAACCATACCTCAGCAAGACTGGGAGACCCCAAAGTGTCATTGGAGTACTGCTGAGGTTTAACCAGCTAAAAACACATAGCTTGGCATTACAAACATTGTCTGGCAAGCTTCCAGATGCTTGCCTAGCTAGAATCACCCAAGGACAGTTAGGCTAGTCTGTCATTAACAGTGGACCTGCCTATTAAATGTATTGGTTCATTCCTTTAAACTTTCAAAACGATGAGGGCACAAAGAAAAAACTCCCCATTCAGACCATTCTCTGACACTCAATCACTATATCTATTTGAAACTCGCCTGACTCTAAGTGCAGTATAACAGTCATGTAGGTTCTGCAGCTACATCATTTCTAATCATAGGTGATTTCTTCCTCTCATGAGATCAAGATTTAGGGGGAATTCTTTGAACAGTCATAATCAGTGGAGAAGAAAAGCTTCTTTTTCCCCTTATTCATTATTACCTCTTCAGCTGTTATCTTAGTGACCTTGAGCACTTCAATCAGTGACTCATCCTCCACCAGAGAACCTTCTGTGCTGGTAAGACGGAAAAGTAAGTTATCTTCCAATTCCTTCATTCTCCGTTTGTTGGATGTCACCTCTTCCATCAGCTTCACTCTCTCTGCTTCCAATTCCTAGTGTGCAGCACCACAGCCAAGAACATATTACTAGTACAACAATTCAGAACTCCCGGTTTAAACAGAGCTTTCAAAGTCAAATTACTTGCACTATTCTTGAGATAAATGTCATCACACATATACGTCAGGTTGAGTTTCTGTTTTTCAGTAGCTTTTTTTTTAAATGTGTCTTTGTGTTCATATACCAGTATTTAATCCAGTACCTCATGGAAGGTCATTTGGCGAATAGACTTGCCCGCCATACAATCTATTCCAACATGGACTGTAATCCATCTACTCAACTTCCTAAGGGAAAACTCTGCATAGATCCCTAATTCCAAAGGAAATCAAGCAAACAGAGGCACAAACACTATGTCACATGCATTATCTGATTGTCCCAAATCACAGGTATCCTTGGGGATATCCATGCCTGTTAACAACTAGATATTTAGTTCCTTTTTGAAAGAATTAAGTGTCAACTGCTTTTGCTATTTCTGTGTTGGGGACTATTCATAAAAGGGTGGGGAGGGGTACTCTAGATCTAAACACTTCTCGTACCCAGGCAACATCAGAGTAAAGACATGTTTACGTGCATAATATTTTATTAAAATGTACATCACAGTAGCTCCACTCAATGTGCCTGCAACAATCAATTGTTAAATCCAGACTATTAAGCCGGATCCATCTTAAATAAGGTATAATAATGAGCAGGAGAAGTTATTGTGTTGATTTCTGTATCAAAATGATGTGACTGATGGAAGAGACAATTCATATGATTCCAGCAATCTGTTTTTAAACACACTGCTTTAGAAAGGGCATTTTATAATGTATTTCCATTGTTGAGGAAGTAATAAGCAATATGTGCTGTAGGAGAGTTGATTCATTATAGTGGATCGGTTTACAATAATGTGTCAAAATTCACCTAATCTATAAATCCCTGTGGAATAAAGCAGCTCCACATAATAAATAAAACTTGCACTCAATAAAACTCACACTCCATACCAGACAATTTCAGAAAGTGTTCCTTCTGTCAAATTAAATCAGCGTAATCCAAAATGATAGATAATGCTGAAATATAATTACATCACAGATGAATTGGTAGATGTTGGGAATGTATTTAATTATTGTAGCAAACAAAATTGACAAGAGGAAACAATTAGAGAAGATAACTTGAGCAATAAGTATTCTCCTGTGATTATTTTATTTTGTAATAGATTTACAAGACCTTCTTCTGAATCAAAGGAGTAAATAGGAATTTAGCATATTTTTTTTACATACACGCTTCTTTTGTTGTGAAGTCTAAAAGTTACGTTTTACAAGATCGCACCCAAGGTTCAGATTAAGGTCATTAAATGTTGTAGTTCTGGAATACCAACCCTATGACAGCACCAAGCTGTTTTTTAAGGACTCCAGTATTTTACTCTCAACACCCTTCTAGGTGGTCATTATCTGCTGTGTAAAGAAATACAGTGCAGCCCCATTATAATGTTTTCAACCTGCATTATAGCAAGGCGTGATAGCAGGTTTGACTGTTCAGCTATGTAGTCAGCTGACGGTTTCCGCACAAAAATAAAAAGTTGCCAACTTATAGTTCATCAGGCACTACCAACGTCAGGTCCTGCTTTGCACATGTGCAGCGAATGTAACCAAATCACACAAAAATCAGACATTTTTAGCAATTAAAGCCAGCCAGGGCAAAGGAAGTGAGCAGGCTGGCTGCACACATACGCAGTAAGTAGCATCCACAGTGCAACTGAATTATAAGTAAGTTTACGCTACAGGGTATTATATATTGTGCTTTCTGGTCTCTTCAAAACAACAACAATAAAATTAAATTTGTATATCGCTTTTCACATCAGGAGGTCGTCCTAAGGCGTTGGACAGTCAGTGTTCGGACCCGAGCTGGGGGTCGGGATTGGGGAGGGTGGAGGGCAGGGGGGAAGCAGGGTGATCGAAAGCACAGTCGAAACAACAGCAAATTGCATTTATATAGTGCCTCTTATGCAGGGAAGACGTCCCAAGGTCCTGGACAGTCAAGGGGTTGCATCTGAGATGGGGGTTGGAGTCAAGACGAATAGAGAGCAAGGCGGGTGGAGGTGGGAGGATGAAAAAAGGCATGGTCAAAGAGGAATGTCTTGAGACGGGACTTGAAGTAGACAAGGGAGGCAGCAAGATGGAGGGGCTCTGGGATGGAGTTCCAGAGGGTGGGGGCAGAAAGGCTGAAGGCCTGACCACAGATGATGGAGAAGGCAGGGCGGGGAACATGGAGCAGCCCAGTGCCTGCCGAGCAGTTGGTAACGTTTTAGGTCACAGAGGTAGGGAGGAGCAAGATCATGGAGGACTTTAAAAGTGAGAACAAGGATCTGGAACTTGATCCTCTAGAAAATAGGAAGCCTATAAAGCCGAGCGAGGATGATAGGGTGATAGGCTTACAAAGCTTGGTGTGTGAGAGGGCACAAGCTGCAGAGTTCTGAATATTCTGCAGTTTGTGGAGGGAAGCTTTGAGAAGACCGGTGAGTAGGGAGTTGGCATAGTCAAGTCTGGATGTAATGAAAGCATGGATAAGCATCTCGCAGCCTGAGGGGAGAGGTAGTGGTGGAGGCGGGCAATGTTGCGGAGATGGGGAAAGGCAGAACAGGTCATGTTGAGTTCAGATCCCCAGATATGTAGTACACTGATTAGGCTACACCTAAAGTACTGTATACAGCTCTGCTCACTGCAACACAAGGGGCTCTCCAGGTTCCAGTTGCAGTGCAGAGAAAAGCAACAAAGATGATCCTCATGTTAGAGGAATGAACTATGAACATAGTTAAAACAAGCTAGGATCTTTCAGGCTTCAAAAGAGACATCTACGAAGGGATCTTATACAGGTATATAAGACTTGAAATAAGACTTTAAGATACATCAGTACCCCAGAACAAGAGGACACAGGTTTAAAGTTGCGACGGGCAATTTCAGGACAGACACCAGGAAGTATTTCTATAGTCAGAGAATAATTAACGACTGGAACAAATTGTGAGAAAGCATGATTGAGACTAGGTCACCGGATTCCTTTTAAACAAAAACTTGATGCTGTGACAGGAGGACGGTAAGCTGAATATTCAGGATGAGATCAAATGGGCCAAATCAATTTGATGATCTTGTTATCGCTGTCCTAAAATTGTTCCTCACAACCTTGAACTAGTATCATCCTGAGACATCTGAAACATTATTCATTTGATGTTTGTTCTACAACCTCTGTTCAATGCCCACATATGTGTGTCCATATATATTATATATTTATATAAAGATACAAACACACATATAAAATATCCTTAATTCTTAGTTCACAAAGTCTTGGGTCCAGATTCTTGACTTCTTCTGTTGTAACATTACTTACCTGCTTCTCAGTGAGGATGGCTCGGCCCAGAAGTTGGTCTTCCAGACCTCTCATTGTCACAGTGAAGTCAATGATGGCAGTCTTGGCACTGATCTCAGGTGTGTAGGCAGGATTGGCCAGTTTGGTAGTTATGTACAAAGTAAATCCTGACATGACGTCAATCTCTTTGTCACCAACTTTTACCTAGCAAATAATTCAGAAATAATAGCAATATTTCTTTGATTTGTTCTTGTTCATTAATTTCTTCTCCAAGGCGCCACCCTCTGTGAAGGGTGTTCTATAAATACAAGTTTGTGTTGTTTGCATTTATTTAAAATTTAAAAATCTAATTTATAATGTTCTCTGATAAATCTAATCACGAAATAAATCTAATTGTTTGGTGTTCCAAAATAATAATAATTGGTCATTCAATCCATAACTGTTTGTGGGACACTGCTGTGTGCAATTGGCTGCCAACTTCTGGTTCATCACAAAATGTACAGTCAATTCACTTTACAGTATATTCTGTGAAGAGCTTTGAGACTTCTCAAAGATGTGATAAGCCGCTATATCAAATGCAAGGATTATTATCATTATTATAATTCTTGCATTTCCATTTGATATTGGAACATTTCATGCTGGAAGGATATTTCAACTGCTTTGCAGTAATTACTGTAAGGTGTTGTGACTGTATTCATTAAGTGAATGTGGTAGACGATTTGCACTCAGCAAAGTCCCACAAACAGCCATGAAGTGAATGACCAATATTATTAATGGGGGATTGTTGGCCAGGACACTGGGAGAAACTTCCTACTCTTCTTCAAAGATTGACATGGGATTTTTAATGATACCTGAACAGGATGACATTCAGAAATTGGATTAATTCATTGTTTTATAATGTGCTTGTGAAAATGTGTTTTTTTAATATCAGATTCACAAAATAGTGGGCTCTGTATGGAACCCTCCTCCATTCCACGTGGATAAATCTAGGATGACAATACACCAATACTTTGCTAATTCAGTCAAATCATTCATCAGCCTTCCTCTGTAGATAGCAGTTTTGTCTTTGAGACAGAGTTTGTGAGTTTAATCCCATATTGGGATTTTGAGCTCATTGTCTGGGCTGACATTCCAGTGCAGTGCTGTGAGCGCACTGCATTGTCAGAAGTGCCATACTTTTTTCTCTGAGACGTTAATCTGAGGTCCCATCGGCCTGTTCAGGTGGACAGCAAAGAACCAATCACACTATTTGAAAAGAGAAGGGAGTTACTCCCACTGTCCTGGCTAGCAATTCCCAGATAAAATTAGTTATTCACTTACTCACCCACAAAATATACAATCAATTCACTTTACATTATTTTCTCTGAAGCGCTTTGTCGACAATGTGTTGAGGCGCTATATCAAAATGCAAGGTATTTTATGAAAATTTTAAAATGCAAGGATTATTACTGGGTGTTTGTGGGACATTGCTATACACAAATTGGATGCTGAATTTGCCTACAAATACACAGTTACTACACTTTACATAAATTATGTGAAGCCCTTTGAGATGTCATAAGGCGCTTCATCAAATGCAAAGATTATTATACATTTAATTTTCCTTATTCATTAGGGATGCATTTTAATCAATCAACTTTCGCAATCTGAATGAGTGAGCAACTTGTATTAATTTAAAAATTAAGCTTACTTTATAAGTTGATCCTGATTTAATAAAGTTCTTTTCCAACACATTGTCAAGAGCAGGATCCAACTCCTCCCCTATATCTTCCATTAGCAGAGGATGTCCCAAGGATAGACTGTCCTCCAGGTGACTCCTAAAGTACTTGTGGTTTAAGGATGTTATCTAGAATCACAAATAAAAGACAATTCTATTAACTCTGCTAAAACAGTCCGAAGCAACGACTGAGATAAAAGTCTCATTTCCTCTCCTGTCCCAACAGTATTTTCTTCAAGAAGTATCTGAAGAATAATTCTGATCATAGCACTGTGGAAAAATGCCCTCTCTGTGTGTGCGGCTACCTGAGCTTCCCATTAAGATAAACTGCTTTCTTCTGTCATCCTTCAAAGTTATGTCAATTTCTTTGACACATTACTAAGAGCCAAACAAGTAGGTGGGTTGATAAGTGCACATGGAGAACAAAGCGCATGAATTTCATTGTATGAGTCTGTCTGGTGACTTGAACCTTGAAAGAGAACACAACAATGCAATGTGGAATTCCCTTCTTGTGCAGTACAATAGTTCAACCTTGTACCTTTGTTAACTGAAGGATATTTAAAAGTCTTTAAATATTTTATTTCATATAAGGCACATGCTCAGGAAAGTTATTAAACAGTCAGTGTCACAGAAACATGGTTAAACATTCTGCAGTGGAAACAAATACTGTACTTGACTAGGATAATAAGGAAATTAATTTCCATTTGTGCGTATCCAAGTGAGTGATTGTGTTTGTACATGTGAGAAGCAGAGGTTTTTGCGTCATAGAGAGAGCAAATGATATAATAAAGGTTATATAAGTCACAATTGAAGGTACTGTTGAACAGATTGAATAAGGTTAGTTGCTTCATTCCAGTTTTCAATATGAATAAAATATGCACAAAATGGCCTAGAGCTACACACAAGATTAATTGTTGCAGTTGCTTGTGCAATTTCTAAAATGGAACTCGAAAAAATTATGTTGTATAATTGATTTTGTTGAAGCATTGAAGCATTCTTCATATTAAATCAGCAGCATTGATTCAGATTTATAATTTGAATTTAGTTTTATCAATCAGGTATAATAAACAAATCACCTCCCACAAATTACCTGCAATTCATTGTTTTTTTCTTTATTTTTGATCCAAATCTTGCCTTGTCCTTGTGGGTCAATCAGTAGTGGGTATCGAGATGCTTTGGTTACTATAATACCATTCTGTATTGACAGGTCATCACTTGGAAGTCCCTGGAGGTTCCATTCACCAATTGTAGGATTGTCAACCAGCATACTGATTAGATTGATATCCTGAAGGGTAAAGAAAACAAACACCGTTACAACTCCATGTTATGTATAACAATCTCTTCAATGCCATCAATGCACTTTTGAATAAAAATAAATATTTAAACTGCAATCTTAATTCTTGTTGCAGCAAAAAACAATATGTAAGATCGTAAATGGATCTGAAAATGTCGACCTGGAATAATGTTTTCAACTACACCATGAAAGCAAAAGGGCACAGGTTCAGAGTTGGGAAGGGCAATTTGTTGGGGAAAATTCTGGGCTATAGGATTCTATAAATCTATGAAAAAGCTACCAGGAAGGTAGAGATACTGGTTTCATTTAAGAAACAGCTTGATGCTGTGATGGGAAGATTGTAAACTAGGATTTCGAGAATCAAATGGTCCATTGATTAAATGGTCCAAAATGCCTTCTTCATCCAAACCTCTCTTATGATCTCGTGATGGAATCGCTTGCATCCCTGCTGAAAGCAAGATCCATAGAGACATTCATCGTTCACTAGAAGTTAGTAGAGAAAACAGGAAAGGGCAGTTGGTTCACTAAACAGTGAACGCACAATGGAACTCATTTTCTGAAGCTTAAAATTTGTTTCATGCAGGACAATGCAGAAAATAAGACTCCATTAAAAATGCCACTAAAGAATGAGAAAATCTTCTAAGAGCAGAAGCAGTTTCTAACATTTCTACCCAGTTCATTAAAACCTGTATAAATGTTATGTAGACTTTAGGAAACTTTCTTGAAACTTCACAAAACTTCTAGCCAAGCGGCAGTTGTATTACAGTCTATAGTCAAAATGTGAAGGAACAAGGCCTCTTTATTAGACGATTGAAGGGACACATTATCTTTATTACAACAGCAACTTATGTTTATATATTGCCTTTTATTTTAAAGAATATCTAAAAACACATGACAAAATGAATACAGAGCAGGGAAATGAGAAATGTAAAAATGTTGATCAAAGTCACATTCAAAGAAATATGTTTTTGAAGCTTAAGGATGAGCTATTAAAAGTCTGGAAATGCCATCAGTTGGGTACAATGTATTTACTGGCAGGAGGTTTACAATTTGCCTGTAAGTGTCAGAGCATTAAACAGAGAATCATTCGTAACATATGTGGATGTCCAGTATTACATTGAATTGCGCTGAATCAGGAAATTGAACATTTCGGAGAACAGGCAATACATTGCTGCAAACAGGTAAATAGTAAATGGATTTCATTCTATATGTGTGCGACTTTCTATTAAACTGCCCCTCAGCTGAGCATATTAATGAGGAGTTGCAGTTACACAGGGTTTTGTTTCCCATTACACGTTATAACCTATGTTAATACAAGAATTAACATTTAGCATTTGCTCCAAGCCACCTTGAAAGACGTGCAGCAGCAGACATCCAAACAAGCAAAATGGAAATTAATTGAACAGCAATTTAATTATATGCCAATTCCAAATAACTAAAAACACAAAATATGTTCAGCTTCATTAAACAATGAATCAAAATAGCTTTGCTTCTTACAGCTCCATTAAGTAGAATTGGAAAGAAACAATTTTAAAGCTGGGTTGTTCTCAATAGTTTGAAATTTGTAAGCCAGAAACTCATGCAGAAATCCCACGCACAGTTTAAACAGAACAGTAATCTGGTGACACTATCTATGATGGTAGAAGTCATGCAAACTGCTGAACTTTTACAATGAATAGTTTCAGTTGTTTTATCATCATAGAATCGTTCATTGCATGCAGATTGACTTCAAAGGTCTCAAACCCATATTTATTATAAAACATGAGGGACTCACCCATTTGCTTTCATCTTTTTCAACAAGCGGACATTTGTTCATGTTCAGCAACAGAGAAAGTCCCATATTTCACTCTATCATCGTCAAATTATCATTTATACCACCAACAATCTAGTAAAGCTGGAAATTTCCCCCGTGTCCAAAGTGCCTGGAAAATCAATTTTCTGCTGCTCTGTCCTCTTGATCATTTCCATCCATTTCTCCACTTATCTCTTCACCCAGCTGTTTCTGAACAGTTCACACCTCATTATCTATCTTACTGGCTGTCTCTTCGTTCATCGCCTAATTGTATGCCCTTCCGCCTGGCTCCCTAATGTCTCTGTTTTGTTTTTTTAGTAGCTTTCAACAATCCAATCTGCCAAGGTTCCAATGAAAAAATAATGCAATAAAAGAAAAAAAGTGGGAGGAAAAGAAACAGCTCAAACACAAAATCTAAAGAAAGAGAAAATGAAAACAGAGTAGGAAGGGCTGAAAGTAACAGAGAAGATAAAAAGCAAACAAATGATTAAAGATCAGTTAACAAGTTCACAGTCAAAAATGCCAATGGGTTGTTGGCCTTTGTCACAAGAGAGCTGGAGCCTAAAACAAAGCAGTGATGTTACAGATGTATAATGCCTTGGTTATACCTCATTTGGAGTACTATATGCAGTTTTAGATACTGCACCTCAGAAAAGATACACCCACCTTTGAGTGTATGACAAATTCACCCAAATGTGATTGAAGGGGCTTAGTTCTGAATGGGCAAACATTGGCTGGATGGATTCTCTTAAACAAAGACTTTATGGGGTGATCTGATCAAGGTACTCAAGATAGCAGAGGGAATTCACAGGGTGGATAAGGGAGATTATTTCCCAAGGCTGCAGGATATAGAAAACAAAGGCCTTACCTAAAAATTAGAGCTAGTTAGTAGTGAAATAAGAAGACCTGCATTTATTCAGAGTTGTGGGTTTGTGAAATTTGCTTTCTTGGGTGGAGTAAGGGTATTGGGGTATTATAATTTCAGAAAAATTTTGTTGAGTTTCAGATCAGGCATAATCTAAGAAAATGGTGGAGCAGGCTCAACAAGGCTATTCCTAAATTCAAATTACCCTTCACGTTACCACTTTTAAGAGGAGTGTTTCTTTTTCAATCCTCATGTGCAAGCAAAGCTTTATTATGTACACTGTTCACTCAAAACTTAATTCGTTCCACCAACAGAACACAAATGAGGTACACACAAACGCATTAAAATGATATGCTTATTTTTAAAGAAATGCAGATATTTTTCTATTGAAAGTAAAAGACATACATTTCAGAAGATGGACTTACATCGTTGTATGGAATTTTATTGCTGCTCATCTCCTTCTTCCACATCTGAAGCAGAAGGTTCCTGTATTCCTGGTTAAATGGGCCAGAATAAGAAAGAAACCCAGTGGCCAATAACACATCACCCACTAACCGAGTAATCTGATTCTGGAACAGTTTGCTGCTCTCTGTCCAGCGAATCTGTGATTTTGAAAAAGAAAACAATAATAGAACAATGCAATGAATTCCCACTTCTAGTTTATTTCTTTTTTTAGCTCCTTGCGATCTTTTCCTAGTTTTAAAAAAACTGCATAGGCTGAAAATGAATTACAACAAAATAATAACTTGGTTAGCTCCCCCAAGGGCCATGACCATTGTTCATGTGTGAGCTTTAGCAGTGAGTTTTGGCAGAATATTTGATCATGGGACTACAAATGAACTTAATCCTGTCCTCATCTGAAGTCCACAAATGTGAACCTTCTGGCAGGAATCTCTGACTGGAATCAGGAAAGTAACCTTAGCTGATTTTCCCACTCCTTAACAATGCCGTAGGTAACAGTGAACCCAAATGATATCCTGCCGATAATAATAAACCTCGCATTTGATATGGTAACTTTCACAGACAGAGAACCATCTCAAAATGCTTCAGAGGATTCACTAAAATGTTTTGTGGACTGACTATTTTGTCTTAGGCAAATGCAACAGCCAATCTGCGAACAGTACAACAACAAATTACATTTAAATAGAAACCTTTCACATTGGAAGGACATCCCAAGGTGCTGTAAATTTCCCATAAACAGCTATGAAGTGAATTGCCAATTTTATTTGTGAGGCTATTGGTTGAGACACTGGGAGCAAACTACATTCTGTTTACATGTAATGCCATAGAATTTTTCACATCCACCTGAACAAGCAGTCAGGACCTCAGTTGAACATTTTATCTGAAGGGTGGATTTCCTGAATTACAGCACACCTCTGGGTGGTACACACCTCACTCTCCTACCCAATTAACATGTTGATTCATAATGGTTCACCCTGTGGTTTCTTCATTGATAATAAAATGGTTTGGATTAAATAAAACAATTGTTTAAATTGGTGCATATTCTGGTTCAGTCTATACTGTTTATAAATCCAAAGATCGTCAAACATCAAAAAAAATACCGGCTCTCAAAAAGAAATCAAAACTGGGTAAGCTTAAGTACAGGTGTATCCTTGAGAAAACAATTCTTTGGATGTGATTTTAGGAATGTCGTACCAAAATACAAACTCAATGGATGAACATTTTCTTTAGGCAAAAAACATTTTCAAAGTCACAGAAGTAAGAACCAACAAAACCATCTGTTCAAATGAGTCATTTCTGAGCTTGGGAGCAACAAGGTTGGAGGTTCCAAGCTCCAGGTAAAAATTAGAAATGTGACAAGTTATTTAAAGCAACTGGTCAACTTATTTAACTCTTGCAGGAAAAATCTCAACAGTGGTTTGTTGTAAAAAGTTGCCATAAAATCCGTCTTTAGGTGTCCCGAATATATGGAGCAGAAAGGGTAGTGAGATGTTGGCAGTAATAACATTAAACGTGAATTGAGTTCAGGCACAGAGAATAAGAACAAGACCCTCATTTTTTGCTTTTTTTATCTCATTGCTGTCAGGCAAGAGTCTTATTGATCAGCAACTATTAATTCCTTAGAAACAGCAAGGCTAACTAAGGCATCAAAGCTTGGTATGTACCAAGTGGCATTTGAAAGCATCCATACACCTTGGATCAATAATACTCTGAATGCAGTCATTCCAGCTGATGAGAAAAGTGTCAGTTGTCAAAGTAAGAGACAGAAGCAGTCCTTTCAATAACACTCTGCTTAGCACATTTGTCTTGAAGCTATTATCTGTTTAGAACATTTGTCTTGAAACTACCAATTTAGGGCAATGGTTGTATTTTGGTCAATCTCGACAGGCCAAAAATAGCACTTTATAGACCACTGCGCAAGAGAATTCCATTGTAATAGCCTCATGGGATTTTGTGTCCATAACAACTATTGCCATTAAGACAAAATCCCCTGATCAGAACTTCATTTCATTCCTGGTCTCCACTGGTAGAATGAAGCATTTAAGATCAAGAGAGGTGAAACAATCCTATGGTAAGGATATTATACCCAGAGCTGTTTGAAAACAATCAAAAGGTTTTTGTCATGAACAAGATGGGCGAGGATTAATATCCCTCACAAGATTGATCTGGATGAAGCACTACTCAAATGCCCTCTTTGCTGATCTCCCAAGCTTCACAATCCACAAAATCCAGTTAATCCAAAACTCTGCCACCCACATACTCACCCTCACTAAACTCCATAACCCCATCACACCAGTTCTCGCCAGGCTCCACTGGCTCCCTATCAGCGAACTGATCGATTTCAAGATCCTCACCCTCGTTTTCAAATCACTTCATGCCCTGACACCATCTTCCTGCTTGTTCTTCGTGCCCTCAGTTTCACCATCAGTGGCTGCTTTCAGCCCCGAAACCCTGGAACTCTCTCCCTCAATGCCTCCGCCTTGCCCAATCCTTCCCCATCTTCAGGTCGCGTCTGAAGACCCTCATCTTGGTCCATGCCTACGGTCACCTCCCCCTCCCCCCGGCTCGGCGTCATGCTCCGCCACTGTCAAACGCTCCAAGAATGTTGTCCTGCGTGAAGGGTGCTATATGAATGTGATTTGTTGTTGTTGTTGAAAAGACCACTCAGCCCATCTGATTTCATCTCTCCACTATATCCACCCGTTTTTCCCTGATCACTGCATCAAGCTGCTTTTTAAATTAGTCGAGTTTTTTTGAAAAACAATTCCGTTTCAGGCCCGGTTGGATAGGTGCGAAATGTGGAAACCCAGCATATGCTAGTGTTCTACATGCCTGCTCTACATCATATAGATTTCCAGTTAATTTGGGCTGTCCCCGTCTAAAAAAAAGTCTTTGAGACTGGTCAGACAACTCGGTTCTGAACCCATGTCAATTATTAGGTTTTATTTTATATAGGTAGTCTTCCATTTCCTTTGTGATGATTGACTCCATAAGTTTTTCCTATTATTAAGGTCAGGCTAATGGGTCTACAGTTGACAGGTTTAGTTTTGTTGGTCTTCTTGAAAATGGGAGCAACATTTGCTTGCTTCTAGTCTGTTGGAACCTCTCCAGTCCTGATTGACTTCCTCATGTCTATCAGTGCTACACAAATCTCCTGCCTGGAGTTTAACTTTCTTATGAGATTTGTTAGTTTTCACCCCTTTGAGCCTATCCAGAATCTCAGCCTTCTTTCTATTTGAGTCCTGGAATTCAAACAATGTTTGCTGGCTATTGGGAGGCATGTTTGTAGTGTTCTCCCTGGTAAAAAAAAACTCCAGAAAGTGGTTATTTAATATGTTTGCAATTGGCCTATCATTCTCTTTTTCAACCCCATTTGAATTCCTCAGGATACTAACACCTTCCTTGACTACCCTCTTATCGTTGTAATATTGAAAGGATTTGGGAAGGGGTTGTGTTTTTCATTTGCTGCGACTATATATCCCTTTCCAATTCTCTCTTGGCCTTTTGAAAGAAATTATTTCTTCTTAATCGAAAAGAAATTGCTAAAACAAAAAGCAGTCATGTGAATTGAAAGGCCGGAAATTATGATTCATTCACAAGATTCAAAGAAAAATATGTGAGAAGGCCTTGCTATTTCATTTTGATCTTATTATGGCCACCAAGCAGGATTTTAATGAGGAATAAAAGGATTTTTTTTTCAACCAAAGCATTTCTGAATAATATTTAACTCATGCAACCAGTCGCTGACTAGAGACTGTGTAATTCTATCACTGGATGAGAACTCTGGAAAACATTCTATTCTGCAATCATGATGGTAAATCCATTTATAATTGAATCAAGAGTTGTACAATACTTTAATATATAAATTATCAATGCAGATTCAACAATCTTCATCGAATGAAGTAACCTTGAAAAACTATTTTTACTGAGAAGCAATACTGCATATTATGGTTTATGACAAATTCATATTCTTTTACCTTCTCACCACCCAGTCCATCAATGAGAGCAGTGGCATTGTCCATTTTCCTACGACAGGCCTCTGCATCATCAAGTAATGCTTGTTTTTCTGTCATGGCAGCATCATACATCGCCTGCACTTCATCCAGCTCTTGCTGCTTCTCATCCAGCTGTGCTTGGGCATTGTTCAGCTCACCTTGAGCAACAATTAACCGGGCCTCTTGCAGAGTCAGGTTTGCCTATTTAGAAATACATGCATGGAAGTCAAATCTATCCTGTTTGTTTCTTTCTACATTCTGCTGGCAAGCAATGAAGAATGCTAACCTAACAGACCAGTAAGTTTCACAGTATTTGCCATCCAGCACTACCCTTCCCATTAGTTTTTGTTACTCAAGGTATTCAGGACTTAACTTCACATTCAAGTCTCATTAATGGTGCAGACTGCCTGGTCAACCCTTAATAATGGCCTGGATTACTGATGATCTAACTAAATTTTATACATTCTGGGAGGAAGAATAAGAAGAGTGATGGTAAAGAATAATTCTGAATTTGTCTCATCAGCAGCATTCCAGTTCTAGACCAGACAATCAGAAACAGGCTGGAACAAGCAAAAAACATCCACAGAATTAAAAAGCTATTGTGACTTCTATGGAAGCACATCAGGAAATTAGTCCAAACACTAAATAGTAAGTAACCTGCTTATTCGGAAAATTGATAATCCCCTCTCTGTGATTCTGCAGGACCACCAGTGGTGCAATGGGTATACCTCACCTTAAGTGGAAGCACTTCCTTATTAATATCGAAGAAGCTTGCCATGGCTAGGGTCCAGGAGCACAGACCTGCGACATTCCCACACACTTTCTTGGTAGTTTCAAGATTGTAGTCCTCCATATCCATATAAGGCTGAAGCAGATCCACAACTTCTGCAGTGATTGTATCCTGCACATCAAACAAGATAAGGTAAATTTGATGGCAGAGTGGATACAATACAATTTTTATTGATAAACACTGCCTTTCATCTCGAGAAGCTGTTTCAAAGCACTACACATTGCTGGCTAGGAATGAGAGCTGAAGAAGGTGGGGGTGAGGGTGGTGGGGGGGGAGAGAGAGAACCAAAAATACTGTCAAAGAGCTAATTCTTGAGGCAGGCTTTGAAAATGGTACATGTCTCAAAGCGTTTCACAAGTTTTTGTAATGACTCTGTATCTTTGTAGGGGAATGAGACAGCCAATTTGCACCCAGCAATATGCCACAAACAGCCATGAAGTGAATGATACAACAACAACTTGCATTTATATAGCGCCCTTCACACCAGGTAGTGTCCCAGAGCGCTTAATAGTGGCGGAGTCTGACTCCCAGAGCGCTTAACAGTGGCGAATGATGAATTTTACCTGTAGAATTGTTGGCCAGGACACTGGGAGAAATTCATTTCTCTTTTTGAATGGTGCTAATACGTTCTTGTGAAACGACCACCTGAACAGATTGCCAGGACCTATGTTTAATGTCTCATTTGAAGGTTTGTATCTTTGACATTGCAACACCCCCCTCCCATAAAGAGCTATATCAAATGCAATAATCCTTGCATTTGATATAGCGCTTTATTGCATCGAGACGTCTCAAAGCGCTTCACACAATAGTGAATTTACTGTATATTTTGTTGGCAAAACATGGCAGCCAATTGTGCAAAGCAGTGTTCCACAAAGGGGGAGGTATTATTACCCCACAAAAATAACTCGCCAATCGACTAACAACTTGGTTCCTACTTTCTACTAGGTAAACAGAGGAGTGTGCAGGAAGGAAACTTGTCTAAGGTTTCAACGGAAATTGAACCCGGATCCTCTTGCTTGCGAGGTGAGGGCTCTAACCACTATCCTACGGGACTCCACCATTAAATTGGTGAGAACTGAGGTCATGGGTGTGTGGAGTTTGGCGCAGATGAAGGTGGTGCAGTTTTAGATAAATTGCATCTTGTGAGTGGTGTAGCTGGGGAGAGCAGTGCGTTGGAAAAGCCTAAGCAGGATGTGGTGAAGACAGGAATGAGTATTTCAGCAGCATTGGGAGGAGGGTGATGTGTGTAATCTTAAATTATAAGGCAAACTAGTCTCACAGTATGACTAATAGTGATGTGTGTTGCAGGGAATCTACCTTAAAGAAAGAAGCAAGAGGAAAAGAAAAAACGAATTCCAAATAAATGAATGCAAATTAGGATTGTATACAATTAAAGAACATTTAGTAAAAACATACCCACAATAAACACACACACTACCTTGGGGAAAGTCAACAACATGCTAAGAAATCCAGAGTTATTCATCAGCTTTAAAGCCTCAGTCCACGATGGCTTGACACAAGGCCGGTCTGGATCCAAAGTCACAGGGTCTACTTTTCTTTGGAACAGAAGCAGCACACAGTCCATGATTCGCATTATCAAGTGGGGTGGTTTGCCTAACTTACGCACCGTGGCGATATCAGCTGGTTTGATGGTCTGTAAACAGTTCAAAATAATTAGATTTAGCACCTGTAGTGAGAATGTTTTAATCCTAAATTAAAATGCATGTAGACACTGGTATCAATTTCATTTAGAACGATTATTACTGTACTTGATTTCTATTCCTAATAGCTTTTCACTGAGTTTTCTGTAAAGTGTAATACGTATGTTTTTGTAGGCAAACCTGGACTACAAGCTTGAGTCTCCAACACTGGGCTTGAACCCACAACGTTCTGATTTAGCAGTGAGTGCTACAAACTGAAGCTAGCTGTTTTACTGCAGGTAGTTATGGAGCCAGTGTATCATAACTGAATACATACAAGATTTTAATTATTATTGATATGCATATTTAAAACAAACTTTAACAGTGTTGTGCTGGTACTACAGTGGGTATCAGCAGCAATAGAGGTGATAGTTGGGATCCAATAAAAATCCATTACTGGTCAGCATTTCTGCATTCACTGTACACACAGCAGTTTCCCACCTGCTAAAAATTGTCAAGCTTTTGGAGCATCCTCCAAAGTGAAAGGTGGTAGAAGTGTAAATTATATTGTATTGTTACCAACTTCATTTCCTGTGTATTGTGCAGCACTCAGGAAATTATGTCAACAACAACCTGGAAGTCAGCCATTTTGTTTCCTCCACCTCAGCCAAGTGCCAATGCAAAACAATTCACACATATGTATTATATACCACAGATATATATATAATAATATATATAATATATATATGTAGGACCTTTCACATCTGGAGGACACCCCAATGCGCTTTGGCAATCCTAGCTGGGCACTGAAGCTGAGGGTGGGAGCTGAGTGGGGTGAGGAGGGGAAAGATGCCTAAAAGCACAGTTAAAATGGTCATTTGCCGATGAAGCAAAACACGTACATTCTTAATTTTTCTTCAGTAGGTAAATGTCAGGATCCACACCCCAACTGAATAATAAGCCAATCAATGTTTAAACATGCTTCCTGCTGTGCTGTTTAACTCCTGTAATCCCTTCAACTCAATATTAATAATATTAGTAACAGTCGGCCATAGGTCTGTTAACTTTTAAATACTTGTTAAACTTTTTCAACACCATTATTGGCCTATTCTTTTTGATGACCTTTGTGATTAATGACATTTCAAAGACAAAACATAAATGTTTAATGTTTCTACCCTGTGAAATAAATACTGTACATAACGCTTAGTTTTGCTCAAGCTATGATAGCCTGTGTCTGCACTGCAATGTTATTTACAGCCCTTATCTCCACCAGCACAATTAGTCGCATTATTTACATTGGTCAAATGGATCATTTCTGCTCATTCAGATGGCAAATTGGAATCATTGCTTCCACTAGCAGAGTTAATACTTGGTGATGCTGAAAATGTGAGTGTAAACTGAATGCAGTTAGTATAGCAAACCCATCACTTACCAGCAGGGTTATCTGAATCTTATGGAAGTGGTAACAGTGGTTGATTTTTTTTCCCCCACTCAAATCGAGTGGTGTTGAGAGTATCTGTAATGCCTTAACTGCTACTCCAGGTGAGATCAGTTAACTCCTCACAGATTGTGAACCCCTTACTTCCGTGTCTGTAAAATGTTCTCTGGTGTCTTTACCTACCCTCCCTTAATAATACTATTAATAATCCTTGCATTTGATATAGCGTCTTATCACATCTTTGAGGCTCCTCAAAGCACTTCACAGAATATACTATGAACATATAATGAATTGACTGCATATTTTGTAGGAGAAATGTGGCAGCCAACTGTGCCAAGCAGTGTCCCAGAAACGTGGATTGAGTGACCAAAATTTTTTTGAATAACAGCTCCACATTATTTTTTAATAATTAATCGTCTCAAATCAAAGTACTCCACACATACTGGAAAATTAAAAGTTGACAGTTGATGGATAAAAAACAAGCATTGCAAAATATATTAACTTTAGCAATTAAAAACAACCATAGCAATGGTTAATAATTCTCTCCGTGTTCCAAAATAGACTATGGCCACACATAACTTGAGGATCTTATCTTGTTATTCTTTGAAATTATTCATACAAGGATCATTTTAAAATGATGCAAAGATTATTAATCTTCTTGGCAGAGAAAAAAATAGTTATTTGAACTTTCTGAGGAAAGAAAATGATTAAGGCAGCAACAGTTGAGTGAACAGAATGTAGCTTGAGTTCAATAAACAAAGTGAATAAGAGTATGTTTAAATCTATCATGTTGTATCTTCAGAATATCACATCTTTCTAAGAGTTCCATGCAGAGGTTTTACCAAGTCGTTACTCCTCAGTAACACCTGGATAAATGTACAGCATCTCCATTATAGTGCAAAGGGGAGAATTTCTTTTTATTGTGTCTTTAAAATTGGCTTTGCTTTGAGTGAACCTACTGAGTCACCACAGCAGCTCTGATACACAGCAACTGGAGATACAATAACATGAGTAAACCACTGTATCAATAGTACTTTTTAAACATAATTTCTAGTCAATTTGAATCCTCCTTACTCACAGAATATCACAGGAAGTCGTGATAGATTCTTTCGCGTTTAAGTGAAATGATTACAATTGCATTGCAGTTCAACAGAACTTGAAATAACCTACTGATTGAATTGCCATGTAACAGATAACATTCCTGTTATACTGCATAAATACATTGATATATACATACATATATATATAAAATTTCAGAGTGCTAATCTTTCATGGTTTGCCCCATAAAGAATACTGTAATTGTTCCTCATAGGTCAATAATAATTAGCACCTCCAGTCAAACAACACTTATTCTTTCTCTCTGAATTAACTCAATTTCTTAATTAATTATTTTAAATCTTATTTTCAGCTCCAGGAAACAGTTTCATAAAACCAATTAACTTCAGGATGCATGTAGCTAGTCTATTTTATATCATAACCAAATCAAGGGAATCAGGTGAGTTTCAGTCCTAACACTGGTTGGAGGTTGCACTAAGTGTTTAGTGAATGTTACAAGACCAGGACATAGACTGTTGTAGAATTTTAATTTATATATTTTTTTCAGTTTCAAACTTAATCAGTAATGCTCTATCGGCTTCCACCCATGAAAATCCTAATGCAGTGTTACTTTGTCTTGGCAAACAAGATTTCAATACAAGAGGTTTCAGTGGATGCAACAGGCTGTGTATTTGAGAAATTGAAAACATTGTATTCAGCTCTGGAGATCCAGCTTTGAAGTTATCTCTGTGAAAAGAGATGAAGGTTTCCTCTCAGGCGTGACTACCAAAGGTCAGTTAAAATGAGCTTTGATGATCTCACTCTGATACAAAGCAGTGGGCAAATATTTTGCAATAATAATTACATTTTCAACCTAGGAAAACAGAGTTAGTGCACTGAGAAAATGAAAGACTAGAACATCACCCAACACCATAAAGAATCTCTTTGAGGCTGTGCTGCAGGGAGCATTCTGCATTGTAGCCAACTGAAACAATGAAAAAATTCTGATATTGGTGGTCAGACGGATGTCTGACACGTGCTGAAACCCATCACCATACTTAAGAGCATCCAAACCGGACTGAGAACTCTGTGAATATCACCGTCACATGGAAAGGGGGTGAATTATTCTGAATAGTTTAGAGAAGTTCATCGTATTTTATAAAATATAACTTGATTATTAATTTGTGTATTTTCCCTCTATCCCGAATTACACTAGAAGCAAGAACTCACATAACAGCAAAGTACATTATGAAAGACTTCTACTGTATTTCCACAAAGTGAGAGCCTACTTAGTCAGACCTTTAGTTTTTTATTAGGAAAGTGCAATACTGTGGGGTCAAAAGTATTTTGATTGCCATTATAAGGTTTTAAGGGGGTGAGATTACTATTTTAGAAAGCATTGGACATTAAATACTTTGTCTGCAGTGGAACCTTTGCAATCATAGAATAGAATTCAGTCTGAGCTTGAAAAAAATATTCAATGCAAAATTATTCTTTTCCCTTGACTCTTATTATTCGACCGCTTTAATACATCACATCAGAGTACGATCCAAGTTTTGACAAACAGCATTAGATCTGCCAGAGCTCCACAGAGGCTGCAGCAGAAATACAACTGCTACAACATTAACTATATTAATTTTAAGTTTGTAAAGTTTCTCGGCTATTTTGTATGTTGGCAAAGATCTGACAGGGCAGTTACCGTTCACATGACAATGAGTAGATCTCTTTGTTGCCCAGTATAAGAATGCAAAGGTGCAATTGGTGTGTGACCAAAACAATCCGGTTTGGAGAAAATATTGGCAATGATGTGGAAATAGTGGATATATAAATATTTGATTATTTCATGTGGTTTATAAAATCTGAACTAATTGAAGGACCATTTCCCTATCTTCAAGACCATGGAAAAGAGAAGACTGGCAAATCATCAGAAAGCTTTTCACTGTAAAATCAGGTAAGCCTTAAATCAGATCCTAGAACAGAAAAGGATTACTTTTTTCCCCTCCACAGAGCAGTACATTTGTAGAACATGCTCTCAAAGGGAGCAAAATATGGTCTCCCATGCAACGTCCTTCCAAAAGGAGTGGTATAAATATTTCACAACTGAGATGGACACCCAAGAATGATCATATGACCTTGACCCTTCATGACAAGTAAATAAAAAACAGGGATAGGAGAACCAGCGTGGGATTGTTCCACAGGCAAAAAAAAAAGACTCAACAGGATTAATGGCATCAAAGCATTCTGCTCATTGAGATATGGGAATTGAGAAAGAAAGTGGATCATAAAAACATCATAGTGACACCACATGTGTTAAGCAGCAATTTAAATTCATAACCTTTTGGTCAAAAATTAGCAATATTATGGGTATTTCACCAACTCTTTGGATTGAAATGTGGTTCTACAGGACTGTTGGGTTGCCAACCTGTAAAGCTGCTTCTGCCTCTTCTAAAGCAGGTTTTGCTGCCTCCAGTTTTGTTTCTGCTACTGTTTTGTCAGCTTCAATTTCTTCCACGATGGCCTGAGCTTTGTCCTTCACCTTTTGCACCTGCATTTTAACTTTTTCAGCCGCCTGCGCTTTTATTGTTACTTCCTGCAGAACTCCATCAGCCTTTTCGGAAGCAACAGCCAAGACCTGTTCCTTGACCACAAGCTCCTTGGACAGCTGGTTTACAGACACTTCAGCTTCCATCAGCTTTGATAGACCTGCGCAGAAAAGACAATGCTTGAAAAAAATACAAATTAATACTGATGAATACAAAAACACACCGTTTTCACAAAATACGTAGATGTGTTAGGCATTAGGTGTCAGCTTGGCTGTCAGGTTTGTTAGCAATGTAATATTGACATGGCCACAAGCAGACTGGATGGCTGCTGTGCCTTAACCTTCGACATGTGTACAGGAACTCCTACTCTCTTTGAGCCAGTTGCTTATACCAAGGCTTTATTACAACAAAACAACTTCCATTTAAGCAGGGCATGCTACTTTAATGAAAAGTAAAAAACTTTATATACAGTTCACCAGTGCTTGTTCAGTTGTCACTTATCTCCTGATATTTTCTCTTTTCCAATTTTTAAAAGTCTTTTTCTTTCAATTCTACTATTTACTGTCTAATCCAACCTTTGTTTTAAGCCCACTCCTAACTTTAAATCGGATGATTGTCTTTCTTTTACCTCTCGTTCATTTATTTGGGCAATTGGGAAGTTCTTTTTTTAAAATCACCCAGTTAGTTTTGTAGCCAGTGAACAGGTAATAATAATGATAATCCTTGCATTTGATATAGGGCTTTTCACATCTTCTAGATGTCTCAAAGCGCTTCACAGAATATGCTGTAAAGTGAATTGACTGTATATTTGTGGGCGAAATGCGGCAGCCAATTGTGCACACCAGTGTCCCACAAACAATTGTGGATTGAAAATGACCAATTTATTATTGTTTTGTTTTGGAGGGATTATTATTAGGCGTGTGGAGTAAATTAACTTGCCCAAGGTTTCGTCCTGCGTGGAATTGAACACAAATGTCTCGCTTGCAAGGAGAGTACCCTAACCACTGAACTACAGGACTCCATGAAAATTTGCCAGGTAAATGATTACTGGTTGACGGAGCAACATAATTGATCCAACCAGGAAACTGAATCTCAAAGTGAGAAGTAAGAGGGAGGAATGTGTGAATATCAACAGCTACCAAAGAGGATCATGTCCTGATGTGTAGCCATGCACTGGCTAACAATTGGTCATTCACTTCATGGTTTTTTTGTGGATCACTGCTGTGGGTTAATTGGTTGTCCGCTCCCCTACAAAGCATCCAGTCACTACACTCTATAGTAAATCCTGTGAAATACTGCCTTATCACATTGTTACATTTGATATGCAAAGAACATTATTGTTATGATTATTATTTATTATTATTATACCAATGGAATTCTAAGGGTTACCAAGGTTGACTCACCATTGAGCCACTAGTGGTCAGTAATAACATTCACTTTTTTTTTAAAACTTGCCATTAGATGTATGTTGAGACATCTTTCCATCAAATGTCAACAAGAACCATAACCGAATACCAGAAATATCTAGAAGTTTTGTTATGTCTATAACAACAACAATCTTACATTTGTATAGTGCTTTTCACGTCGGGAGGACGTCCCAAGGCTCTGGACATTGTACAGCACTTCAGACCCGAGTTGGGGTCAGGGGGGAGAAGGGAGGGGATGGGAAGGGGGGGTGGCCGATGGCATGGTCGAAGAGGAGGATTTTGAGGCGGGACTTGAAGGAGGCTAAGGAGGGGACCAGACAGAGTGATTGCGAAGGCCTTGCGAAGGTGGAATCACAATTGCACATGGTGCTGGTAAAACCAAACATTAACTTAAATCCCCTTTGTAATATTGGCTAAAAGAAATAGTTGTGGCTGGGAGTTTATGCCTGTACTAGAGTGAATTGAGAAGAACTAGTTGTCTACAATTTTTTAGAGTAATTAGTGGACCCGGCAGGGATCCAGAGAAGTAAATCCAAAATGCTGTTACACGAAGACAATATCAATTTGTGCGTTTGTTTTTAATCTCCTGCTGTACGCTGGTCAAATACAATTAGACAAAGGGGTGTTTTGAGTAAATACAGTTTGAGATCTTCCTTGGTTTGACAGTTCTCCAAATATTTGTTGGTCTGCTTGGGTTCACATAATGAAAGTAGGCTGGGGCATGTTATAAGCATTGCCAAAATACAACATGAGCTTTCCTCAGCCCCCTGGAGGTAGAATTTACTTTTGTCACACTTTGTTTTCGTGCCCTTACTCTACATCAAAGACATCATATAGAAAATTGAGATGGGAAGTATATTGGTTTGTATCCCGTGAAGCTGCAATCAGATACTGCCTCCAGGATCTGAAATCGAAGGAAATAAAGCCATATCTCTCTGACTCACCCCCTCTGATTCTTTTTCAAATCCTGCCTTGAAGCTTACCTCTTTCCCCATCTCTTGAACTCATTACCCCACCCTCTACCCGCCCCCTCAGCTGTGTAAAGTGCTTTGAGATACTGTCCTGATGTGAAATTGTGTTGTGTTATTATTGTAAAGTTGGCTAGAATTCAGGATAATCAATAGTGGTGCTTTTTAGCATCCACTCGCAGAAGTCAGGGGATAACTAATTGGTTAACGGGTCTAAATATATGATGTTTGCAATGCATTATTAAACTACACAAATGCCATCTCAGAATCTGATGGATGGCACCACCTAATTGCACGAAGATAGGTATTCACTATTAAATTAGCTGGCACATACCAACACTGCCACAACAAAGCATTGCATCTAAATAGATGTTTTTCTCAATGTGTCAGAAACAGTACAATTTTAATTATTTGCAGTATAATTAGATGAGCTGAAGATCTCTACATCACATTTCTGAATCCATAAAAAGATGTAAGCTCACCACACATCGCAGATTACCAGTGTGAATTATTTTAAACAATTACTGGATGTTAATGCCATCAGAATTATAAAACTGAAACAAAATTTACCTGTCTTCATTCTGTTGGACAACATTTCCACGTGAGTAAATTTCTCCCTATAGATTGCTTTAAAGCCACCAATAAACGATAAGTAAGACTTGGGAGTCACATACATCTGACGCCTGAATCGTTCAAAGTATTCAATGCATTTCTCAGCCACGGTGTCCTGAAATGTTCCCATAGTGTTCACAACACTCTGCTTAACGTCTGCTGTGCACTCAATTCTGTACGAAGCCAAGAAATGCTGGGCTACAGCAACAAGAGCATCTTTCGGCCAGCGCTGAAACCAGTCCATAGTACAACCAGAGATCAGGCCTGGAAATTTGAGGGCACGAGTGCGGAACTTCTCTCCTACAGGAGAAAAGCACAGCACCACATGCAGGTTGCTATTCACACGTGAAAGGAAGTAATTGTAGAGGTTTTCACCAGTTGGCGGTCGCCTAGGGTATTCCTTCTTCATTGCTGGGATTAAATCTTGCGTAATTTCATCAATTTCATCTCGAGCAAAGAGGTTTGAGACCTCGCCCGAGGCTAAAACATTGTTCATATATTCCAGGAAGGACTCTTCTCTTATTTCGTTGTCTGTAAATATAAATGTAACACCCAGCGCCTTCTGCCCAGCAGTGCGATACAGAATCTTCAGGTCATCCATCAAGTTGCTCGCATTGTAAGTTCTAAAACAAAACGGTATTTTCAACCATTTAGATTCCATCCACATATCAAAATCTAGACATGTTTGTCCTACATCTATCCAATGTATTGTATATAAAGCTTTACAACTGTAAAAGAATAAAACAGTGAAGAAACGTGCAGGGGGAATGGTGATTTATAACAGTTGAGGCCAATATTCCAATGCTCAAATGTGCTGGACTTTATCGCAGAGTTCCCTCCCTCACCTCATTCAAGATCCATCTCCAGATTTACCTCATTGTGCTTCAGGGCATCTTGTTCCCCCTTGTTTCCCCTGGACCCCTCTTCCCGAGTGCCACATCCTCCTTGTTTCCCCTGGACCCCTCTTCCCGAGTGCCAAGCTAGTACTGTTAAGCGCTTTGGGACGTCCTCCCAACGTGAAAGGCGCTGTATCAAATGCGAGGATTATTATTGTTATGTAAATGTAAACTTGTATGATACCATTACATCCTTGGGCAATATGTGGCCATTGCTAAAAGTAGCTTGTTTTCTGTAAACCATCAGTCTAATGATACTCTTCTTACAGATTAAATGTAGTACATTTCATCTCTGTACATAAGAAATATGCTAATTTAGTTATTTAGGAGTTCTTTTTTGTCCCAAGAGTATTTGTTTTACCTAGAGGGTAATTAACGACTGGAACAGGTCATAAAAAAGGGTGGTTGAGACCAGGACTCATTTAAAAAAACAGCTTGATGTTGTGAGGGGAGGATGGTAAAATGAGTATTCTGGAAGAATAAGCTCAAATGGACCAAAGGGCATTCTTACCCAAACATGCTTTGCGATCTTGTGAATATGCATGTAACACCAATGAAGCCAGTTCATTTATTTTACATCCATTGTGAGACAGCACAAATAAACCAAAGGAATTGGAAACTCTCTCTGTACACTATTCTGCACCAAGGAAGCAAAACAAATCTAATGATACAATGTAGATTAAATCAGATAAACAATGAACTGTTTTTACCTTGTTAGTATTATCTGAAAACTTTGATATCCAGCAATAAAAGAAGCCAGCCGAGTGAGACTCTGCTTTCCAGATCCACCAACTCCTACCAACAAAGCATTTCCTTGTGGAGTCCGAATAATCCGAGATATCTTCACCAAATGTATCATTGCATCCTATTAGGTGCAAAACAGTTACACTTGCACGTTAGAGTATGTAGATTATATGTGTATATAGTATGAAAAAGCAAAGATAGTCTAATATCCCAAGGATGCCACCAATGATGAAGCAATTATTACACAAACACTAATAAATGACACTCAGAATACAATGTGGAAATAATATTACAATCTCGATTCATGCCTCTAAATTTACAGATTTTACAAAGAACATGATATTTGTACAGAGCCTTTGTATGGTGATAAAAATCTGCCTTGCACAACTGGAACTTTCATTCTGATTATGTTTGCACAAGACATTTATAAGGCAGCTAGTGTGGTACCAGGGAGTAAATAAACCCCCCAACCAGTGTTAGTCTCCATGTGAAGAAACAGTCAAACTCAAAACCTCAGTGTTTCTGCTGCAAATATTGGAAATAGGACCTCCCAATGTAATATATCTTCTCTGTATATCATGCTAACTTGCAAGAATTCAGCTCTGAAGCAATCTTGGGTCAAAGTCAAATCTTGTGAGTTGACATGATGTACAGGGAGAAAATTGAATTTCATTGTGAATACCTTTTTCCCACATGCAACACCAGGAATATTGTTCAAATGCTTTCTCAACCTATATACCCATATTATTGAATCCTCTCAAGGGAAGAAACATTCCCCATCTATCTTCTCTATTTCCTTTATTGTTTTAAACATCTCGATCACATCAACCTTTAACTTTCTTGGTTTTAGCAATTTCAGCCAAGTTTACCTAACCCAGATAACGCAATACTATTACCTTGAAGAACACCAAATCCATTATTGCACCTCTGATAGTTTCATTGTATTGCTGCATGTATAGTTGAAGTCGTTCGGACAACTGTTCAAATGACGGAATTGGCTCATAGACTTTAGGATTTTCCAATTCCATATCTTCTGGTTCGTCTCCAGTGGCCTCTGGAGCATCACGTAGGAAGTCAACAAAAAAACTTTCTTGTTGAATATTTGCCAAAATGACCTCTCCATGGTCATCAGTGGATATCTACATAGAAATGATAAGTTAGTGGTGCTGGTGGTAAAGAGGAATCAGGTATCAGTACAGGAACATTGAACATTGCATTATCATGGCTGTTCTGGCTCACACAAGATATTAAATATGGTCATTATGTTGGTTTTGTACAACAAATGGAAAATGCAGTATTTTCCTAAAACTGGTCAATATGGTCCATGCATCAATGTTCACTAGAGTATGAAATATTCATGCACAACAGAAATTCTTGTTCAGTTCATTTGGGATGTGCGGAAGAACACAATGTCAGTTTTGTGCTTATACAAAATTACAATGACAAAAGGCATATTTGTGTTTGAATGGAACCCCTCTCCCACAGAAAATTAGATTATACATTTTAAAATTCTGAAATATAATGCACACAATGTATGGCTCATGATTTAACAAATAACACAATTCCTTTGTGAATTCCAAAGATAATATTGTAAAGCAGGTTTGCAGTGTGTGTTTTTGTTATCTATCATTTTGCTGTTGAATCAGATAGGAAAACAGAACGCTGCCTAACCTTGTTCATTGTACATGCAAACCAGTCTTTGTCTTGTTGGTTGGTAAATCTATCTGCAATGACACGAGTGCACTCATGCTGAAAAAGTGACACAAGAACATCCGTGGACTTGCAGACTTCAGAGGTAACAGTCAGAATTCCCTGCCAGATACGACTTAAGTCCCGGAGATTAAAGATGTAATGAAATTTGGCTGGAGTGGGCAACATCTGTGTAACAAAATTAAAAACAAACAGGATAAACCAGAGGATTCACAATAAGCATTATGAGTGTTGATGTTCTTTTCTGAATGAAGTCTTGATAACCCACAAAACATAATCTTATGCATACAGTATCAGCTTGTTTTCTTTTATCCTTCACTATTTCGATCTTCCTGTCCCTCCTTCCTTTTATCTTTCAACAACAACAAATTTCACTCCATAATCTACTCCTTCCTGGCATCTTTCATTCAATCCTCTCTTCCTTTCCATCATTTTTTGCCCCATTCTGTCCTAATTCACTGTATACTTCACCCACAAAACACACAGTCACTCCACTCTACAATATATCCTGGGAAGCACATTCTCCCAATGTAAAAGGCATGGAGTCCTGTAACTTAGTGGTTAGAGCACTCGCCTCGCAAGTGAGAGGACCTGGGTTTGATTCTCGGCAGGGCGAAAGGTTGGGCAAGTTTCCTTACTACACATGCCTCTGTTTACCTAGCAGTAAGTAGGAACCCAGTTGTTAGTCGATTGGCAGATAGCTTTTCTTGGGGTAATAATTCTTTCAAATAAATAAATAAATAAATAATAAATAACAGCAGTGTCCCACAACTGTTTATGGGACACTGCTATGCGCAATTGGCTGCCACTTTTCAACAACAACAAGATTACATTTGTATAGCACTTTTCAAGTCAGGAGGACATCCCAAGGCGCTGGACAGTGTACAGCATTTCAGACCTGAGCTGGGGTCGGGGGGGGAGAAGGGAGGGGAGGGGAAGGGGGTAACCAATGGCATGGTCGAAGAGGAGGGTTTTGAGGTGGGACTTGAAGGAGGCTAAGGAGGGGTTGAGGCAGAGTGATTGGGGGATGGAGTTCCAGAGGTTGGGGGCAGAGTGGCTGAAGACTCTCCCGCCAATGGTGGGGTGGGTGGGTTGGGGGACCTGGAGCAGGCCGGAGCCAGCTGAGCGGAGGGAGCGGGCGGTTTGGTAGGGGGTTAGGCGGTCGCAGAGGTAGGGTGGGGTGAAACCATTGTGAGTTTTGTAGGTGAGGACCAGGATTTTGAACTGGATCCTCTGAAGGATAGGGAGCCAATGGAGTCGGGCGAGAATGGGGGAGATGGGGTCATGGAGTTTGGTGCGGGAGAGGACACGGGCTGCAGAGTTCTGGATTATCCACAGCCTGTGGAGGGAGGAGTTGGGAAGGCCGACAAGCAGGGTGTTTGCATAGTCGAGCCTGGAGATGATGAAGGCACAAACAAGAGTTTGTGTACAGCACCAGGCTAAACAAGAAGTGTAATGTGGTGACCATAAGCCTAGTGTTATAAATAGAAATACTTGTCCACTTAATATTTCTCAATAATCTTTGGTCTCCACTAATGTCTCTTTTATATGTTTGCTCCGATCTATAATCTATATAATAATAATCCTTGCATTTAGTATAGCGGTTTTCAGGTTAGAGGAACATCCCAAAGTGCTTCACTGTATAGAAAAGTGCAGTGACTTTTTTTTTCTGTACTGGGCTATAGTGGATTGTATTGTGTGTAATTTGCCCACTAAATCATTGGTTAGGCACCATGAAAAACAAAAACTGCACCTCAAATAGACACTCCTTAAACTGCTACATAATACTGGGGTGCAACATGTTGGGATTCACCATACCTTAATCTTGGTTGCTTGCCACAGTTTGCGAGTGGTTGATACTAATGCCGAGGCTAGTTTGCAAATGTCTTCTGGGAAACCGCGCTGTGCACAGAAATAGCCACTTGCAACAGTTCTAAAGATTTTGTCAATGGACGCGTTTGAAGGCAGCGTGCAGTTGTAGACAGTAAATTGTCGCTTGAGACGTTGAGGGATGTCATTTCTGCCACCTCCAGGATGAATCATAGCAGCTACAAACTGGATGTCAACAATGTTGGTGAACTCTCCAGGTTTTTCTAGATTGTAGAAACCTTTCTGTTCCATCAGCTGTCGGACAATCTCATTGGTGATCTGTTCGATGGACAGAATGTTACGTTAAAGGATATTCTGAGATCTCCTCCTGTCTCCAAACTGAATAGACATTTCTTAAAACGGTACTCAACTGTTAAAAAATGGCATCTTCTGCTATGTGCATTCCTAAAACTAAAGAACTTTGCAATTTCAGGAACCCCAGTGTGTCCTGTAGAATTTATGAGCATCGAGAGTGACAACACTCACTCTCGATGCTGATGTCAATAGTGGCTGCTCAGGAATTTGAGGGCTTCTCTTTCTATGGAATTGTACCACTGCAAAATACACTGTCCTTAGAAATGATGGGGAAAATATTAAGAAAACAAATTTAGCAGCTGGTATTTGGATAATTTGGAAGCAGCCTTATATTAAAAAAGAGGCGGGTTTTAATGTTACATAATCCTTCATTTCAGGCAAACAACAGAAATAATAGATTGGGAAGGAAACTAGAAATATTTCAAAAAGGTCAAACAAATGTTAGGAAATCTACCCTGAAAGTCTGCTGCATTTATACTCTTTGGGGCAGAGAAGCCAAGATCAACCCCAGGTTTATAATGCTTGCTCCACATCGCTTTCAAGTGGGGATGGAAATAACCAACAAAATGCTGGCATTTGTTTTTCTTAGCATCATTAAAGAACCAGTCTTTGGCAGCAGGAGTCAGGCTCCAACACTGTTAAGCACTCTGAGACGATACCCTGTGTGGAGGGCACTATATAAGTGCAAATTGTTGTTGTTGTAGTAATTAAAAAAACAGAAATCGAGGGATTTTAATGCAAAAACACAAATTAATGAATTACCACAGTGACTGAGGTGAAGACTCACCTGATCACCCCATTCATTGATCACAGGCATATTAATGTCATCAATAAACACGGTCATTTTCTTGCCATTGGGTGGACCATATGTGGTACCCATCCGTTTATCGACATAACTTTCGATGCTCCTTTGGAACATGTTTGGTAAAGTGGCAGAGGAGAAGTTCAAACTCTTGGTCGCATGCACCTCAGGATCATACTTATTCATGTAACCCTGAAATATAATAGATAATAGCTAACAAACCTAACCAGGTGGGTATAGCAAATATAGTACAACCTCTCTCTGTCAACTCTGGTACTTAAACAAGTTGAATAATACCAGGAACAGTTGTCTTGACTACATTGTTCAGGAGGTAATGTTTAGAATTTTGTTACTTGGATAAAGCCCATTTCTAAAGGATTGTTTTCCAACAGTTTATACTGCACAGCTCCAACTATGGAATCTTGTGTTATTTTCTTCCTGGTGTACCCTAGCCCAATGTACAAGCTAGAAATGTGGAATGGTCTAATATATATCAGCTAATAATTCAAAGGTATCTAAGGGAACCTCCAATTAAGTTGAATGAAATATCTCTTTAGATCCTATACTGTACAATCCAGTGCTTACAATACCTTTTCAGACTACTGCCTGGTGAAGGATTCATAACTCTGAGGTTATGCATCACATTTTAATAGTAACTACCATTGGCTAGAGGGAATCCAAACTTCTTTCATGGCATGATAAGGCACAGAAACATACCATTCAACTTAAGTATTCTGGGCCAGTGTTTATGCCGCCCCTCCTATTCCCCTCACCTATACCAACTCAGCCAGGCCCACACTACCACTCGCCTCACAAGCCTGGATTTGATTCCTGGCAGGGCAAAACCTTGGGGAAGTTTCCTTACTCCAACGCCCGATAATAATCCCTCAAGTAAAAAAAAAATTGGTCACTTCAATCCACAACTGTTTGTGGGACACTGCTGTGTGCAATTGGCTACAGCGTTTCACCCACAAATATACAGTCAATTCACTTTACAGTATATTCTGTGAAGCGCTTTGAGATGTCTAGAAGACGTGAAAAGCGCTACATCAAATGCAAGGATTATTATATTAAACTCCTCTATTCCCTTATCCTTCAATTTATTCACCAAGCTTTCTCTGAAATAAATTGAAGCTATTTGCTTCAACCACAAGCTCAAGGCAGCAAGTTCCACATTCTCACCACCCACTGCGTAAACTCCTTATTATATTTTCCCTATCTTCACCAACCAAAGACAACAAAAATTTTAAATCTCATCTTTGAAAAGTGTTTTAAGTTCTCATATTACTGTCAGATTAATGCCATACCTGCCCGTGTCTGAAAACAAACAAAAGCCATTGAGTAGGTATTAAGTGTGGGGTTATCAGTTTTCCCGGCATGAAGCTTTGGGTTGTAAACTAAGTCAGGCATCAAATCATCCAGGAACAGAAGAGTCTGTGTGATTTCGTCATCTGATAATTTTTATTCTAGTAATTTTGTTGTTTTGGGGTGCCTTCTTGTTGGGTATTTATCTAGGCCGTTCTACAGTCTTGGGTGGGCACATTCCGGTTATGTTTTAGTATTCTGTGGTGTGAGCCTGGCTGAGTTGGTAAGGTGGTGACCAAATGGCATCTCAAAAAAGAACTATTCCACATTTTCCTGTGAAGTGCAGCTGACGATATGTGGTGCTACACCTACATTTATAAAGTTTTGGAATATGATGTGGACCTGACTGTATGTATATATTTATAGTATATATATTTCTAAAGTGCTGTTTAGATATGCTGCTGAAGATTTTCAGAGGCTCTGTATTCAACAGCAAGAGCAAAGCTTTGAGAAGCTTTGTATCATCTAAATTGCTGCTTAAAAGATTTTCAAATATTGCAGCCACACACTGAAGAGAGATGAAAACAGGATTAAAGCACTATAATTAAGTGATTTAACGGAATGCAAACCTGTGCATCAATAAATTCCTCAGTAAAATTGTACAATATCATTAATATTCATTCCACTTATGATACAGGAGGAATTTCATAATGCACTGTGACATTGTTGCTCTCTGCATATGCATTTTTGCTTGCACATGAGAAAATGGTATTCCACGATTACATACTAAGGTAGCCTGGATATTTCACATATTATTAAAGTTTGTCCCACTGTAATGCATGCCTATTTATTTCTGAATCGGCAGTGTTCCTTGACATACCTTGATCATTACTGTTTTAGCTGTTCCCTGTTCACCAATAAGCAGCACAGCTTTTTCTTGTTTCATAACTGTGTGCATGAGAAAATCCGTACGGACATTGTCTACATTTGGTACCAAGATTGATGAGTAATCTGGTACAGAATCAGGAGGATAAATGTACTCAGGCACCTAAAATTGGAAACAACAGGAAACTATTACAATCCAAAATATAATACTAGAACAATTATATATAATTTGTAATCCCACATTTCCTACAGCTATAAAACTGATTTGCCACAAATCTGCTTTAAAACTTGGAAATGTTCTACAGTGAATATAATAATAATATAATAATTCTTGCATTTGACAGAGCCTTATCACATCTTCGAGACATCTCAAAGCCCTTCACAGAATATACTGTGAAGTGAATTGACTGTATATTTTGTGGGCGAAGCAGTAGCCAATTGCACATAGCAGGTTTCCACAAACAGTCATAGATTGAGTGACCAAATTGTTATTATTTTTTAAAAATGTATTTTTGTTTTGAAGGGATTATTACCTCCAGAAAAGCGATCCGGCAATCGACTAACAACCGGGTTCCTACTTACTGTTAGGTAAACAGAAGAGTATGCTGGTTGGGCACCCATGCTGGGGTGGAAAAGAAGGTGATGGGAGACTACAGTGATGAGAGGGGACAAATGACCAAACACATGGTTAGAGAGGTACGTTTTGAGATATATCAATTCAACATTAATTCGTATGTGGTAATGTAAGCTTCATAGTAACCAGGATTCACTCTTAAGGAATATTTCAATATATCCCTTCATGATTTACTTCATGGCTGTTTGTAAACATTGCTGTGTGTAATTTGGTTACTGCTTTAACCTATAAAACACACAGTCACTACACTTTACAGTGAAATCCAGTGAAGCGCTTTGAGACATATTGCCATAGTAATAAGGCACTATATCAAATGCAAGTATTATTATCTTTCGGAATTAAATTTTTTATAATGAAAATAAGGGGATGAGAAGAAATTTTGCTTCCCACACATTTTAATAAACAATGTTCAATACGTGCTTTGTTTTAAATAATAAAAATAATAAATAATAAAACAAATTGCACATATCAATGTTTATACCAATACTCTAGAGGTTGTCATCCAGTTGTCAGTGCACTTACTGACCTTGGAAGGTGAGTGTATATTTTGCTCTGTTGGTCAATCGATTTATCAAGCTTGGCATTGTGATCTTAGAACGGGAAAATCCCACAATAAACTCGGATTGCCAAAGTTGACAAGATGGTGAAACAGATGCTGTTATCCATTGAGGGAAATACATCAGAGAGCCACATGTATATTTTATAAAATAGTTACTAACCCTCTGTGACCAATGCTCCCAGTGGCCGTCAGCACTGACAACAAATTCAAAGATCGTTTCTTCTCCTTCAGTAACCGGGAGCTCTAGCGGTACACAATGGTTCCGCAGGAAACTTTCCAATTTAGCCCTGCCATCCAACTCCAGAAGAGCTCCAATTGACCACATTATAGCAAAAATAAATAGTCCTGCAATATGTTCTCGGCTAGGCTGCTTGTCTTCAGCTCCTGGCAATAGTCCCTAAAGAAAATTGAGTTGCATTATTTATGCAGCTTGAGCATTTGTTCAGACAATGAATTATTCTCATTTTACAAGACCATTCCATTACCTGCAAAAGGTCGATGGCTTGTTTAATGTACATAAACTCCAGAATTGACATTTTTGGCATCACAGCAGTAAACACAAAGCTGATCAAATCCTTGAAAGGGACAAAGGCAAGATCATAAATAGTGTTTCGTTTTTACACAACATGTTTTATAGTGAAGTATGTAATGAAGTTAAACTTAGGATGGAAAATTTCTATTACATTAATTTGAAATTTGTAAACCATGTTATGTAGTCATACAAATGAATGGAAGTAGAAAGGAAAATGATGGTACAGTGAAAACCTCTTTCCAGCTAAATCCAACTAATACCATCAACGTGTGTTGGGATCACAGTAAACATACCACAGTGGATTGGCAAATTATTATTAAAAATAAGTTGGAGACTATCTCATCAACAAAGTGTGAAGTGTGACTTGCATGATCAAATATGCGCTCCATGCAAACACAGCAGTACATTCACCAGACCGTGAGCTTGTGTGTATGGAAAAATTTACGGGTGCCCTTAATTATGTAGTTGATCAATGAATTTGAAAATGTTGTAAAATTACTCCTGGGAGTAAAACGTACCAACAAGAATTGCAGAAAAAAAACATACCTGGAAAATGCTATTGAAGCAGTTCCAAAGAATTTCTGACTGTGCGTTGGGTAATTTCTGAAGCCATGCTTTGAGTACTGGCCTCCAGTCCAGCACAGATGAACTCATGAACACCATGCCATTTCGGGATACTGTGGCCGGGGAGGCATTATCAATGTTGTGGGGCTCAAAAACTATTTTACAGTTTGGAGCCATTGGAATACGATCGCCATTAGCCAGCGTCAGAGTTTTGTTATCATCCAAAACAGAATTCAAATTCTCAATCCAAATGGCATCAACAGGCCCATCCAATACTATCCACACATGTTCACCCTGCAAGAGAAGTTATTTGTCACACCTTTCCTCACTACAGAACTTCTGAAGTTGAAAACTCTAACTGTGTGGCAGTAACTACAAACCCTGGAGTTGAAGGAAACAGAAAAAATATGGTTTGCCCAAAGACACCTGTAGAGAATGTAACAGTTTCTAAGTGTTTGCTAATATCTATGACTGGACCAATTCATGAATCTATTAAAAATTATCAATCATCTTTCATAGGAATGTGCAAGAAATCCTAGGAAACGTTCCTCACATAAGATCCATGGGAAAAAAAACAATCCAGAAAGCTGGTCCATGTTTATTTGTATTTTAGACAGAAATTTCATCCAGTTGTATGCTAGAACAGTTGAGTAACTAAAGGACATTCACTATGCAGGAAAAATAATATAAAAGTGTTTAAACTCCAGAGGTAGAAACATCTTATATTCCAAAGATAACCAAAAGGGATATGTTTTGAGATGGGCCTCTAAGCACTGCAAGATGCACCTCTGCATGAAGGGCACTATATAAATGCAACTAGTTGTTTAACGATGAGAGGGAGAGAGCGAGTTAGAAGTACCACAGGATGAAGTTCCAGAAAGGGGAGGAAGTATGGCTGAAAGCCTGCCCACCAATGGTGAGGCTGATGATACAGAACTTACCAGTTGAACCAAACAAAAATGCAGGACAAAATAAGAGGCTATTCAGCCCATTTTCTCAAATATATGCTGCTCCTCCAAGAAGCTGTCCATCCAAATTCTAATTACCTGCTCTTTCCCCATAGCCTCTAATACCCATCCTCACTGCTTTAAATGTCTAAAATCAACTCTGCTCTAACTACAACTGCTAGCAATCATTCTGTATCCTGATTACCCCTTGGGAGAGAGTTATTAAAGCAGCGTCCTCATCATGTCTTTGAATTCCTGCGCTCAAATTCGCTGCCAACAGAATGAATTTTCCATGATTAATTCCTTCAAACACTTTAATTATCTCAAACACATGTCCCAGTTCCTTCATCCCAATTGTGTGGGGAATAACTATACAATTTGCAGCACTCTTCCATGGAAGATCATTGAGGACATGTTGTCATCCATGGGAGGGTTTGCCATTGGGACAAATCCAAACCCATATTAATCTATATGTATTTGGCTTTGTTCAGATGAATCATTGGGTTTTGTTACTAAACCATCCATAAAGTTTGAAAAAGAAACAAAATAGGTATGATTGATCTGACTTGGATACTAGTCCTAGTAAGATAATCCTCGCACATTACTTGTCCTCCAACTTTTTGACATTAAATATGCTAGAATACTCAAAGATTTTTTTAAAAAGACTTAAGAGAAAATAAAACCATTGCAATGATTTATTTTGCTTGAAACACATCTACCCAAGGTATCAAAACAATGCATTAATTCACCTTCTTTGCTTTTAATGTTTTCCTCCACAGAGTAGAGAAAATGCCATCAGTCCAGTCATTTGTTGCGACATCCAAGGTACCAAACATCTGAGAGGCTGTGATTGATTTTGGATTCATTCTCATCTCCTTATGAGGTGCGCCACAATCCGTCATTGCTTTCATCAGGGTGTGGATGCACATTGTCTTCCCGGCACCACTCGGGCCAAGAGTCATCATACCTAACACGGGCACAACAACACGTTTCATAATAATCTTCAAATAATGTAACCATTTATTTTTTCCCTGGTGATAATCCCTCCCCCAAAAAATAAATAATAAAGAAAATGTTAGGATTTACTAAATTAGGAAGTGTTATTAACAGTGACAAAGCTACAGGCAGATATTGACAGGTTAACGGAGTGGGCAGTTTTGTGGTACGGAAGTAAGAAGAGGTTTGGAAGAACCAGTGGAGTCGAAATATTGTAACAGCATAGGTTATTAAACTCATCAAGCCTGCTCTACCATCTGCTGATCTGTAACACAATACCATTTTCTTCTCTCTTTTACTTCCCTCTTAAACACTCTGCATAATAGTCATTCAAGGAAGTGAATTACACAATCCCACAACTCTTTTGAGTAAAGATTTATCTTCTGATTTCACTAATAACATTTTAGATGATGCCCTCTTGGTCTGGATTCTGCAACCACATGAAAGAGTCTCTCCTTATCCAGGTTGTCAAAGTATGGAATGATTTGCCAGGAATGGCTGTTAGAATGAAATCAATTGAGGACCTTTAAAAAAGAAGTAGATCAGCACCGGCAGAGGAAGGATAACAGAGGGTACGAGGAAGGAGGAATGGAGGGAATTGGTAGATAGGTAGCTTCATGGCTTCATCAACATGTAAAAAGGACCTCCGATAGTGTCGTACAATTCTACAATTCTAAAGAACACTGCAGATTTTCACATTGCATGTGTTTTTCATGGGAATATGTTATTCCATGTTTTAATATGCTGTATTCTGACCATGTCGGACTCTTTGAGTCTCATAAAGCTGGATGATCTTCAAGATCCAGGGTGGATGGTAGATAATCCCTGCATCCCGAGTTTGTTTCTCAATGGCAGCCTCCAAGTCAGGATAGCCAGCTTTATCCAGAGTAATTCCAGGAAACAGATCATTAATCAAACTCATGAACAATGGCTCATCTTCATCCACCTAGGACACAGCACAAAATAAAGATACCTCGATTGCAAAATGCTGTCTATTGTTCATCAACTTCTTTCAGAGAAGATTTACAGGTGCAAACAACACACATATACATTCACAACTATACATACACATAAACACAAGTGCAGAGGAATTTAAACGGACAAGCAGACCATTCCATTTTAAATCCCACAATTTATGTTTGTCACCCACATCCTTGCTCGACTCTACTGGCTTCCCATCACGCAGAGGATACAATTCAATATCCTGGTCCTGACATTCAAAGCCCTCCATGGTGATGCTCCCCCCCCTACATCTGCAACCTCCAAACTCCCTACCAACCTGCCCGCTCTCTCCACTCAGTAGCTCCGGCTTGCTCCCGCTTCATCCACTCCACCATTGGCGGGCGGACCTTCAGCTACTCTGCCCCCATCTTCTGGAACTTCATCCCACAGTCCCTTGCTCCTTCAAGACCTGTCTCAAGACCCTCCTCTTCGACTGTGCCTTCGATCCCCCTCCTTCCCCCCTTGCCCTCCAGCCTCTCAAACCCCAGCTCGGGTCCGAAACACTGACTGTCCAGCGTCTTGGGATGTCCTCCCGACATGAAAGACACTATACAAATGTAATTTTGTTGTTGTTGTTAATTTAAAATAAAGAACAATAAAAACCTAAAGAGTTATTACAGGTTAATTCTAGTTTCTAAAAAAAAATCTGGCTGATCTTAGGAGTCTTTTCTTTAAAAAAAATCAGACTCAAAAGGGACAACTGATCCTATTGATTCAGTCAGACCATTTCTCTTCTTCAAATTCCTTTCATTGATCATTCACTTGAGATCCATCCCATACTGTGCACAATTTACAGAAACCAGATTGCACTAGCTGCATGTGAAACCAGCCAGCAACATCAAAAAAGGCACTTTAATTTTCGTATGTGTGATGTTCAGTCAAATAATGTTGAATTTGTACTTTGTTCTTTGTGAACAAAACATTATTAGCAGTAGGTTCATTATTGTCTGTTGCCCATACGAGGATTAGGTTCACACAATTCACCAACAGAGTGCAATTTGGAGTCAATGAATCAGAATAAGATGCCAGTTCTTCACAGTTGTACATCTGTGACTCCATACGTACCAGCTTAGAGAGATTCATGTCACGTAGGACTCTCATTACCACAGTCTTCTCAGGTTCGTTTGGGTTTGATCGTTTAACAGCACCCAGAGTTCTCAGTACAGAGAGAATGTTACGCAGACCAAAGTCATAGTGAACCTGCCAATATAAGATAAAGATCAGCACCATAGAAATGACAACCTCAGCAAATAAGAAGGTTGCAACAACATGGGAGTAGCTGGACCTAGACTGGAGCATAAAGAGGCCTCAGTGTTGTTGCAATATTCATCCATTGCATGGGAGTGAGTACAATTTAGTGGCAGAAACAATCCATTTTTGTGGCCTCAAACCTAAAATTAACTAATTTTCAGACTTTTTATATTTCCTTATACGTCCGCTTTTAGCCTACGTAGAAGAGAAACTACAACTGTAAATAGTCTCCCTTTGAAAACATAAAATTTATCAAAATTTCTGTTCTCAGCTACTTGCCATATTCTTCTTTAAATCAATTGAGAAATGTATTGATTAAATGTCATGAAGTATTTTGTAAAACAGATCTGATAAATTCTTAAAGGGTTGGTAAATTTACAGACCTTAATAGAATGAGTTTATAATGAGGATAAAGATTTACGAACCAACAGAATAGAAGATGATCTCACCTGTTAAGATAAATTTATTGAGGTTTACAAAATCCTGAAAACCCAGATATATTACGTAAGCATCCCAAAGTAACTTATATACAGTAAACTCCTGATAGCCTTCACTCCAAAGGAAAAGAGCTCAGTGATGAGTCATCCATAGCGGCAAGTTAGTCATATATATATAAATACATAAATAAATGTGGCTGGGATATTGACAGCATTAAGCCTTCAGTGGCAGGGATAGGTTGAGCCAGGGTCAAGTTAGTAGGAGTTTATTGTATTATATTTGACATGTCGCAAAACTTCTTAGTGTAATATTTACACATCAATATTTTGTATTATTTTGAAATAAATTGTACCACCAAGTTGATGAATTAATTTTAATGAGTAGGTGTCAGACCGGCTCAGTCGATAGTATACTCTCAACTGAATTTGAGTTGGAAGTTTGTGGATTCAAACCCCATCTCATTGTCAAGATCTCAAAATCTAGGCTGACACTTCACTGGGTTTGATGACCTTTTGGATGAGTTGTTAAACTATGGTTCAGGTGGATGTTAAAGATCCAATGGCACAATTCAAAAAGAGAAGAGCTACCCTGCGGAAAGTTACCTGTCTGAAGAGTGCTACATAAATGCAAGTTGTTGTTGTGTCCTGGCAAACAATCCCCCAGATAAAACTATAATTTAAGTCATAGCTATTTGTGGATATTGCTGTGCATAAATTGGCTGCCATTCATACCTACAAAAACACAGCTACTACACTTTGCAGTAATAATAACAATTTGCATTTATATAGCACATTATATAAAATATAGCAGTGCCAATTTGGACACAGATAAACACCTTAGTTTAACATCTCATCCAAAAGGTCATTAACCCGACAAACGTGTCAGTCTAGATTATGAGATCAAAGTCCACAACCTTCCAACTCAAATTCAGATGTGAGTGTGTTATTAACTGGGCCAGTCTGGCACCTATTCATTAAAATGTATCATTTTGAAGTTAATTTGAATTTTGGCACCAATGTATTTTAGTTCTTTTCCAGTACACAAAACTGATAAAATCCAACTGTGAAGACACCCCTGAATTGTAATGGCTTGTGTTGCATCAATGTATCAAATCTATGAATACAGAAAATTATTTCCCATTTCAACTTAACTAAAATTATATAACTTATGAAGAAGTTATGCTTACCTGTTTAGATAACTGCTCTTCACAGAGTTTATAGAGAGTATAAAACTTGCGGCTAAGTATCTGGTTGTCACGGAAACCAGCACTTGCTAATTTGACTCTCATGATGATGGCTCGATCTGGTACCATCATGGCAACTGAACGGAACTGGATCTTTAGATTTTCAGGCAGTTCCTGCCGTCCCGCATAACCTGGGTTCTAAAATTAGTATTTGTTGTTAAACATTGATTAGGAATGAATAAACAAATAAATACAATTGGCTGCCACGTTTTGCCCACAAAATGCACAGTCAATTCACTTTACAGTATATTCTGTGAAGCGATTTGAGATGTCTCAATGACCTGATAAGGCGCTGTATCAAATCCAAGGTTTATCATTAGAATAAATAATCATCATTGCACCATTATTTAAGTTTTAGCGAATCTTTTCCACTAACTAAATACTTGCTGTATAATTCTTCTGCTATAAATGTTATTTTTTGAAACACAACTTAATGTTAAGAAATCTGTTTGCAAATTGTAAGAACAAGAAAAATTCTGTTTTGTTTTATGGGAGACTATTGCTTACCATGGTTAGGAAAATACCAAACTCTCTATCCATTTCTACAATATCACCATCAGTGAAGGTAAACTGTGTCTTTTTGTTTTTCTTACACTGCAGTACAATGTAGATCTGCTGAGCAGCTACAGATAGAACAGGCAACTCAATGCGGTTAAACTCATCAAAGCAACCCCATGCACCAGATTGGGCTAGACCTGCAGAGAAGAAAAACTCTTAATTAAAAATCTGCCACTTAAAATTGCCCAATTAACTACTTCATCAGAATTCTTTATTAAGGCGCCTCTGAAATCGCATTTCACTTTCCCGAATGTCAAGCAGTCCTGAAACACCATCTGTCCAGTCATTAAATGTTACTGCGTTGTAGAGTTTTATAACACTTTCACACACTGCACAATATTTGTGAAATGTAGTTCCGTACCTTTATAGATTCGACCTAAGCCTCTGTAGTCCATCTGATCCGAGCAATTAAACACCACCACATATTTTCCAAGGCACTTGCCCATGTCTTTGGTAGTTTCTGTTTTCCCTGTACCTGCAGGACCTGCTGGTGCACCACCCATGCTCATCCCCAAGGCCTGAGACAGTGTGATGTAACACCTACAATATTAAGTAAACACATTCAACGGTTTGATGTAAAAATAAGAAGAAATATCATTCTCCATAATTCATTGTTTTCATGTGAAAAAAATGTTCACAAAATTTGGAATGTAACGGATCCTGGGGTAAAGTCTTCAATGTGTATAACCTGTCAGTTTAAATTATACCTGGATCACTGTCAGTGTTGATGGTACCTAAAGGTAAAATGTTGTATCTGACTGGCAAGGCAGATCTGAGATCTTGGGTCTGATTGCCAGTAAATAATTCCTGGGCTGGGGAGAGTGCAAATGTTGCCCCTCATTGACGGATCAATCCCATGAAACTGATATATTACAAACAAAACGGGTTAAAAGTACATCTAAGGTATAGAAACAAAATGACACTATTTCACACAAATGGCACTTCCCAAGAGGGGACTGCTGTCACCTACTGGTATTTACAACAACAACAACAAATTTCATTTAGTGACTTCCATTTTGGGAGGAAATTGACATAAGTTAACAAAAGGCTTAGAATTTCTGGAGCAAATTACAAAGTTTTAACAGGTAGTACAAGGGATTCTGGATCTTTGAATGCATAATACTATATATTCAGCAAAGCATTATCTAATTCCGTAAATAAAGAAAAATCTAAATTCTTGTGCCTAGCATGGAATATTCTATTTGATGCACTAATTTGATGCCTTAATCTCATGCAAAAGCACGCTTTTTGAGTGCTTAAATGGTTTACCTGTCTGTTAACGGTGTTATTACGAGTCGATCTGTACAGCCTAAGTATTCATTGCAGTAGCTGAACTGAACATCTGTGATCTGAATAAAGCATTTATCTTTGTCCTCCACAAAGTAAAAACGTGACTGTTTTTGCCATTCGAAATCAGATGGGGATTTAATGTTCATGTGAACCTAATGGAACATTACAAGGAAACATTACACAATAGAAATCTGCACCAATCCTTTGTTAAATGTAGTTTTGAAGATAATTTACCATTACATACCAGATCATCAAAAATGTCTTTCTGATGCACATGGATAGTTATAAGAGTTTCATACTTGGTTCGTTCAATTTTTGACAATTCTCGGGTTGTCATGTCAATCAAATTATTAAGCATATCCAAAAATGTCTGGTTGGTTGTCTGCATGATCTGCATCAAACATAATACTAGTTGTTACACTCTTGTCAGTTACACTAAATTTGAATCCCAACAGATTGAAGACTGGCTACTACAAATTGCAGAATTTGTGTTATAACACAGAAGATAGTCCTAAATAAGTCTCTTAAACATTTTTCACACTACTTGTAACTAACCTAAAAAAAAAGGAGATTGAAAACATCGTTGAAGAGGGTCTTGAAGGTGCGTCTTGAAGGTGGCGAGGGAGTGGGGGGGGAGACAGAGGGACTGCGGGATGTAGAGAGTGGGGGCAGAGTGGCGGAAGGCCCGCCCACCAATAGTGGGGCAAGCAAGGCGGGGGACGTGGAGTTGGGGAGGCCGACAAGCAATGAGGTTGCAGTCGAGCCTCGATGTAATGAAGGCATGTATGAGGGCTTCGGCGGCCAGCAGTGTGAGATGGTGTTGGAGCTGGGCAATGTTGCGGAGGTCGGGGAAGGCAGAGGAGGTCATGGCACGGATGTGGGGTAGAAAGGATAGTTGAGGGTCAAACAAGACCCCAAGGTTCCGGACTGGCTTAGTAAAGTGGAGTGTGCAACCATGGATGGTGATGCTGTCAGCGCCTGAGGTGAGGAGGCACTGACGGAGCCAATCAGGAGAGCCTCGGTCTTGTTGACGTTCAACTGAAGAAACTTAGCTCTCGTCCAGGACTTGATGTCTGACAGACATTCTGTCAGGACAGCAGTGGTCCTGGAGTCAAGGGTGGAGGCAGAGAGGTACAGGTGGGTGTCATCCGCATACATTTGGAAGTTGACTCCATGTCTGCGGATGATGTCACCAAGAGTGAGCATATAGATATTGAAGAGAAGGGGACCACGGAAAGAGCCTTGAGGAACACCGACAAGATCATCCAGGGGCTATAGAAGTCATTTGAGGAGATGAAGTGCAGGCGGAGTGAGAAGTACGATCTGAACCAGTCAAGGACAGTGCCATGGAGATTGAGGTGAGGAGAGCTGGTGGATTAGGAGAGTGGTCAACAGTAGCAGAGAGGTCAAGGAGGACGAGGAGGCAGAGGGAGCCTTGGTCGCAGATGGACAGAATGTCATTTGTCACTTTGACCAGGGCTGTTTCTGTGCTGTGAGCGGTATGGAAACCTGATTGGAGGGTTTCAAGAAGGGAGTGGCGGGAGAGGAAAGAGCAAAACTGAGAAGCAACAACTCATTCCAAGACCTTGGAGAGGAAGGGGAGGTTGGAGATGGGGCAGTAGTTAGGGAGTAGAAATGGTCCAGAGAGAGTTTTTTAAGGATAGGAGTAATGACAGCGTTTTTTAATGGGGTGGGAATAGTACCAGAGGACAGGGAGAGGTTTATGATGTCAGTGAGTAGAGGGGCAAGGAAGTGGAGCTGGGAGGTAAGGAGAGGGGTAGGGATGGGGTCGAGGGAGCAAGGTGGTAGGTTTCATACAGGTTATGATAGTGATGAAAGACGAGGGGGAGACAGGTTCAAAGGTGTGAAGGGAGCGATGGGTACAGGCTGGAATGGAGGAGCTGATGAATTAAAATCAAATGGCATAATCTGGATATTTGCGATAATTATACAAGCAGATTGAACCCTGGATTGAAGGAAAATGCACTGGAGATTTGTGTGGATTTTTTTTTCCTTTTGTTCATTTGTTGATGGTTTATTTTACGCATTAATAAAACGCTCTTCAAGTTCTTAAAAGTGAGACTTCTATAAATATCTTCAGGACTGATTTGGTATTTGAGTTAGGGAACAACTTACATGTATTTAGTGCCCATCACACAGAGTAGCATCTTGAAGTGCTTAACAGATTGACGCCAAGTAGGAGCGAAGAAAGTTGATCATAGGCCAGGACTAATGATTGGTGGAACTGGGGAGACCGGTGAGGAGAACATTGGAATAATCAAGGCCGGAGGTGTCCAACCATCGATAATATTTCAGCTGCGTTAGGTGTGAGGTATAGTCAGAGGCAGGCGATGAGGTGAGGGTGGAGGAAAGCAGTCCTGGTCATTGAATTGAATTGAAATGCATGCTTCTTTGAAGATTAAGTATACATTAACCAACCGACTCTCTCAACCAGAAAATCAAAATCCCAAAGGCATATACTAATCCAACTACTAGACTTGAGTCAGTGGCTGTTGAATTCTCAGCTAGGCCACCAGACTGAGTACGACAGAGAAACAAGACAAGTCACAAGAAAGGTTCAGATGAAGAAGCTTTCAGCTCATTTGATCTTAACCTTTTAGAATACCCTAGAATACTGTCCTCCTATGCCTTTTTCATTCTGACTGTGGGGAGGGGAGAGGAGGAGGAGAGGGGAAGAAGAAAATCAACTAGGATTCTCAGGGTTCTCTTTCTTGAATCAGATCTCCTGTACACTAATCAGCCCATCACCCACAGTGACCCAGGAAAAGTCAATACCATAATTTCCTTACCTCACCCCACCAGAGGCTAAAGAAAGGAAATACAGATAACACGAAGATACACATTTCCACATAAAACAACTCAGAAAAAGAACCATTATGTGCATAATACATAGGCTGCCAGCACTTATAGTACTTATATTAAATATACTGTGCTAATTAATGCAGAACACCTTTTTATCAGATTTGGCATTGTTTAAAGCTTCCTCAGAATCTTTTGTCCAGATCATCTGAATCCCCAGCAATCCGATCTGTGCAGGAAACATAGCCTGAAAGTCGTACAGTTTGACAGTTTTATCACTGAGTGTTATTGAAGCCTGATGAATAATGCTGTGTATTGTCGTTCGGACACCATTCAGAAGTTGTCCCAACCAGATTTCCACATTGCCCTACAAGGTAAGATAATAAAGAGAAATCAGTTAACAACTCTCAGTAATTCTCTGCAGCACCAGTTCCTGCAAGCAACAACAAGCACCCTTCACATGGAGCAGCGTCTCAAAGCAATACAAAGAAGAAATTAAATGAAGCAAAAAAACACAATTGAAGACAAACTAATTCCATCAGAAGAAACAACAAGGTCAAGTTTTAGTTTGGCTCAGTAGCTATAACTCTCAACTGAATCAGAATGTTTTGCATTTGAGCCAAATTACTATTATTATTGTAAAACACGTGATCTGAGCTCTCGATTCAGGCTAACACACAAATGCAGGACTGAGGGAGTGCTGCAATGTTGGAGGTACCATCCTTCAGGTATGCAAAGTGCCAATGATCAGAATAATAAAAAAGAAGTAATATCTAGCTCTGATTTACATATGCTACATATTTTCTCACCTGTGCTATAACCGGTTCCATGAGATCAACTTTTTCTCCTTCCTGGGATTCAAAGTGGAGGATCTGATCATAACTTTTTTCATTGAATCCTACTCGGTAAACATTATCAAAAAGACTCAGCAGGTGAGCCTGAAACAGATAAAACACTTCATTTCAATTTGTTTGCGCAGATTTAAAAACAGATTTTAAAATGCTGGTAATGCTGTATCGTTAATGCCTATTGTGCACAGGTTATTTATCTGGCATTACTATCCACCAATATATTTTAAAATGAGATGACGTTGTCAGCTCTTTGACAGTTTAAGAGATGCTGGTAAATTTCACAAGAATTGTTTTTATTATTTGTGGTATAACAAATATTCTCTAGGACTTCAACAAGGGATTGGTGCAATCCTGTAGTCCAGCAAATTATACTTAAAACCATCCCACTTTTGGCCAGATGGCATTTTTCTTTTGTTGACCCAAAAGTGGAGTCTGTTAAAGTTATTTTTAATATATTTGCTCTGATCTAAATTTTGCTAATATCGGGAGCAAGGACTACTGAATATAGGGATTCTTCCCACTGAGCTCCTGTTAACCGTGCCCTAACGGGTAGGGTAATCTAGCTGGACAAGCAGCGGGAAACCTTGCCAGACAAAGATTTGGTGGCAATCTTTGTGGTTTTAACTCTTCTCAGTCTGGTTCGGATACTTTTAGCATGGTGATGGGTTTTCTCGCATGTCAGATGCCCACCAGAAGATTTTTTAAAACAAATCAGTGGCTTCAGGAGAGGAAACTAGAGAATTAGAGGATAGAGACACTAACTACGCTTATATCCTAAATTAATAATATCACATAATAGATGACATGCGAGGAGTCAGAGGCTTCCATCAGTACTCTGTAAAAATTTAAACAGTAAATGTGTAACACACTACAATGTAAAATTTCATTGTCGGTGCTTGATAAGTCAAATTTCGCCCCATAAGGTCAATGGAATCTACTTTGAATAAAGTAGAATTTTCCTTCAAGTGTTGTTATTGACTGCCTATCTATTCTCCAAGCCTCAAAGTTTAGTAGAGTAGCTTTCAAATTACTGTGATGATAATGCAGTAGATTTTAGGGAGGGAATAGGTCATTAAGCATGAAGTAACGCTACTAATTTTAGAAACTGCTAAAGACAAGTACCGCAGACGAATCACAAAATATGTGCTGGATTATTGAAACATCATAAGATATACAATAGCTGTATGTGACAGCATATTTAATATAATTTACATGTATATAGCACCATTCACATTGAGAGGACAATTCTCTCAAAGCGCTTGGCAATTCTGGCTGGGCACTGGAGCTGAGAGGGGTGAGGAGGAGAAAGATGCCAATATAGTTGATAGTAACTAAGAATTTTGGACTGAGCTAATTACCCCTTCTCAGTTGCCTGGGATGTCCTCCCGACATGAAAGGTGCTATACAAATTTAATTTTGTTGTGGTTGTTGTACCATTCTCAGTATTGATGCAACAAAGTTACTGAACTTGTATAAAACTGTATTCAAGAGATACAGGTGTATTGATTTGGAAGTACAGTATTCACACCAGAGACCAAAATTTCCACCTAGTCATAGCCTATAAGAGCATCTAAGGTCTATGATATTAAGTTCTCATGTCCAGTAAATTATTTGACCTGTATTGTGTGAGAGTCTGAGGCTTGTCCAAGGATTTCCAGGAGAGTGGGGTCAGAAACAAAGAAAAATCTGGGAAATAATAGACGCTTCTTTTCCAGATAGCCAGTGAGTGATTTCTGACACATCTCAAGCTGCTCTAGGAGATGTGGTAGAAGCTGAGCTAGTGTCTCATCTCCAACACAGCAGTGCACAACGTTGGTATTTTCATGTGCTTTTTGTATAATCTTCTGCCACGACTTGTCAATGTTCTGGAATCTTTTGGCTTCCTGAGATAGATCAAGATGGGTTAGTTTTTAACAGAAACAATCACAGACACACAACATGAAAAATATTGTGCAATGCCTCCCTAATCTAAACCCAAACATCATTCATTCCAATCTCATTTTAAAAATCTCATTTTAAAACGCTCAGTGGAAAGATTGATTTCCCCATACACTGTAATACGGTGTCCTGTTAGTCATTGCCAATAATCATAACACAATATGTAGGTTACATGGCAAAGGCTTTGAATTTGGAGCTTCCCACTCCATTGTCAAGCTCCACAATTATGGAAAGAAGTGAAACACTACATTACAGCAGATTCTGACTTTCAGAAAAGACTTTCAGCTTTTTTCGAGGATAATATGGGGAATTTAAGAGCAGGCTGAGGTCAACCACTCAAATAAGCCCACTCTGTCACAAGCCATTCAAATTTGCACTGTCACCTTCACTAATCCTACCTCTCTGACTTTTTCACACGCTCAAAACTATATCTCAAAGAATTATTGAAATAATAATTTCTAACAGCAACTGAGCACAAAGGAAAAGTATTCTCTCTTGTTCTGAGTTATGATTATATATTGTTGTATATGAAATATAATAATAATGATCCTTGAATTTGATATAGCGCCTTATTGCATCTTCGAGACATCTCAAAGCGCTTCACAGAATATACTGTAAAGTGGAGTGACTGTGTGTTTTGTGGGAGAAACGCGGCAGCCAATTGCACACAGTAGTGTCCCACAAACAGTCGTGGATTGAGTGACCACATTTTTAAAAAAAAAAGGATTATTGCCCTGGAGGAGCAATTTGCCAATCGACTAACAACCGGGTTCCTATTTACTGCTAGGTAAACAGAGGCGTGTGGAGTAAGGAAACTTGTCCAACAATTTGCCCTGCCCGGGAATCGAACCCAGGTCCTCTCATTTACGAGGTGAGTGCTCTAACCAATTAGAGGACTCCACACATATCTATCTAATCTATATTATATAGATATGTGTGTGTTCCAACAGAGAAACATATATAATGTTTAAGGATATATCCCCAATATCAGAATAACATTTTATTATTTTTGTGAATTTCAGTTGAGCTCATCATGAAAATTATTCTACTACTTTTTTTAAGCTATTCAGAATCAGACAACTTGGCTGATTGAAGGTTTTTTTTTAAATGTTTTTTGCCTTTTGAGTTCCACATTAATATATAATAGTATGCTGCAGCATGAGATAACCACAACCAGGACATAAGGCTAATGAATTTGACCCTGGTACTTGAGGGGAATAAAAATAATGGAAAACTTTCACGGGTGCAACGAGAACCAATTTCTCACAGTATAATAACTGTTGGCCCAGCTGGCCAATCACATCTTGAAAACCACCCACTAAGGGGGCACATGGTCTCAAACTACTAGAGAGCCACTACTAGATTTGCAACTTTGAATAAATACTATGTTGGAGATAGTGATAAACTTTGCATTTATATTGTAATTTATCAAGTTGTCAAGTCTCTTTAAAGCACGTCAGTTTAAGGTCTCATCCAATTTGCGCACAGCAATGTGTCATAGACAACTGAGGTGAATGACCAATTTTATTTGGGGCATTGTTGGCTAGGACATCAAGAAAAACTCCCTTCTCTTTCCAAAAGATGCCATCAGATCTTTAACATGTAGCTGAACAGGCAGATCCCTAGATTCTACAGACCTGTGGTAGTTGCTTTGCAATGTCACCGCCAACAAAGACAGCTTCCAGATAGATCCAAAGGTTCTGAACTGTGAGCCAGTTTTCAATTATTTCTGTGGTGTTTGAGAGCTTTTGAACCCACTGTTGTATAATGGGTTTGAATGGTGCGTTGTACCTATGTGCAAAACATTCAGAATTTGAAATAAATCATACATTTCTACCAGACTTTTTGATTCTATGACAGAATATATGTAATAATTTAACTTAATAATAGTCCTTGTATTATAAATAAGAATCCACGTATTATTATACTATTATTAAGAAAACAAAGGATCTATCATTTTTCTTCTTGAATCTGTTCAATACTCTTTGTACCATCTAACACCTGCCTAGATGTGTAAATCAGAGAGATTTATTTGGGAGGAGACGACCAAAATGTGGTGGAATGACAAGCAATTTTATTCAGCCAACAAGTAAAAAGTTAATCTACACAAAGATTAAAAGTGGTAGTTTAACAGATAAAACGGTATTACTCGGTTCCTCTGGAACAATTGAGAATTATTTTGCCCACAAAATAAACCACTTTACAGTATATCCCGTGAAGCGCTTTATATTTGTGTCTCAATGACATGATAACGCCCTATATCAAATGCAAGGATTATTATTATTATTAGGTGCAAACTTTGGATGAGACCTTAAACTGAGGTTGTGTTAAAAATCCTGTGCACTGTTCAAAAAGAGAAGGAAGTTTCTCCCAGTGTCCTGGCCAACAATGTCCCAAATAAAATTGATCATTCACTCCATGGCTATTTGTGAGATTCCATTGTTGTATAAAACTTGTCCGCCAAAGTCTCCCAATAAAACACATAGTCACTGCACCTAGGACACCAGGAGAAACTCCCTTCTCTTTTTTATAACACAGTGTTTGTAATTGATAATTTTTTTGTTTAAAATTATGAAAGGGTTTAATAAGGTAGCCATCAATAGGCAGTTTCCACTTGCTGGTGAGTCCATAAGAAGGGGACATAAATATAAAATGGGCACTATCAGAGCTAACAGAGTTTAGGTGGAACTTATTTTCATTGATGGCAATTTGGAAGCAGTACCCAAATATAGAGTTAATCTAGTGCTAGATTATTAGCAAAGAGTTATGAATAGTCAACAGATAAGAAAAGTATAAAAAAGAATCAAACTTCTTGGAAGCTACTTTAGCAAAGCAGGAGATGAGGTTATTCTGTTTCTATCACAGGAGATAGCAAGGCTCAGAATGTCAGGGGTAGATAATTATTTGAGGAGGACAAGTTTGCAGGGCTATGGAGAGAGAGCAGGGGAGTGGGGTTGATTTGGATAGCTCTTTTCAAAGAGCCGGCACAGACACGATGAGCTGAACGGCCTCCTTCTGTGCTGTATAATTCTATGATTCTATGAACCAGTTACCTGTTGCTCATTAATGAGCCAAGTATCATAAGACTGTCTTCCATCAGTGCAATCTTCTCTGTGATATCTGATCCTTTGAGCAGCAATTCTCCCCTCGTCTTGAATGGAGCAAATGTGAACACTTGTCCACTCCATTCACAGATCACAGTTTTCAACTTAGCTTCAATGTCCTTTTCTTTTACTGCACTAATGCAGATGTCCTGAAAAATACAAACATTTGTTCACCAGTTTATTGTACTGTAATAATAGTAATAATAATCCCTGCATTTGATACAGTGCCTTTTCATGTCTTTGAGACATCTCAAAGCTCTTCACAGAATATACTATAAAGTGAATTGACTGTATATATGTGGGCAAATCGCGGCTGCCAATTGTGCACAGCAGTGTCCCACAAACAGTTGTGGATTGAGTGACCAAATTATTATTATTTATTTTTTGAAGGAATTATTACTGTAAAAGGTATTGTATTAACTTTTGTTGGACATCTTCAAAATGATCCCAGCCAAATTCTTTCTTAAAATGATAAACAGATAACACTCCCAATGCTGATCACTAACTGGTGCCCAGCTTAATATCTCTCCACTACTCAAACCATCAACTCACCATTTGCTAATTCATAGGCCTGTGAACCATATACAGTAAACTATTATGTAGTGAAATATAAAATCCCTTTCTGAAATCTAAGTGAATGACTGCTTGTGGGGCACTGCTGCCCGCAACCTATGTCCCTCAAGATGATCATTAATACTATCTCTCATCATTACTTCAAAACAATTTTTCACAATCTATGTGAGTTTGCAGATCTGCAATTGCCTTGTTTACAATATTCACAATCGCTATTTTCCAATCCTCCTGGATTTACCTCGAGTTTAGTGTAGGAAAATATCGTATAAATAGGGGACTCACTGTGGCCCCAGGCAATTTCTTTACAACCGTAGGATGAACCAAGAGGCAGGATCAAATGCACCGTCCAGCATGGAGGGTGCTATATAAATGCAAGTTGTTGTTGTTTCTGCAAACTCCCCAATACATCTTTCCTACTAATGTTAAAAGTTTTAAATTTACACTCACCATAAAATGCTACCCCTACTTCTGGCAGTGAGAACACAATTGGGAAATAGTGGTTTACTATTTGAGAAGCTTCTCGATTACATACACTACCTCCTTGTGCTTTTTAGGTGGTCCAACCTTTATAACAATAATCCTGGCATTTGATATAGTGCCTTATCACGTTGTTGAGGCATCTCAAAGTGCTTCACAGAATATACTGTAAAGTGAATTGACTGTATATTTTGTGGACAAAATTTGGCAGCCAATTGCACACAGCAATGTCCCATAAAAAGTAGCAGATTGAGTGGCCAATTTTTTTTTAAAAGGAATATTACACCCGGAAAGCGATCTGCCATTTGACTAACAACCGAGTTCCTACTTACTGCGAGGTAAACAGAAGGGTGTGGAATAAGGAAACTTGCCTAAGGTTTTGCCACACCCGGGAATCAAACTCGAGCTATCTCGCTTACAACATGAGTGCTCTAACCAATATGCTACGGGAACCTTTTGCTTTCCCTTCCTCTCCCCCATCTCCAGCTCGGATGTAAACCTTGGACTGTCCAGCACCTTGGGACGTCCTCCTGACATGAAATGTAAATTTATATTGTATTAATCCAAAAAAAGTCTTCATCCACGATCTGTGGACACTGCTGTGGGCAACTGGCTGCCACATTTCGCCCACTAAATACATTTTACAATATATTCTATGAAGTGCTTTGAGACGTCTTAACAACGTGATAATGCAATATTACAAATGAAACGATTATTATTATTACTTCAAGAAGCCTTCTTGAAGGTGGCTACAAGTAAGCAGGCAAAGGGCATAGGCAAAGGTTGCACCACTAGACTGGTATATACTAGTATATTCCACTTATAACTTATTTCAGGAATAAATCAAGCTGGAGTCACGAGTTAGGCATATATACATATAAATACATAAATAAATGTGGCTGGGATATTGACAGCATAATGACTTAAGTGATAGTGATAAGTTAAGTTAGGATCGCATTATCAGGCATTTACTGTACTTACAAACACAAGCTGTAGAGCTAGGAACTAAAGAATGCTGTTACCTCAATGTCCTCTTTGCTTTTCAATAGTGGAGCTTCCATTATATTCTTGAGAGAAAAGTGGTCAGATTCAACATCAAAAGTGCAGCCGGTAGTTTGTGCAATCCTTTCCCAGTGTCTCGCCATCATAGCCTATAAAGGAAGAAACACACATAATAATAATCCGTGCATTTGATATAGAGCCTTATCACGTCTTCGAGATGTCTCAAAGCGCTTCAAAGAATATACTGTAAAGTGAATTGACTGTATACATGTGGGCGATTCGCAGCAAGCAGCCAATTGCGTACAGCAGTGTCCCACAAACAGTCGTGGATTGAGTGACCAAATTATTATTATTTTTATTTATTTATTTTTTGAAGGGAATTTTTAGTACTGTAAAACTTACTGTATTACCTTTTGTTGGACATCTTCAAAATGATTATAGTTAAAAAAACACAGAATTCCATGAATTGCCTTATTTTTTATAATGCAATCACTTTCAATTATTGTAATGTGAATCCAGAATGTGACGCTTGCTGCTTTATTGCATGCTAACATTCACTTCCTTGTAGAAATCTGAATTGAATGTAAAAATATGATTAGCTCCCATGTAGATTCTTTATTATTCTTTGCATTGAAGCATCCATTGTCAACCATAAAATTATGACTCACACACGCACAGAACCACTGGGGGATCCAACGAAAAAGCACTTAATTTCTTGAAGATGATTTGTTAAGCTTTGCAAGAATCCCCCAAGTAATTTGATAATGCCCCATGTTGTCTAACAACAACAAAAACAAAATTACATTTATATAGCAGCTTTCACATCAGGAGGACGTCCCAAGGCGCTGGACAGTCAGTGTTTCAGACCCGAGCTGGGGCTCAGGATTGGGGAGGGTGGGGGACAGGGGGAGAAGGAGGGTGATCGAAGGCACGGTTGAAGACAAGGGTCTTCAGATGGGTCTTGAAGGAGGCAAGGGAGGGGGTGAAGCGGAGGGACTGCTGGATGGACTTCCAGAGGGGCAGAATGGCTGAAGAACCGCCCATCAATGGTGGGGTGGGTGAGGCGGGGGACATGAAGCAGAAAATATAGTATAGGTATTTTTTTGTTCTGTTTCTCATTACACTACTGCTAATTACTGTTCAGTGCACTTTTATTGTATTGTCTTCTATGCACTGCAGAATACTTTATGATTTATAATGTTTTGGTTTAATTAAAAAATGTTAATTTGAAATCTGTGTGTGATGTCCCTTATCCCTACTGTATTCTGTCCACAGTGGCTTGACTGTCAGACTCACTGCTGTAATATTAGAGGAAAAGGAAGACTATTGCTGGAGGGCAGAGACCCTAGATGTCAGCAACTCCAGATTTCAGCATTGACCTATCAAACTGCCTTTCATCTACCATTGCTAAATCACACAGGAGTGCTGTGCAAAAGTGCTCAGAATAGCAGCCTGCAATATTTTGTTAAATAAGTTTCTCAACGTTGCACAGGACTTAGCTATAGAAAAAAAGGAAAGGAATCCTTTACTGAAAGAGATGGTGCATCAGCTATTTAATTGGTAAACAATATGGTTTGCCTTCTGCTAACAATTTCATCAGTTACTGTATTTGTGTAGCGATTGCATTACCAGTTGTTCTGGGATCATAGAACACAAATATCCTTCTAATTTTGTGATTAGATTAAGTTATATCTACATAAAATACAAATGCCAATCAGTGTGTATATAGTGGATCCAGAAATCTGTTCAATGGGGAGGAGAATAAAACAAAAAAATAAAAAATAAGTGTGAGACCTTCAGACAAGAACGTAGAGTGGGAGCATCAGAACAGACAGCTATTTGTGCAAGACCAGACAAAACTTTCTTTTATGTGCATCTCATTTACTTATGGATGGGAACCAGAGTCAGAGCTGGCAACCCAAGATAAGAACTTTGTCACAAGAATCAATTCATCTCAAATAGAGATATCTAAGTTTATGTAAAAAAATTAAATTAAATTCAGATATTCTACCAGCAACTTGGAAGTGTGTGTGTGTGCGCATGTGTGTGTATGTACGGAGGGGGGTGGGGGGGCGGGTAGGTCTGTTGGGATTCAATTTCCTCACCTCTTTCATAAATCTCAAAAAACAATTCCACAAAAGAACCAGACAGATGAACATCATGGAGGTATCGAGACTATTTGCTGAGTTTCAATTTCGGTTAAACAACTGCTCCAAATGCTGAAGGCTCTCCAGAGAAGAGTGAATCCATATTATTTTTGGACATGCAGCAATAAATAACGTTTATCCATTTCCTATTGTGTGCACTATTGGCAGACAATTTATAAGTTGCCATAGGTCTTTATTACTTTCCGTGCTAATTGCCATTTCAGTACTCTTTCCCTCTCAATTGCCAGGCTATCAATCGGACGCCCATTGGATTCAGATAAATGATGCAGCCTGTTAACTGAGATAGGAGATATCTCCTGTGGGGCACCATGATTGGACAGGCAAATCTCACTATTAGGATGACTGAAAGCAAGAGTTTGTGAAACCAATAAAATGGTCCGAGGATCATCTGTGCACCTTCTGTTCAAAATTTCCTTCCCACTGTGGGGAATCAGAGGAGCAAACAAAAGAGTGAAGGCATGTAGATATTTGAAGAACACAGGAGTTCCTGGGGCTCAAGGATAGGGTGGATAAAAAGTCTGAATCCACAGACCTGAGTACCATGTCACCAGCTGTCATAGAAATTTCATATTTCCATCTCATTCATTTGCAATAACAGGAATTTAAGACTCACTAACAATATAAGACTTGATATAGAATTATACAACTTGACTCTTAAACAATCAATTATGGGAAAAGAGCCTCCAGTTAAAATACAGTGACAAACCATAAACAAATGAGTTGAGCAATATGTCCTGGATGTTATGCAGTTTTAATTAATAACATTTTCTGCAGCAACATGCACAGCTAAAGTCTGGATGAAATCCAAATCTCCTTGAGCTATTCCCATTACAGTGGGTGAGAATTTATTCAATTCAGTTTCAAGGATGTAAAAAAAAGCCCCAATATGTTGCAACAGCGAAAAACAATTATATGCATAACATACATGGGAATGCTATACATTTGATTTAAATCTATTTTTAAGCTTGTCTCCTTGTTATAGTTTTCAAAATTTAGTTTCACAATAAGGTCAATGGGTGCCATATGTTCCCCCAAATCCCTCACTGTTCAGTAAATGATATGCAACTGGAATTGATTGCTCATCCAGATTAATTAAGTAATAATAGATTTTGGTTACTACAGCAGAGTGTAATTAAAGGTGAGCAGCTTGACTGAAGTTGAGCACCCAGGTGTGGGCTCATTTAAACTGCCTGTTCTTAGTGACACCACACAGTACAACCACAAGATCATTATTCCAATTGTTACACTTTTTTTTACAAATTAATATTTAATATTGCATTACTTTTTGTACATTTCCTTCAGGATCTCTGGGTTCTGGTAGGATGGGAAGCAATTCTAAAGTCAATGGCAGTTTAGGTTTATTAATATTACCCCCTGCATTTTAATAGAATAAATTATGTAAAATTCTTAACTTAATATTCAGCAATATCAATAAACTTTTCACATTGCTGCTGCAGCTCAGTTTCATAACATAATAAGTAGTTGTCAGAGCCTGATTTAGTTAACCGTGATGTCCCACAATTTAAACTGGAAACGCTGACACGATCAATCAGAAAAAGATAGCCAAATACAAACAAACTTGATTAAGTTAGGCCTGACTAACACATGACAAAATGTCTACTATTTAGCCACCGTGGCATGTCAGGGTCAGTCAAAATATCTATTATTTGAGCCATGCAGTGAGCCCCGTAGAACCAAACAAGAAATATGCGTTCGTCCAGTGACTTAAAATGAAGTTGAATAATAATACTGTTTTCTCTGCACCTTTCATCACCGAGTTATACAAAGCAGCACTGACCTGGGGGTAGGTTATCTTTCTTTTTTGGGAATTATAATAATAATAATAATCCTTGCATTTGATATAGCACCTTATCAGGTCTTAGAGACGTCTCAAAGCCCTTCACACAATATACTGTTAGGTGAATTGATTATATTTTGTGGGGGAAACGCGGCAGCCAATTACACGTAAAAACTAAGATTCCAGAGTTCTGTGTCAGAGTTCTAAATAGTAATACCATATCTAGTTGTTTGCTGTTACAAATGATTAAACAGTTATGATAATAATAATCCTTATATTTGATATAGGACCTTTCACTTGTGAACATCTCAAAGCTCTTAACAGGATATACTGTAAAGTATAGTGGCTGAATATTTGGTGGGAAACACGGCTGCCAATTTACGCACAGCAATGTCCCCAAACCGCCATCAAGTGAATGATCAATTTTATTTGGGAAATTGTTGGGCAGGACACCAGGGGAATAAACTGCCGACCCTCTTGGCAAAGACATACTCAATGCTTAACTTGGCAATAACTTAATCTTACTAATTTTACTTAAAATGTGACACACTAACTGGTAATTTTCCATCCCCGAGTCTTTTCATTTTTAATTATATGTCATAGAATCATAGAATTATACAGCATAGAAAGAGGCCATTCGGCCCATCGTGTCTACGCCAGCTCCTAAAAGAGCAATCCAACTCAATCCCACTGGCCCGCTTTCTCTCCATAGCCCTGCAATCCTGTCCTCCCCAAATACCCATCTACTCTCTTAAAAGTTGTTATTGAATCAGCTTCCACTACCCTTTCAGGTAATGCATTCCAGATCCGAACAACTCGCTGGGTGAAAAAATTGTTCCTAACCTCTACTTTGTTTCTTTTAACAACTATCTTAAATTGGTGTCCTCGGGTTACTGACCCACATGCCAGTGGAAACAATTTTTCCCGGTTCAACCTATCAAATCCTCTCATGATCTTGAAAACCTCTATTAAATCCCCTCTTAATCTTCTCTGCTCTAGGGAGAATAATCCTAGTTTCGCTAACCTCTCCTCATAACTAAGGTCCTTCATTCCTGGTACCATCCTGGTAAACCTCCTCTGCACCCTCTGCAATGCCTTAACATCTTTCCTAAAGTGCGGTCCCTAGAACTGAACGCAGTACTCCAACTGAGGCCTAACCAGCATTTTATATATATTCAACATAACCTCCTGACTTTTGACTTCTATGCCCCTATTTATAAAATCTAGTGTGCCGTATGCGTTTTTGATACAATTGATATGATACAATTTACATTTATATTGTGCCTTTCATGTCAGGATAACATCTTAAAGTGTTTAACAATGCTAGATCGGCACCTGAGGCAGTTGTGGGAGCCGAGGGGGGTGGGGAGGAGCAAGATGACCAAAAGCGCAATCAAAGAGGTACATTTTGAGATATACCTTGTTGCCTTAGTTTTCACAAATTCAGGGTTTTGTGATCTACTGTTAAGTGTCAGTATGCCATAGGTGATAGTACTCTTCACAAACAACATTACATTTATCTGCCACCTATTCAGTCAGAAGGACATCCCAGAAGGTCAGAAGTGGATTCAAGCCACCTGTCAGGACTTTGAACTCACGGTCTAGTTTGACATTTCGATACAGTGCTGGGAAGTGCTATCCTTTGGGTAAGATGTTAAACTGTCCTGTTTCTGTCTGTTCAGGTTTACATTAAAAATCTCATGGTTCTAATTGGAAAGAGAGAGGAGTTTGTCCTGGTCAACAATCCTCCCAATAAAATTAGTAATTACTTCATGGCTGTTTGTGACACTTTTATTTGGTCAGCCAGGTAGGTGTCTGAAACATGCAGAAACCCAACACCATGCTTAACAGTACCCAAACTGGACTGGGAGATCAACATATAAGTGTGACTGCCAGGACGGTGGATGCGACCGCCAGGAGGGTGGATGCAACCGCCAGGAGGGTGGATGCAACCGCCAGGAGGGTGGATGCAACCGCCAGGAGGGTGGATGCAACCGCCAGGAGGGTGGATGCAACCGCCAGGAGGGTGGATGCAACCGCCAGGAGGGTGAATGCAACCGCCAGGAGGGTGGATGACGAACTAGATGGACCTTGGTCTTTTTTTCGTCTAGCATTTCTTATGTTCTTATATTATGCATATGGAAATTTCCCTATGTTTGGAATGGAATGCACCCTACTTACCAAATTCCAGAGCACAGTATTAGGCACAGATTGGGAAGAGGCTATAGCCTGTGCAATTTGGGGTACCGTTTGAGTTTAATCATCTAAAACAGCAGAGCATGCCATTGAGAGCTGTCTGGCAAGTTTGCAGTTGCTTGTCTAGCTGGAACTATATTACTCATGAGGACTTTGGCTTGCAGGGTTAACTGAGGAGCTGAGGAGGAAGAATCCACCCGCTCATAGTGACCAGTGTACCCCTCAAAGTACTGCTGAAGAACCAGGCTGGCTGGTTTGCGATCAGCAGTGCTCTGGAGTACTACGGACTCACCTGGCTCAGGAAAAGGATTACTAAGACCGTCAAAGAAGATAGACTCGATTCTAACGTTCTGTTGCTAAGCACTTTGAAACCAACTCATCTCTAAGGAGACCCCACTTATCTCCCCCCACCCCACCACCATTCCCAACCCGGAGGATGGATATTATTTGATACTAGTTGATCACAGCTTTTAAGAGAGCAGATAATTATTTGGGGAGGAGACGTTTGCAGGGTTGTGGGGAGAGAGTGGGAGAGTGGGACTGAATTGGATAACTCTTTTCAAAGAGCTGGCGCAGACATGATGGGCCAAATGGCTTCCTTCTGTGCTGTATAATTCTATGATTTGCTGTCCAACAAATCAAGTTGTTTTTGTGCTTTGTTAAAAATCCCACTATTTGTGTAAGAAAAGGGTTCTATTCAGAGTGCTCAAATTTTAAAACAAACAAGACTTTTCAAAGTAAATTAGTTATGAAGTGCAATTAAAATACAATCAAGCATTTAAAGATATTGCAAATGTTTCTGATAATACAGAAGATTCTTGTGCAACTGTTTTTGAAAGAATTCAAAAAGCTGACTTATCAAGCTTGTAAGGTAATTAGATGACAAATTGCTGCACAAGGAATGATTATCTATGGCTGAGCAGCCAGCTGTAACGTGCAGTCAAGTGTGATAACTCATTTCAGTATGACCACCTTGGAATAGAGGTCAGGCGTTGATGAAGGAAAATCACCTGTCACATTTGCTGTTAAGAATATTCTAGGATACTGACACCACTTGAAACTGCATAGATACAGATGAGGAATGGTTAGAAACTGTGAAATATTTTTAGTTACTTCAAGTGGCACACATTCACTGATAAATGAATGGATAGTGAATGCCATAACATTAAGGGAGGCAGGTGGCGGAATATAAAAGACAGGTAAATGAAACGAATCATAGCACAGAAAAAGACCATTCAGCCCATAAGTCTGCACTGGTGGCTTTATGCACATGAGCCACATTGCCCATTCTTGGTGGCTAATACTTTCTAGAATTAGGTAAGCAGGATGTATCCCTCCAGGGAGAGACTTCACATTCCAACAACTTCTTTCTGGCATTTCCATGTGTAGATGGGATGCATGGAATTCTTAGTTTGGGTTGGATATTCTTAAGCATGATGATGAGTTTCCGCATGTCTCAGACACTCGGCTGACCCAAAAAATCCACACTGTCATGCTGACTTCCCACACGACCTAAGAATTGATGGACTCTGCCTCAACAATTGTGAGAGAGAATTCTACATTCCTATCTATGGTTTACTCCCATTCTCATTTTTTGCTGAATCAAACATCATTCTTTAATTGAACATTCATTGTTTTATTTTTAAAAATTAAGTAGTTACTCACTTTGTTTGCCATCATTTCAAGTAACGGGCAAGTTTCGCTAAAATCATCAATCTTATTTTTCAAGTCATTGAAAGCCTGCCATTCCTTCAGAGCTTTGGGTAGTTTGCGTATCCTGGGAATAAAAATGGAACAGAAAAGCGCCAGCAATTACTTGAAACAAATACTGGATTACAATATTACAAACTACAGAATATTAAACAGATGTGTGTAATTATGATATCTGCTCACTTTCAAAAACAATTTTAACCCCTAGCCTTTCAGGAGGTAGAGCAAAATACAGTTGCCTGGGCTTTCAGTCCACACACTATGACAATAAAACAAACAGCAAGATTGTGGTAATAAACTGACTCAAATATTAGAGCTTTTAAAGAACACTTAAATCACAAATTGAATTTAACCTTCAAATTAAAGGGTTTTAATTGGGACAAAACCAATTTTAAAACCTACGTATTGAGGAATCATAGATTCAATTCACTCAACAACAATAAAATTACATTTATATAGCGTCTTTCACGTCAGGAGGACATCCCAAGGCGCTGGACAGACAGAGTTTTGGATCCAAGCTGAGGGTCGGGGTGGGGGATGGGGGAGGGCAGGGGGGGAAGCAGGGAGATCGAAAGCACGATCGAAGAGGAGGGTCTTCAGGTGGGTCTTGAAGGTGGCGAGGGAGGGGACGAGACAGAGGGACTGTGGGACGGAGTTCCAGTGGGTGGGTACAGAGTGGCGGAAGGCCCACCCACTGATAGTGGGGGGAGCAAGGCGGGGGACGTAAAGCAGGCCAGAGCCCGCTGAGCGGAGGGAGCAAACAGGAAGGTAGGGGGTTAGGAGGTCGGAGAGGTAGAGGGGAGCAAGACCATGGAGGGCTTTGAAGGTGAGGACCAGGATCTTGAACTGTACCCTCTGTGTGATGGGAAGCCAGTGGAGTTGGGCGAGGATGAGGGTTGATAGGGTCACAGAGCCTAGTGTGGGAGAGGACACAGGCTGCAGAGTTCTGGATGATCTGCAGCCTGTGGAGGGAGGAGGTGGGAGGCCGACAAGCAATGAGTTTGCGTAGTCGAGCCTCAAAGTAATGAAGGCATGTGTGAGGATATCGGCAGCCCGCAGTGTGAGACAATGTCGGAGCCGAGCGAAGTTGCGGAGGTGAGGGAAGGCAGAGCAGGTCATGGCGCGAATGTGGGGGTAGAAAGGATAGTTGAGGCTCAAACAAGACCCCAAGGTTCTAGACTGGCTTAGTAAAGTGGAGTGTGCAACCATGGATGGTGATGCTGTCAGCGCCTGAGGTGAGAAGGTGCTGACGGAGCCAATCAGGGGAGCCTCGGTCTTGTTGACATTCAACTGAAGAAAGTTAGCTCTCATCCAGGACTTGATGTCTGACAGACATTCTGTCAGGACAGCAGTGGTCCTGGAGTCCAGGGTGGAGGCAGAGAGATAGAGTTGGGTGTCATTCACATACATGTGGAAGTTGACCCCATGTCTGCGGATGATGTCACCAAGAGGGAGCATATAGATATTGAAGAGGAGGGGACCAACGACAGAGCCCTGAGGAATGGTGCATGAGATGGTTCGGGGACTAGAGAAGAAGCCATTTGAGGAGATAAAGTGCAGGCGGTGTGAGAGGTATGATCTGAACCAATCAAGGACAGCGCCATGGAGGTTGAGATGAGAGAAGAGGCGGTGGATAAGGATAAAGTGGTCAACAACAAGAACTTGGATTTATATAGCGCCCTCCACGCTGGGTGGCGACCAAGAGTGCTTCACAGTAACGCATTCCAGGGCCAAGCCAGGGGGGAGGGGGAGGAAGGTGACCAAAGGCGCGGTCAAAAAGAAAGGTCTTCAGCCAAGACCTGATAATAGGAAGAGAGAGGGCGAGGCAAAGGGAGTGAGGAAGGAAGTTCCAGAGCCCTCGGGGCGTAGTGGCTGAAGGCACAGCCGCCGATGGTGGAGCGGAGATTCGGGGGACAAGGAGGAGGCCAGACCTGGTGGAGAGAAGGCAATGGGCAATGTTGTGAGGAGAGAGGAGATCAGAGAGGTAGTGGGGGTGCAGAGGAGTAGAGGAATTTGAAGACAAAAGTGAGGATCTTGATGTCGATCCTCTCTGGGACAGACAACCAGTGCAGTCTGGCAAGGACTGGGGTGATCGGGGAGCGGGGTTTGGTGCGGGTAAGAATGCGGGCGGCAGAGTTTTGGATGACCTGGATTTTATGAATAGTGGCGGGGAGACCGGTGAGGAGGGCATTAGAATAGTTCAGCCGAGAGGTGACAAATGCATGGACCAGGGTTTCAGTGGCTTTTGGAGTGAGGTATTGATAGAGACAGGCAATGCGTTGGAGGTGGAAGAAAGCGGTGCTGGTGAGGGACCGGATGTGGGGGGGGAAGGATAATTGGGGGTCGAACCTGATGCCTAGATTGCGTACGGATTCGGAGAGTTTTAGGGGGAGGTTGGGAAGGTGGAGGAGGTGAGAATCATGTGATTTTAGACTTTGACGAGAGCCGAAGAGTATGGCTTCCGTCTTGTCAACATTTAGATTAAGGAAATTCATGCTTATGCAGCTCCTGATGTCTGACAGGCAGGCTGACTGTGGGTCACAAAGTGAGGTGGAAAAATAGAGTTGGGTGTCATCCGCATATATGTGGAAGTGACATCCCCAAGAGGGAGCATGTAGATCAGAAAGAGGAGGGGGCCAAGGATGGATCCTTGGGGTACCACGCAGGTGACCGGATGAGAGCGGGAGGAAAAGCCATTTGTGCAGATGTACTGCTCGCGGTTCGTAAGATAGGATTCGAACCAGGCGAGTGCGGTCCCACTGAGGTGGATGACGGAGGAAAGGTAGTGGAGGAGGATGGCGTGATCGATTGTGTCGAAAGCAGGTGGAGAGGACCAGGAGGACAAGGAGGCAGAGGGAGCCCTGGTCACAGAGAGAGAGGATGTCATTTGTGACTTTCACAAGTGCAGTCTCTGTACTGTGGGCAGGCGGAAACCGGACTGAAGGGGTTCAAAGAGGGAGTGGGAGGAGAAGTATGCGCAGAGTTGGTTGGCAACAACGCGTTCTAGGACCTTTGAGAGGAAGGGCCAGTTTAAAATAGGGCGGTAGTGGCTGGGCTTTGAGGGATCAAGGGAAGATTTTTTGAGGAGGGGGTGATGACAGCAGTTTTGAGGGGTGCAGGGACTAATCCAGAGCAGAGGAACTGGTTGATGACATCAGCCAGTAGTGTGCAGAGGAGGGGGAGCTGAGTGACCAGCAAGTTGGTGGGGAGGGTGTCGAGGCAGCAGGTGGTGGGTTTCATTGAAGTGACGGTGGGTGAGAGGGAGGAAGAAGAGATAGGGAGGAAAGAATGTAGGATGGGGGTCGTGGTGGGAGCTGATGATGGGGAGGGTGAGGGGGACGGAGAGGGGGTGGTGGTGGGTGACAAGAGGCAGAAGGATGAGGCTGCTTGGCGGATGTTATGTATTTTGGTTGAAAAGAAATCCATGACCTCCTCGTACTTGGCATTAGATGTGAAGATTAAGGAGGCCTGAGGAGGCACATGGGGGAGGTAGTGGGTGGTGGATAAAAGGACTTTGCGATCGTTTTTTGCCTCCAAGATGATGTTGGGAGTAGAAGGCCTTTTTCGTGTGCATCAAAGAATGGCGGTAGCTGTGGAGATGCTCGAGCCACAGTTGGTGGTGAACTGTCAGGCCAGTTTTCTGCCATCTGCACTCGAGTAGCCGGGTTTGGGCTTTTAGAGAGCGGAGATTATTTTTATACCAGGGGGATCGGGTGGGTTTGCAGATGGTCCTGGATTTCAGGGGGACAAGAGAGTTGAAGGTGGAGGAGAGGCGATCATAGAGCAGCTGAACGGCTGCTTCAAGATCTCTGCGGGTGGAAGGCCAGAAGGATAGGATATTTGAGGATGTGAGGGCCTTTGTGAGGGTCTCAGGAGATAGCCTTTTCCACGGGTGGTAGAGTATGGTTGAGGGCTTGGTGGAGGAGAGAGGGATGAGAGGAGAAGGAGATGAGGAAGTGGTCCGAGATGGCCTTGTCCACTATGCTGAGGTCGGAAATGTCAAGGCCATGGTCGACATGTTAAAATGTCACTCTGGCATATTCTCACATGCTAATCCTCGTATGCTGACAGAAACTGGAGCAGTAAAGTCTCTCATTTGGAAGGGTTAAAAATAGTAAATTTATAATGTTTTTCTCAAATTAGACAAAACATTTTGTTTCCTTTCAACCAGGATACATGTGAAGGATCATTTCCTTTGGTGTGACATCACAGCATCCCCATATTTGGAAGAGCTCAACAACACAGCATACAATGGGGTGAAAATATGTTGTGATTTTGAATGGAATTATTTAATAAAGAAACCAAGTAGGGACACATTCCAGTAAATGGAAGTACATCACACACATCAATCCCATTAAGAACATCGAACTTTGGAAATTTACACCACAGAAAGCGGCCATTTAGTCCATCATGTGTGTGCAATAAAAGAGCAATCCTTTCAGTCCCATTCACCTGCCCATTTCCCTGTTTACAATGTGTGCGTTCCACTCCAAACATAGATGAAGTCAGAATGTAGTTCCTGCGAATCAACATGACATACTTCCAGTTTCCTTATAATGGTATTCCGCTAGACATTGTCACTTTGTGACCCCAATAAATAGTCTTATTTTGAATCTTATCATTCAGGTACAAATATGTATGTACTAACATTTTTTCCCATAATGCTAAATATGCCAAAGAAAAAGGGAGATAGGTTAAGGTTACATAGTACAATACACAATAGTTTACAGGTGAAATGTACATTCAAACAACTGTCAAAAAATAACATTAATGCCACGTACTTGTTCTGAAATTCCAGGAGCTCATTGTTGATTTTCTCAATATCAAGCTCACTCCACAATATCTCATTGTAACCACTGACACTATCAATGACTGAATTGTAAAGGCCATACAATTTCTGCAGCAATGTTAGTTCACGTCTGATTCTCAGTAGATCTGGGTAATCTGTTTCATAATAATAAAAAACAATTTTAACCTTAACTAGCATTCTGCAAAAACTGAAAACAGGAAAAAGGTTATATTTAAATTTTATTTTGCAAATAGTATTAGGCTTATATTCTATTGCATTACATTTCCCTTTATTACTACTATTTTCCTTTCCAAATCTGTTAGATTATTGTAGATATTGAGTTTTAAAAAAGCATAACAGCTTGGTTCAGTTAGTAGGTAGCATTCTTGCTTTTGGGTAGAAGGTTGTGGGTTCAAACCCTACATTGTCCAAGCTGACACCAGTGCAGTGCTGGGGAATGCTGCATTGTTAGACTGCTGTCCTTCAACTAAGACATTAAATTGAGATTCTGACTGCATGTTCAGGTGTAATTTAAAAATTCCACAACATTGTTTGAAAAGGGAAGGAAGTTTCTCCCCATGTCCTGTCCAAAAACCCCACAGATTAATTGGTTATTTGCTTCATAGTAACGTTTGGAATTTCACAAGAGAGGATCAGATCTTTTTGCCCACAAAATACACAGTCAATTCACTTTACAGTACAACAACAACTTGCATTTTTATAGTGCCCTGCACACAGGGTAGCAACCCAGAGTGCTACAGTATTTTATGTGAAGCACCTTGAGATGTCTCGAATATGTAATAAGGCACTACATCAAATGCAAAGATTATTATTATAGATGAAGCACCCTTTTGGTCCTTTTGATTTCATCCTTCCAGAATACCCATCCCATCTTCCTCTCATCATAGCCATAAACTGTTTTTAAAATGAGTTCAGTGGCCCTGCCTCAACCACCTTTCCTATTAGCTTGTTCCAATCACTCCCTTCCTCACTCCGTCAATATTTTTCTTGAGACCTTCCTCTGACTGCGTTTTCGGTCACCTTTCCCTTCCCCAACCACCTCAGTTCCTACTACCAGCTCAGGAGCTCAGCCAGTACTATTACATGCTTTGGGCCATCCTCACTGACGTGAAAGGAGTATATAAATGTCAATTTATATTGTATTAATTACCCATTTTGTAAAGAAATACTTCTTCGTGTCTGCAATTGCCCTTAGAAATGCTAAACCTGTATCCTCTTACTGTGCTGCCTCAGTGCGTCAGATGGTATTGTTCAGAGTTTAGTTTCACAATCCCATTTAAAATCTTGTATACCTTTACAAGATCCCCTCTGAGACATTCCTTTTCAAGACTGAAGAAGCCTAGCTTGACTAATGGTTGCTCACAGCTCATTCTCCTGACACTGAGGATTATCCTCATTGCTCTGCACTGCCTCTAAACCTTGGCAGTGACTAGAACTGTTAGCAATATTCTAGATGTAACCTGGCAAAAGCACGATACAGCTTGAATATGACTTCTCTTTTGCTGTATACAAGATGGCTGTTGCATTTGCTACCAATGATTAGTCACGACATTTGAAGGAAAGTACAGTACTTTGATACATTTGGACATAGGCCATTATACAAAAACAAAATATTTCCAGTATGCAAAAACAATAGTTACCAATAACGGGCAACCCAAACAGCTCTTCTCCTCCAGAATAAGTGGCAAACTTTCGCCAGAGCTCATCAAATCTTGCCTGAAAGATCTGCAACCTATCACTAGCTTCCCGGGGTGATTGACCTTCAACACCAGGGCCCCTGCATTGAGGAAACACACAGTACATGTTATTTCTTTACTACTAGTCATAACAACAACAACAACAACTTGCACTCATACAGCGCCTCTCATGCAAGGTAGTGTCCCAGATTGTTTGACAGTGGTGGAGCACGACACCGAGCCTGGGGGAGGGGACTGGAGGCACGGTCAAAAAGGAAGGTCTTGATGCGCAACATGAAGATGGGGAAGGAGGGGGCAAGGCGGAGGGATAGAGGAAGACAGAGGAATAACAATGAGCACATTTTCTGCACAATACTATGTAAGGTAATCTATTTCTACTTTCAATAGAAGCAGAATTTTTCAATGTACGGATACACAAAAGAGGAGTTTAGATAGCTCCAACTACATAATCTTTAATTTCTTTAATCATTCTTCATAAATGCGAACCACAAACCAACCTTCCAAGCCATCACATATCACTGAGTGTTTTACAGCAATCCCTCCTTAAAAGGGATCATAGAAAAAACTCAAATTCTCGTGACAAGAAAATCTCTAAGTGCTTTATAATAGCTCACATTAATTTAGATTTAAAACATGCACCTTCTGCTCTATTACACGGGAACAAAGATATCACACTAACTTTATTTTGAATATAATTCTGTTCAGGAAGCTGCACTAATACATCATTGTATACAAAATCACTTTCAACACTCATGTACCATCAATACAAAGATAGAGGCGTGTTGGCAGCAATTTTCTTGCATTATCTCAACATTTCAAGTCCTGTGTTAAATGGTATCAGAATTAGCCCAGTAGATGCTGTCAAAATGTCACACTAGTAGCTGCCTACCTTTTTATTTTCATATGGTCAACTTATATTTGTTGGAACAAAGTTAAATATATTTCTGGAGAGCAGGTTTACTTCAACAACAACAAAAACAACTTGCATTTATGTAGTGCCTTCCATATCAGGAGGCTGTTCTAAGACACAGTTTCAGCATATGATTCAAACCCACTGCCAAAGTACATTACTTTACGACCAGCAGAGAATCAGATGTGCTCGCCTGCTAATGCCAACATATTTGCTCAGAAGGCCAGCCTAGATTGACAGAGCTTCCAATTTCCCCTTTTCCTCCCGGTGAGAAAAAAACAACTTCAGCTGTGATCGAGAACTCACTGTATGGAGGAAATCAATACCACACAAAAACTTATGTCTTTTCAACTCTGCAGCATTGGACATATCTAAATGCGGATTACAAGGTGGCTTCAAACAGCTTCATTTTTAATACTGCATCAATCAAATCCTCAAGTGGTGAAGTATTGCACACCAGAGGCAATTTCACTCTCATTACTTTGAACAATACATTGTGATTCAGGTGGTGTTGGTCCTCTCCTTTATACAAACTTAAGTGGATACGAAGCAAGCAGTGTACAACCAACAATGAGAAATGTAGCACAAGTAAAATTTGTTGATGCAAATACTAAGTGGAACAAGTTTCCAACACGTCTATTTTGTTGCAGGTAAAAATTGCAAATTGAGCAACCCGTCTTTTTATATCCATAGCTGTTAGACAGAGAGATCCTCAAGGACTACAGCTGCCGGGCAGCATTGATTGGAAGAACAAAGGTAGTCGAGTTTGTCTTGTTAATGCACTCCCTGCTGAGCTCAGTCCTGAATGCAGCAAAATGTGACAAGAGACTATTAAAGAAACAAAAACAGCTCCTGATCTATCTATAAAAAATACAAATCAAGTGATGCTCAACAGCTGAATTTATCAGACACAATTCATCAATGCAGGTTGTCTGCTTTATTTCCAAACTCCATTATGGAGAAACTCTCAGGAACAATCTGTGACGGTAATCTTTAGCATCTATACAGGTAGGTTTCTCATACGGTAAAATACTTTCTTCTACAGTGTTGTTTATGCAATTAAATAAAAATGGTGCTGCCATCCTATTACCGTTTACCCAATTCAATACATAGTGTTCAAATCCAGCACTCACTTTGTATGGTAGTCCGTGTAGAATTCCTGTACATTCATTTGGAAAGTTTTCACCCCATCTAGCAGATCAGACTTCATTGCCGGCTCCACTTTTAGAAGCACATTCTGTGTCTGCACAACCTGCCGCACACAAGTTGTGGATCATTATCAGTAAGCAGATGAACTTAACCACTGGAAAAGCGTGATATTAAAATTCAAACTAAAATGGAGAATTTTCTCAGAACATAAAACATGAATATCCTGGGTTCAAGTAGTTTACTTCATTCCTAGTTCATTCATGCAACTTATTACTTTAAATGTCAGTAACATTGCAAATATCGAGACAATGAGAGGACCCTTGTCATGAGCAGATCCTATATGATAGCAGCATACTACATATATTACAATTAATTATAAATCGTCAGTATTAGCTTGGTAACTATAGAGTGATTCTCCTCTGAAACGCTGCGCCTAAGATTGAATCTAGAGAGGCCTATAAATTATCATTTGAACTGCTTTCCAATTCAATACATACATATATATTATAATACTTTTGTTTGAAGACAGAACATAAATCGAACAATAGTTTGGGCTACAAATATTTAATACTACTTTGAAATCTATTGTTTTTCTTGTAATTTGAATTGCACAGCAGAATGCAGAATGCCAAGCAGCTTTTCCAGGGAACTAACTGAACAGGATATTCATCCAGAAGGTAAAATGAATCATTTCAACATTTAATTCTCAACACTATGGGAAAGCTTCATCCTGTTGAGAAATGAAAGACAGGGTCTAGCTGTGCTTAATGCCTCTCTTATCTTTAGAGTCGCTTTCCAAAGTAGTTCTGCACATTTGTAGAATTGCCTCCTGCTGGCAAAACCATCCCATTTATGCTTTGGGACAGTTCAACAATATAAGAGAGGAGAAGATAACTGGTCCCTTCATGGCAGGTACCAGCTCAATTGTCTTCTACATGCATTGAATGCTCATTCTGGATTCCCAAATGCAATCAGAATGGTTTTATATAATTAGCGCATATCACCTGAGTGCCTTTATGCTGAGAAAAAAGTCCATTAAGTTTGTCTGGCAGTCTTGCTGGACATTAGGGTCACTGCTTTGCACCAAACTACCAGGCCACAAAGGAAAGCACAGCTAAACGGCTTATCCATTATGTATTAATAAATGCAAGATATTGAAGTCCATTTACATGCAAAGAAGGGCTCAAAATAGGAAGATTAAGGAGTAATTGCACAAGCGAATGGACCTCCTGCCAGTGTCTAATTTCTTTATTCTGGTGTTTAATTCCAGCTGTGAATTTGAATACCATATAACAGAATCACTTTAGGAGAAGATGAATATGAATTCTAACTACCTATATATTACTTGTACCTTCATGTAAACATAGTATGTGTTGCACATGAAGGTAGTTTGGGACACATGCGACCGCCAGCAAGGTGGAAGGCGAACTAGATGGACCTTGGTCTTTGTTTGTCTAGCATTTCTTATGTTCTTATTATTTTCTTATAAGCAATATTTCCAGAAGTACCTGTGCATTCAAATTTTTCCAGGCGTAAGCTAGTCCATCAACTCTCTCAGCACTTCCATCTTGGAAAAGCAACTCATGCTTATTCAATAAAGCGTAAGTTTCTTCAACAGGCCCAATAGTCATGTCAATCTTTATCTCACTCTGTCGAAGTTCTTTCAATGCTGCCATAGCTTCACGGACATCGTCCAGATCATTTATTGGTCGGTTCAGTCGTTTGTTAAGATTGTCAATGAAGGAATAAATCTCATCCATTTCCATAGCTGTCTTTTTATTCAAGGCTGCACCAAAGGCTCTTTTCCACGAGCGGCATTCCTGTACTAATGCCAGCTTCAGATGCTGTGTCTCAAACTGAACAGAGCCCACTTGGTAATGAGAAGGTAGCTCATCAATCTGTGTCTCCAGTTTCTACAAAAGAGCATAGTATTCAAAACCAACCAAGTACAATACAGAGATGAAAAAATGAAAAATGTGGCTAAATTCAGTATATGCAATACTTTGAAATGTCAGGGGGAGGCAAGTATAGATCAACAGTTTATGATGAGACTGTTTGGCTATTATACAAAAATATAACAGCATGCAAATATGGTTAGAATTACTATTTGTTTACTTGATGCTAGTAGTTGCTTCTTCGAGGGACCTATCTTGACTGTAATCATAATTCATGCAGAAACTGTATGGGAGTGATTCTCCCTAGGTGGTAAACTTGCCACTATTTGGCGATAAGTGCTTGTAATGGGATTTCTGGCAATTGTTGATAAATATACCAGAGCAGCAGAGAACGAATATACACAGACCATTGGTCAGTAAATTTTCTAAGAAAAAAAATGAAAATGTAATTTTTCCAGCAGCATTTAAACATGGAGTTCATACTTTTCAATGTTACTCTAACGTGCTAACGATACAGTTTGCCCAAGCAAGTCCAGCTAACCCAGCCATAGCTTTGAGCAATGACTGCACTATGACTCCAATCAAACCTGTGGGTAAGGATTGCTGTGCTTCTGCAATATCTCAACAAATTGTGAAAGTAAACAAACTCATCAGAACAAAAGTAGAATGCAGAATATATCTTTTGAAAGTAAACAAAAAAGATAATGTGGGAGTGAAAATGTAACTTGGGTTAATTTTCAATTGAGCACAGAAATGTTTCTGCAAGTCATGGGTAAATCGCCATTTGCTATAACTTTGAACCAATTTACAAGCAGTTAAGCTTTAAAATGCATTTTTACAAGGTTTTCTTGGGCCACTCCAATTCAATGGTTATTTCATGGTCTAACAAATGTCGGTTCCTTTGGAAGACACATGGCAATAAAACCTTTAATAAGAAAAGTACAGCAAATGAACGGTTCTCTCACATTCATCTGACCTCCACAAGTGTAGCAGCATTGTTAAAGAATGAATAAAGTGCTCAATATCAAGTTACTGTGGCAACACAAATCTATTCTATTTATTTTATACCTACAGCATAAAAGGTAATTCGTTCATTGAACTCTGAGAGGATTGGATGTGAATCCAGGAATTCCTTTACTTTTTCCTCTGGATCCTAAAGAAAACATCACAATGTCAGAAGTAACTTTACATCAGAAAAGTAACAACATAATGCCATATTGATTGCTGTGAAAATCAATATCAAGCAGTTTTAAAAGCATCTAGAACACTGTAAACGTGTATGGTGTGAAAACACGAAGAAACAAAGTAAAGGCGAACAATTCTCTTCACACTAAAATGAGGGTAAAGCACATTTAAAGAAATGTTCAAAAGGAACACTGGTGAAATTCAATCTCACACAGCTCAGTGGAATTTCCACTTGGGTCTAGATTTTACTCTATTAACATAACATTTAATACATATTAATACATTTATTTTAATTTTAGTTAATATTGCAGAGCTGCACTCTTTAAATCATACCCAAGTGAAGGATCAGTTGTGCAAAATTAAATCAAAGATATGCAGATGGCATCAAAAAACCTAACAGGAGATATCAAATAATGCTTCTATGATTGTAAATGGGTCCACAGAAAAATAAATCGTGCCTCATATGGTGAATTGGTAACAAAAGGACTTAAACTCAGGGCTGTATTTCCGACGTGAAGGGCACTATACAAGTGTAATTTGTTGTTGTCACTAGCTGGGGGGAGATTGAAATAAAATGTTTTCACACAAAATTTTTTAGAACATGGAATGCATTGTGGTCAGTGTCCTGGCCAAACAATGACCTCATTTTGCATTATATTTCACATAATAATATTATTTGTAATACGAAGAGTTTATTCCATATAAGAACATATAGATTTTCGTGTAAACGGTAGTTGGCATAGTAACATTAAAGATCCCAGTGAATGTTAAAGATCCCACGGCATTACTGAATTTGAAAAGAGAAGGGAGTTTCTCCCGGTTTCCTGACCAACAATCTCCCAGATACAATTGATTATTTCATTTCATGACTACATGTAGGATATTTCTGTAAGCAAATTGGGTTCCATGTGCGCTAACAAAATAAAATCACTACACTTCACTTTATATCCATTTATAAGTTATAAATTTATATATTTATAGTTAATTCACTTTACAGTATATTCTGTGAAGCGCTTTGAGACGTCTTGACTACGTGAAAAGCGCTATATCAAATGCAAGGATTATTATATTCACAGTATACTGCATGAAGCACTTTGTGACACCTTCCCATGTGAAAGGCATTTTATCAAATGCAAGAATTATTATTATCATTTAGCTTTTAAACCAAAATTGGATAATCATTTTAAGGTAAACAATATAAATTGATACCATAAATTGTGAGAATAGAGTAGTTAGCTCCAATGGATAACCAGTGTAGGCAAAATGAGCCAAATGGTCCCCTTCTGTGCTACTCTAACGAGGCAATGAGACTCTATGGTATCCGGGTGAGTAATATGCTGCTGGTGGCTGCTTAGTTCCATGTAGTTGCTTGCCTGACAACACAGTGATTAAATTATTTCCTTCATTAATTCATTCAGAAACCTACACAAATTAAATTGACTGTGACCTACATAAAATAGAAAAATTACATTTAGAGTAAAAATGTTCCCACTCTTCTCCCTGGCTTGCCTGTCCTCCTCCGTGCAACTGTATCTGCCAATCTCACTAAATTTCTGTTTTGTTAACTTTCCTCTCTGCTATTGGAATCATTTGGAATCCTCTTTTTGATTAAATTCACTAACACCAGATTAATCTCGGATTTAATTCTTTTCAATGCATCTTCTCCGCTGTACAATGATGCAAATGTTCCTCCTCAATAGCATTAGCAAGTTAAATTAGACTATTTGCTAAACATTTGAGGCTGGTTTCAGATGGGTAGCTGTCATGAAAATAGTGTGAGCGAATAGTTTGGCATGACCACCATAAGGTCATTTCAATTAGTGCTGCAGGAATGTCTAGAACTTTCAAGAAAATGCAAAAGCAAATCATTCAGGCTATGGTTAATAGGATAGTCTGATATCCTATTAACCATAGATATCTAGTCTGTTCTAATTACCTTCCTCACCCCCACCCCAACTCAAAGAGGATAGCATGTATTGACCAACCTGCCCACTCCCTCCGCTCGGTAGCCACACCATCCCGGAGCACCTCGGCTTCACCCCGTCCCTTGCCTCCTTTAAGGCCCGCCTCAAAGCTTTCCTCTTGCATCTTCCCATCTCCACCCCCTTGCCCTCCACACCTCTTGATTTCACTCCCAGCTCAAATGCAAACCCTTCAATGTCCAGCGCCTTGGGACATACTTCCTACATGAAAGGCATTTTATCAATAAAATTTGTTGTGGTTGAAATACAAACTCACCTCATTCCACAAGTGAGAGAAATGGGAGAAATTATCAAGAACCTCCACTGCATCAGGCTTCAAAGTGGAGATGATGGAATTGAGTGGGATCACAACTTTGATGATGTCTTTGTGTTCACTGATTTGTTTATCAAGGGGTTTCAGCACGACCTGCTTCGCAAGCGTATTATCATCACCAAGCTCTCTAGCAACACTCTGTTCAATCTAACCAAAAAAAGCAGGCATGTAAACACACATCGATCATGCATGAATTTATTGAACATCCTTCAAGAATAAAGTGATCGAGAGTCAAGCCACAATGGAAAGCAATGGATACCTGCTGTTGTTTCTGATGAAGGTAGGCAAAGCTCCAAAGAGGGATATCTTTAGCCATCGAAATCATCATGTTCACTACTTTATTTAGAACAGACTAGAATAAAATATTTAAAAAAAGACATATTTTACATTGACTTTCTACTTATTTGAAGTGTACATTGACAGTAGGATATTGTTTTGCAACTGTGCATAACAAAAACGTTTCCTGACTAATCTGGAAACATAGCTGCCCAACCGCTAAAAGATCATCTTTAGTGCTACGAGAAAGTGAATTTTAGCCCATTTATGCAGAACAAACTTGGGAAAGCAATATCATGCTTAAAATAGAACCTACACACTGATGTAGGGCTTAAAATAAAAGAGCCTGTCTCAGGGTCACACAAAATGGGTCCCTGAGAGGGGCGCCACCTGCAGGTATTCTTTAAAATATTCCTTAAACAAGTGAGGAAAGCAGTATGAAATTTTACCTGATTGCTTAAATAGATTCCATGTTTACGCTATTGATTTCAGCTACCCTTACATCTCATGCTCATGTATAGTACTGCACCTCCCAATTAGTCTGGAAACGATAGCAGGCTACATACATATTCTCTTTAAGTATTGCTAAAAATTTACACCTTGCCTTTTCATTATTCAGTAGTTACCTGAATTTCCTCTATGCTGGGTCGCATGATGACATGAGGAATAGCAAGGAAGATTCCAGCTTTAAAGAACGGGGCTTTTGGTGTCCCCAAACCACTACTATTTGCAGCTTTGTATTTGGAGCTGGTGAAATGTAAGCTCCGCTTGATTGCATCCAATGATAACTTCGTACCTAAACACATTTTCACAAAATGTCAAGGCATTCCAGTGATTGAGAGATGGAAACCATATAGATGGTTAGATCACTTGTATCTAAGCAAAATGTACACTAAGAACAGTGGTATGACAACTGACATATGAAAGATTTTTTTTAAAAAAACAAGCTTTCAGATGGTGAATGAGTAATGTACTTACATTTCACAAAGGCATCAGTATTCTTTTGACAAAGTTGTCCCATCAGGTTATAGAAGCAGCAAGGTAAGCATTCCTGACAACGATTATTTTGTTTTGCATCAGGATGTAAGCATGCATAGGAATCCTGTACATAAGTCAATGCATAAATAAGTAACTGATAAGTAACTGGATAAGTAACTGGATTTATAAAAGCTGTCTTCTTTCAACTGCACATCAAAAGTTCAATAAGAATAATATTCAGTAAGAATCATACTAAGAATCAATCTCAAAAATAAAGCATAACGTTACTCCAATTTCACTGAGGAATGCAAATTGTTAAAATCTGTCTGGAATTTCTCTTATAGAAAAATTCACTTCTACTCCAGTCAATACAACAACCTACAAATGTTTAATATTTCCAGAAGAAAACAATAAAATTATTATTCTTTTTCAAGAACAAGATTATTACAGTATGTGCTTCTGGATTTTGTGGGTATTGAAATTGTGGTTTGGGGGAAAAATACAATTGTGAAAAGGCAGAGCAATTATCTAAAAAGTACACCTTAGAATCAATGAATATGAATTACCTGAAGATGGCTACTGTCTGCTGGTTTCAGCTTTTGTTTCAACCCATCCATTAATTCATACATGGTACACTCAATCTGCCGGCTGTGTCTGGATGGAGAGAGTTAGTTGCTTTGTGTTTTTATTTAAGCAAGAAAGCAATTTTATTTTTATTAAACATATGCACTATCCAAACAATGAACATTACCACATACTCTATTTTAGTTTTAATCCAATAGTTCATTCAGATTGCAATTTATTGTACTTATTTGGAAGCAACACATTATAAAACATCATAGCACCCAAAACTTTCGAGTCACTTGTACAACAGTAAAAACAAGAAAAATAAAAGCAGAACAAATATAAATTTCTAGAAATTTAAATTTCATCCATCGCCAGTCATGCAATGCCTATTTACTGAACCTTACTTTGACAAAGCTTGCCCGGCTGAAGTGACAATATTCTCGGTCATCTGTAGGAAAGTTGGCACTTCCATGAGGTCTTCTTCAGGTAGGTCAACCAGGGCAGTAAGTGACATTTCATGCAGAACACGTTCGATTCTGCACTCCAGAGTGTCAGACACTTGCTTCACCAGATGTTCTAGCTCAGTCAGTGAGCTGTACACACACTTTATGACTAAAATTAAAAACAATAATACTTATAATAATCCTTACAATTAATGTAATACTGTATCACATCATTAAAATGTCAAAGCTCTTCGCAAGCTTGGCTGTATTTGTAGGCAACTCTTGACAGCAAACTTGTCCCTAGCAATGTCCCACAAACAGCCTTGAATTGAATGACCAACTTGGTTTCTGAAACACCACTTTCCTTATGGGATGGAATTAACAACATCTTGCATTTCTATAGCAGCCTTCACACGGGGTAGTATCTCAGAGCACTAAGAATTCTCACCTGGGCAACAGAAAAAAATAAAATGTATAGATAGACCTATTACAAAAAATACTGTTGTACCAGTTGGTTGGGCTTGCACAAGAACTATTCCAGCCACAGATCTATGGTTAGTCTTCAGTTGATCATTTGGCTGGTTCTGCTGTACTTGAACAAGTAGCAAGATCTAGCCCATGAAAAAAGAGATTTTGAACTACTGTAGGAGAGACCAACACAGACTATATGATTCCCCAATATACATCTGGTCGGAAAGCAGATGACTTATGTCCACGTTATATCATTTTCCAGTTCAGGAATGCAACCAGGGCTATTCTGATTTATTTCTCCTTTATAAACTAGCAGCCCAACATGTATCCACTATATACTGCATTTATTTAGCACTTTTTTATAATGTAATTTTAATTCTCATTTAAACAAAGCAAGTCATTTTGCCATATTTCTTGACTTGATTGCACAATGGTTTTGGTATCTAAAAATGAACTATCTAATAATAATTATTTAAAATGTTTAATATATGTGTTTCACATAGTATTTAAAAGTATAAAACTGAAGAAAAATTTGCAATAGAAATTTGTATTGGTTAATAACAGGTAAAAAGTACAATAATGAAAAGCACAGTTTTGGTTCAAGGAAGAATTTGTTGAAAAATTCAACTTGCAGCCGATGATATTCTTAGCCCAATTGTGATAGTTTAAAATACATTTGGTGATACGGGAGAGGTCACTTATTCCAGATGAGGAATGGTGTATGTTGCACATTTATGTGCTGAACCAGAAAATTGGGGGATGGGAGTAAAAACAACCATCTTAAATACGTAACGGTGTGTCAACCTAGTTGGTTGGTACCAATCTCAGCTCGGAGTCAGAAAGTTGCGCTTTTAAGCTCCACGATGGGACTTGGAATTGATATAGTTCATGCTGACACTCCAATGCAGTGCACAGGGCATGCTGTATTGTCAGATGTCCTGAATGTCGAATGAATAAAATTGTTTGCTCATTCCATGGCTGTGGAACATTGCTGTGCACAAATTGGCTGCATGTTCTCCCACATCACTTTACAATACATTGTGTGAAGCTCTTTGAGATGCCATGATGACGTGATAAGGTGGTATATCAAATGCAAGGATTATTATAAAGACAAATTTCATTACATTTAAACTCTCTCATTTGATTTTAAGGTTTCATTTAAAAAGACACCCATTCATACATCTGTCAATGTTTAAGGAGGTCCAAGACAACATGGTCAGTCCAGGAAGGAGAGCTTCATCTACTTGACCAATAAAATACTTCATCATTGGCTTAGTAATTGATGGAATGTTGTTCACCACATTTTGATAATCGTTTAATAACTCCTGGATGCTGCAGAGAAATAAAGAAAACACACAGCTGGTTAATAAAAAAATGTCAAGAGTTAAAGGGCATATTAGCAAACTAACATAATTATACAGAATATGTTCAACCATTAGAATTTTACTTTCTTATAAGGTTATTTTACTGTACCCAAAACTATGTCAATCTTTCCCTCAACCCCTCCATCTTGCCTCCTGCTTCCCCATCTTCAGATCACACCTGAAGACCTTGCCTATGGGCACCTCTTCGCCCACTGCTCAGTGTAAAACTCCGCCACTGTTAAGAACTCCAAGACGCTAAGCAATGTGAAGGGCGTTATATAAACACAGGTTGTTGTTGAATCTTATTTTTCCCCAGAAAGAACTGCTTTGTGAGAATTTTTTTATAACCCACCATTTTACAAAACAATACAAAATTACATTCCTAAAGCGCCTTTGATGTTGGAAGGACGTCCCATTTTAGCTTGGCACAGATCTTTAAAATAGGCAAATAGCAGATTGAGCTTCAATGAATAAACTTCATTTTGAGGGTGATTCTCTGCTCTTGGTAAATGTTATTGACCGACAGAGAACAACATCAATTTTCCCAACAAGATTGGTAAAATTACCAAATGTGAACTTATCCAACAACAACAACTAGCAATTTATAAAGTGCCCTTTACGTGGGTAGTATCTGAGTGCTTTAAAGTGATATAGTTTGTCATCAAGCTGGAAAGAGATACATAGGTCTAATTTAGAATGAGATTTTCCAAGGATCATTCTGTGTTCATTCATTGCAACTTAACCAGGTTTAATAAAATTATAGCATTAAGCATAATATAATATTCAAAGCATTTTCTGCTGCCTTGCACTATCATCTTAATATAATGAAGGAAGATATCTGCACACCCATGGCATTTTGCAGCCATCTCTGATTTCCATTTTATGCTTTTGAACTGCTAGCTGAGGGCAGTCTGCAAGGAGGTATTCTTGTGCAAATATCTTAGTATTATCATGAATGGAGAAGCTAGACAATATGATTGCTCCCAATCTGTCGGCACATATGATTTTCCTTCATTATTCACGTATGATCCTTGACAGAGTGTTGGCAGGCTATCAACCATAACTGGTCAAAACCGACCTCAATACCATTCTCACCCAACAGTCACACATCAGAAAATTACAAGATCGGTTCAGATGAAGAAGGCCCTTCAACTTATTCAATCTCATACATCCAGAATACTCACTCTACAGTCACCCCATCACAGCCTTGAGCTGTTTTATAATTAGTCCAGCATCCCAGCCTAAACATATTTCCCTGATTAACCTGTTCATTACATTTAATATAATGCCTTTCATGTTCAGAGGGAGGAGTCTCAAAGCACTTCATAAGATTCACTGTCACAAGTGTAGTGACTGTGTATTTTACAAGACCCCTTTAAAAGACTGAACCAGGCTCTGTGAGCCTATCAAGGCCTTCCTCTATGACTGCTCCTGCAGTCATCTTTGATTTACAGAATCATTCTACGATTCTATACATGTGCAGGGCTATGGGCTAAGAGCGGGAGAGTGGAACTAGTTGGATAGCTCTTTCAAAGAGCTGGCACAGGCACGATGGGCCAAACGGAGGCCACCACCCCTCCCAAATCCAACCCCCACTCAAGTGCCAATCCTCACTTGTGCAACGTCTTGGACACCCTCCTGATGTAAAAGACGCTATGCAATTTGTTGTTGTTGAACATGAGGAGATGGATTGATGGCATAACATCTGTTGCACATAGGAAATTTATAAGCACTTTTACAATCAATGTGATTTTTATAATTAACATTTTTCTAATAATAGCACAAATTACCATAAAGGTTAAAACAGAGAATAGATTTTAAACTTTATTTTTGCATAAATGAGATTATCATCATACAATACTAAAACCATAGAAATTTACAGGACAGAAGAAGGGCATTTAATCCATTATGTTTGTAACAACTCTTCTTAGAACATTCCTTTTAGTCCCATTTGCCTGCTCTTTCCCCATAATAATGATGATTATTATTATTATTTTATTATTATACCATCTTAATACTCAAGGTTGTGGAGTCCTGTAGCAAGCGAGAGACCCGAGTTCAATTCCAGGCAGGGCGAAACCTTGGGCAAGTTTCCTTACTCCACACGCCTAATAATAATCCCTCCAAAAAACCAAAAATAATAATAAATTGGTCATTTTCAATCCACGACTGTTTGTGGGACATTGCTGTGCGCAATTGGCTGCCGCGTTCGCCCCCAAATATACAGTCAATTCACTTTACAGTGTGTTCTGTGAAGCGCTTTGGGACGTCCTCCCGACGTGAAAAGCGTTATATCAAATGCAAGGATTATTATTATATTATAAGGTTCCATGGTCATAATTCTGGAATAACTCTCCTAACATTTTAGGACAAAACCTTCAGCAGAACTAAATACTGGACAGAAAGTGCCATTATAGGGCAGCAAGATGACAATAAATACAAGAGACATGGGAAGAGTTTTTTTTAAAATCAAGAGATAGGGTAAATTTCTAGAAAACAAAGAAAAAACCTCAGAGGTATGAAATAGTCTAAGAATATGAAAGACGGCAGTTAATTAATGTATGTGTACAAGAAAGATATGTTGCAATGTAAACAACTGGGAACCAATATCGTCCTACAATAAGCATTTATGATGCGACTGCTCACTGGCTACAAAGTAATCTTTGTTCCTTGGCAGTAAATTATTCCATGTTGTGTTCCACAGATGATCTTATGTCCATTGCACTAGAGGAGACAGGCACATCAGACAAGGCACAGGCTCCTCGCACAGCATCACTAGCACCTCTCCCTGAACAAAAATGGTAATCTGATTTGGCTTAATCCATCTTTATCTGAATCAGGGTCAGTTTTTTTTTGTGAGAGAGTCACTCAGCCCTCGCCCGAATTAACCCAATCCTGTTCCACCATCAGGGAACACGAGTTGCCCCCAGGGGCCCAAGTGACCAAATCCAAGAACAGCTAAGGATAGCGTGGTCCCAATAAAAGAGCAACAACAAATTGACACAGTACACAACCTCATAGGAAATCAATCGTCCGGTTCAACATCTCTGATCAGGAAAACCTGAACTGAGTCTAGAGACCAAGAGTCAAGGTAGACATTATATCGGATTCTTCTCACCCCATTAATAAATCATGGGTTTGTATCAAAATCCTCAGATAGGGTTAAACAGCCTCAATCGAGCCAGAGGCCAAGAGACAAGCAAACCTGGAATCAATGTCTCCACTCCTCACGAATAATTATGTGGTGGTCAGAACGGGGTATCCTTGCAATCCTAATTTGAACCCTAAAGGCTGAGTATTCACTGACAGGAACTGTGCTTGCTCGTAGCCAAAGATAATTGATGCTTTATATTCAGATCCGGCACAAACACGTGGGCCGAATGGCCTCCTTCTGTGCTGTATAATTCTATGATTCTATGATTCATTTCCAGACTACTTGCTGATATCCTTTTGATGCCCATACTCTCAATGACTTATTAATCATAATCACAGGTAATTAGCACACAAAGCTTTGTATTCCTGAATATATTCACCAAGCACTTAATGGTAAAGATCATGCTATAGGAGTAAGAGGGAGTTAACAATACATTTACTAAAATTAGACAGATTAAAGCAGTTCAGTTAATCCTTTGAGTTCCGAAGAAAATATTTAACACACGAGTTCAAAAAAATACAGCAAGAATAAAATGTGTTAGTTGTTCTAAAAATAAAATTGATGTTCATTTTCACTAATTGTTTTGCCTGCTGGCCATGTCGCCATGACAATAACCATTTCTTGTCTTTGAGTCATAAGGAGAGCTTAACTTACATTCATTGCAGGAAATAGTCAGGTTGTTAAAATGCTGAGAAATATTGACGTTGTTGATATAAACAAACTATGTTTAATCGTAGAAGATTGATTTAATCTAACAAAGCTTTTAGACTCATGAAGGTTAACAAATACCCAACAAAAGAAGTGTCGCCGCTGTGCAACCATCAAGAAGTATCTGGTTAGGAATCAGTATCGCAATGAATGCAAATTGAGATATGTAAATGAATCACAGTACACAATAATAATAATCCTTGCATTTGATATAGCACTTTTTACGTCTTCTAGACGTCTCAAAGCGCTTCACAGAATATACTGTAAAGTGAATTGACTGCATTTGTGGGCTGCAGACAATTGTGCACAGCAGTATCCCATAAACAGTTGTGGATTGAGTGACCAAATTATTATTTTTTTAAAGATAATTATCCCCGGAAAAGCGATCCGCCAATCGAATCGGAGAGGTGCATAGAATAAGGAAACTTGGCCAACATTTTGCCCTGCCGGGAATAGAACCCAGGTCTCTTGCTTGTGAGGTGAATGCTCTAACCACTGAGCTACAGGACCAAATATCTGGAATGTTAACAGTATCAAGTCTTTCAGTTGGATAAGAGAGGTATGAAGGCACTCACACTTTTGATTTTAATGCTTTGTACCATGATAAGGTCCATATAATGAAGGATAATTCGAAACATTGATATTAAACAATCTCTGAAAGTCTATCACATCACTTTTGTTTTCAAATCCACTGGCACTAAATCCCCATTCTGGCAAATCAGATTTCTGTGTGGCCTTCATTGTGCATAGCGAGGATAAACAGTCAACCTTGACAATGGTTTACATGCTCCCTTGTAAGCTTACAGACAACCTAGGTCTATAAATTCAAGGTTCCAACAAAAGGTAGCATTTGAATCATAGGATTGAATCATTGGAAAACAATAAAACACAATAATATCCATATTATTCCAGTGCAACCCTATTACGATGCTCTTCTTCATAATAATAATCCTTGCATTTGATATAGCGCCTTATCACATCTTCAAGACGTCTCAAAGCACTTATTTCGTTATAATGTGGTTGTTCACACCGAAATGCCCATGTTCCAGACCATTAGCTCACCTTTGACATTACTATTTACTTCATTGCACATGTGGAACATGAACCAGTTTTTACAATTACAAACTGCACTGTTTTAGCTGGTTAAACTCCAACTATACTCCAGGGCCCACTCTGAAATCCCCAAACCTTGGCTCTTGCCAACCTTTGCCTAACAAATTACGAGATTAGATGAGCAAGGTGCTTACTCAATTCCAGATAGAGGATATTTCCATCTATACATAGAACTCTCACTAGCTTGTTCTGTATACTTTTAAACAAGGTGAAGGAGTTTGTGCGTGTTGCACAACTGACCAACCAAAAAAATTCGACCTCAGATTTCCCATTCCATGTATCTCCATATTATTCCAGTGCAGTCCTGTTCTAATGCTCTTGTACATAGCACAACTTTGGTTACAACTCAGCTGCACTGTAGGTTATAACACTGTTCACTGCACACTTTACGTCATCTAGACCAAAATGTCCGACATCCAGGTCAATGAGGAACGTCTGACGTCACCTCCCACTTTGCTGCCCAAGTGTGAAGCTTGCCTGTGCTGTTCACGCTGCACTCACCATCATCAACAATAAACACTCAGTGGGACTTCATGGTGCATGTCCCCAACTGTGGTATAATAATAATGATGATAACCCTTGTATTTGACATAGCCTACACGCTGTGAGGACATCAGGAACACTTCACAGGATTTACTATAAACTGCGTATTTTATAGTCATCGGTGTTATTGCTCTGCACGGCTCAAGAAGGGACCTTGAAGGTGTTGACTGGAAGATACAAGGGCCATCTCCCCTATTGTTGAGTATATGGCTTGTGAATACACACTCATATCCAGGGCTTGATATCTTGATTGTTGATTGTTATCCAGAGAGGCAAGCAGCAACTGCTCAGGCTCTGCACCTCCTGGTACAACCATCAATCAGTGGGTAGCAATGTGTGTTCAAGTTGGAGAAGGAGGATGATGGCAATGCTCTCACACATTTTATGGTGAGATCTGCTGCTCATTTGGAATCTTGCAGAGATGCTGGTATTCTGCTTTCTAGTTAGTGAGGACTCATACCTGTGCTTGTCAGATGTCAATTGACCACAAACAAAAATATATTTTTGTTCGGTCAGAAGGGTTTCTGACGCATTCTGTAACACATCAGTGTTTAAGAATATTCAAATCAGACAGCGTTCCATATATGGATGACCCCTACCAATGGAAATTTCCCAATGTCCCTGGAGGAATATATCCTGTACCCAACTCTAAAGTGTATCAGGTGCAAGATGGCAAGCATCAAGGCTCGGGGACCCCAGAGTGTATGTTGTGCTACTGCTGAGGTTTAATCCAAACCCAATAGTCACTGGTTGTTCATTTGATATGCCTCTGACCTTCAATCCCAAACTCTCATTTCCTACCTCTAATACACTTTACTGTGGCTCTGACATGCTTTGTGTCTTCCATTACCCTTTTACCCTGTGTTAATCTCACCCCTGGCTACTCCATGTGGCCTTAAAATCAATTCTTCTACATTCTCCAGGACTCTCAGTCTGCCTTCTCTCCTAACCAATATTGGATCTCCTTACCAACCTCAATAAAATCCTCCATTCTACTCTTGCTCAGGTATTGAGAAATACTCAGTAAAAGCTATTCCAGCCTCCCTAGTAAGTTGACATTAGTCTAACTTTGTTTGTTGAGACTGGAGAAGGAGGGTGATGATAAAGCTCTTGCACGTTTTATACTGAGACATCTTTGTCTTAAATGGTTAATAGTAATAGTATTTGTAACATTGTCACCCTGACAAAACTAATCTCCAAAGCAATTCACATGCTTAAACTGCTTAAATTCACTTCTTAAAGTGTCTTAAAGTTGGTGTTTCATGGTTTGAAATAGTGGAAGAAAAGTTAGCTTACATCATTCGCAGTTCAACAAAATAGCTAACCTTGTCTTAAAATATATCAGCAAAACCCATCTCACAGGATGTTTTCAACTCTTAGATATCGTTCTACTTTCATTCTTTCAGAGAAAGCTTTGAAGCTGGAACTTAAAAGCAGTACTGACCTCAAATGATGATGCTTAATTTCATCCTCTTTTAAGCAGATGTTGAAAGCCACTTCTGGTACTTCGAGCCCCATTCTGTATAAGTACTTGGCTTCTAAAAGTACCTCAAACACAGCTGGATCAAAGTTCACGAAAAGTTCCTACATTTGGAATAATAAAAAAGCAATACATCTCTGAAGACTTTATGTAAGTAAAACTTGAACAGAGCAATAATGCATTGTATCACTCAAATAATAGTAGATTTGACAAAAAATACTGCTTAATCAATCCATGACTTGTTTCAATCCCCTCCCTCCCATTTTCTATCCTCCTGAAGGAATAGACTCATGTATGAGTCATAGTGTTCAGCCTTCTGAATAGTGATAAGAACAATAGATTGTATTAATCAAGAGATCAAAATATATTTATGCATCATTCATTTGTAGAAAACTGTTTTCGAGGAGTTTGATTACAGCGTAGGGTGATTTGATTCCAGCATGTTTCCAAAACTGTATTAGCTTGTAATTCTCAGGTGTTTCAGATTATTTGGCACATTAATATTGGACTGCAAAGTTGCCATTTTGTACAAAAAAAGCTATGCTGCACCTGATGAATTTTGATTTTGGTATCTGAATAGCAATATATCATTTTGAAAGCTTTTACTTCAAAAATAATCCAGGGCATCCACTCCATACCTTCCACTGACGTGCTAAAAGTTAAACGCACAAGAGGAACAGCCAGAATGTAAAGAGAAAAACAGAAGGAAGATACAATATATGGCTAAAGCCTTATCAAAATGCTGAACAACCACACTCAAGGAACACGAGCACACACCCCAAATCTTATTATTGCAATTTGCTGTGGCATAATTATAATTCATCCAATGCACTGCAATCGTAGCCAGTTTTTGCTTAGAATCCAAGTTATTTTGAATCAAAATATAAGTCACTGTGCTCTGTTGTAAAACACATTGATAATAATACCATGTTCATACATTATTTACTGATAGACATATATAGAGAAACCAGGTGTAGTTAGTTATTAACATGTGCATTTCACCGTATTTGTATCAAGGCACTTTGGATTTCAATTGTGCAGTTTACACGCTATTGTTAAAAATAGTAAAACACGATTGATGGTTTCATTCCAAAAGCTGTCAACCAAATCATTATAAATATTTATTTACCTTACTCTCAGGATGCCGGACAAGCAGTGAGGCATGAAGGCCACATCGTGCCAAGTCCACAGCTCGGGCCCATCCTCTGTGATACAGCATTTCAAACTCCAGAAGGACAGCCGCCATCTTGTTGTAGTTTCTAATAACTTTTTTCATTTCAGGGGTCTAGTCACAGGAAAAGTAAAACAAAACATATCTGCATTCAAATTGTACAGATAGCTTGCTTCTATAGTACTCTAGCCTCCAGGTTGTGGTTCAAGCCCCATGTTGGGACTTTAAGCTCATAGTCGAGGCTGATATTCCAGTGCAGTGGTGGGAGTTGTTGGGATCTGGAATGCATTGCCTGAAAGGGTGGTGGAAGCCGATTCGATAACAACTTTTAAAAGAGAAGTAGGGGAGGACATGTTTGCAGGGCTATGGGGAGAGAGCGGGGGAATGGGATTGATTTGGAATAGCTCTTTTAAAAGAGCCGGCACAGACATGATGGGCCGAATGACCTCCTTCTATATAATTCTATGAGGACTGCATTATTAGAGATGCTTTTTTTGGATGAGACACTAAACAAAAGGTGTGTCAGCCTGTTCAGATGTTCGTTAAAGACCCCATTACACTATTCAAAGAGTTTCTTCTGGCTAATGATGCCCCAGATAAACTGGTTATTGACTCTTCACGGCTGTTTGTGAGACATTACAGGAAAAAATACAGCTGCCTTGTTTACGTACAAAGGCAGTTGTTTCACTTTATAGCAATTACCTGGTAAGCACTTTGAAATTTTCAACATTACAGACATTATATCAAATTATAATACTGTCCCATTTGCATATTTCTAACCTATACCAAGCTTCTACAATTTTATAATAATCTGGTAGTATTACAAAATGTAAACGTACCTTTAAAATATCAGCATTGTTTTTCAGAAACTTCATGGGAACGTCTATTTTTCTGAATAGTTGTCGGACCCACATTATCTTCCCAGATACCTAATTTTCACAAAAGCCATGAATACTATTATTATTATCATTATCATTATACTGATATTAGTCATTATGCAGCAATGAAATATACTTTGAAAACAGTGTGTCCTTTATAGTTATATGTGGGCTGTAGACTTAAATTCCCCCAATTCATGTAATTTAATAAAGTTTCCTAAGACTAGCAAGGATGTGTCCTGAGATGGTAGCCACATCTTTCCCTTTTATCTCTCCACATACCTTCTCTTTCTGTCTCATACAACTCTATCAGATTCCTATTTATAAGCACCCCATTAAACTTTATCTCTTGCCACAAATATGGGGTATGAGATAATAAATGTATAAAGAGAGTCTTGGAGTTTGGGCCTTTTTCCACCTAAGGAGAGGGAGGTATGATAGAGATGTTCATGATTCTGAAAGAGGTACAACAAGATAGATCTAGGGGTGTTAGCTGACTGGTCGCTCACTATGTCAAACCAGTGTGAGGCAGAAATAAATAAGGTAAACCGGATGCTGGTCTATATATTGTTAAACTAGTTCAGTTTAAATCCCCAGATATCATACTCAGGTTGTCTTGTCAGGCTGCAACTAAACCACAGCCTACAGTTCTGGTCACCCCAACATAAAAAGGCTGCTCAGACCCAATAGAGACAGTACAGAGGAAAGCAACAAGGATACTACCCATTATTAGAGCAATGAACTATGAGTAATATTTGGACAAGGTAGGACTCTTCAGTCTTGAGAGAAGACAATTTAGAGGGGACTTTATTAGAGGTGTACAAAATCTTCAGTGGCATTGAAAAGGTAAACCCAGAACAATAGCACATTTCACATCAGCAGGATGTCCCAAGGCACTTGACAACAATAATAACAACAAAATTACATTTGTATAGCGCGTTTCATGTCAGGAGGACATCTCAAGGCGCAATCCTGTCTTGGCACCTGAGCTAAGGTTGAGAAAGGGAAAGATGACCAAACGTGCGATCAAAGACGTAGGTCTTGAAATAATATTTTAGAATGCACCAAGATGGTAGAGGGGGACATAGTTTAGAGTTGTAATAAGCAGTTTCAGGAGAGATACCAGTAAGTTTTCCTTTACCCAGAGGGGAAATATCAACTGGAATAGTATGCCAGGAAAGGTAGTTGAAGCCAGGACACTGGACTCATTTTAAAAAAACTCAATGTTCTGATGGGAGGATGGTAGAGTGGTGTACTGGAGCGATGAGATCAGATGGGCTAAAGAGGCTTCTTCATTCAAACCAATGTTGTGATCTTGTGATAAATAGGGACAAGTAATTTGTTATAGATGAGGATTCGGTGCCAAGAACATAAAGTCTCGGAATTGTTAGCAGAAAAAAGGGAGAAATTAGAGCGAGCTTTAGGGTGGAATTCATTCAGCACAAGTGACCATTTCAGCTGCATCAATAGAATAAATGAAGATGGAAATGAATAATCACTAGACATGTAGAACCATTAAGGCCTATACAGAAAAAGTGATTAAGAAAAAGGATGATTTAGAAAAAAAAGAGGTAGCAGTAGCAAAATCATCGCAGGCCAAAAGATCTCTTTCTGTGTTGAAAATGTCTGTTTCTGTGATAATGTACCACCAAGGTTCAAAGAATACAAAACAAAAATCAAGAACTCCAGCTCGGAGAGGGAATATGCAATCTTGGTGTTTTGTTCAACCCTTATCTCTCCTTTAAGCATTTCATCTGGTCCCTGACCAAGTCCGCTTTTCTCCACCTCCGTAATATTGCCCAACTCTATCGCTAGTTCATTCCAACACAGTCAAAACCCTCAAACACCTCTAGACTTGATCTTGATTTCTCTGATGCTCTCCTTACTGGCCTTTCCAGCTCAATTCTCCATAAGATTCAGATCATTTGTAACCAATATGCTTTTGCACAACAGGTTTCATGATCAGGCTCTTTGGCAGGCCCAACTATTTCCCTATTCTCCTGTGGATTGGCTTCAGATCTTCGTTCAAATGCCTGTATGATTGTGCCCCTTACCTCTGAAAGACTAAGGAAAGTAAGGATATTCTACAATTTTTAGGTCCTGATAGAGAATAAGTGAGAGCAAGAAACATTGAATGAGTCTTGATAAAACTCAGAGAGGAATCTGGGATGAAAACCAAGAATTACTAGATTAAATTTTAGTTCTCATATTTCTTTGTTAGAGCAAAGGTTCTAAACAGTCATCAGGAGAGCAAAAGATACCACAGATAGATTTAGTGAAGCAAAGGAGAGAGATTTTTCACCCAAAAATAATCAATCAGATGATTCACGGAATCAACTTCACAGAGCTGAAGTTGAAATATACAATATCAGAAAAAAACACCAATATCTCCTCAGAATCAAAATTTGGAGTAAGAAAGAGTACAAGGGAAACTGAAAAAGGTGAAACTTGAGTTCAAGAGAGGAACAGTAGGTGAGGGAAAGATGGCAAAATGAAATGGACATGGATAGATTTGAATGAGAGAATATTGCAAACATGTAAGGAGTAAACCAAAGTGAAAAGAGGAATCCATGGATTCAGCAGGTACAGGTGTGACCTAGAGTTTGTGGAAGATTGTTAATTTTCAGATCATACTTGCTAACAGCAATACAGAAATAGCTTGCATCAAATCAAAGAACTGAAACCAGAAACATTTTAGTAACAAAAAATGAGCTTACAGATGGAACATTGCGAGGTATAGGTGGATTTTCTTTTTGTTTCTGATAGGTCTTGCGCACAAAATCTAAGTCTCGCCCATATCTCTGCAACACCACCAAGTACTTATCAGTAAGATCCAGCTGTGCACCAGCAATACGCTCAAACTTGGCCAGTAGGTCTAACATTCGTTCTGTCTAGAAAGAGACCAAGAAATGGTTGGAGCAACAGGTAGTCTCTTTAAAAAAAATTAGGTAGGCTTTTTTTTAAATCATTTAACATTACTTACAGTTAAGGATTGCTCAAACCAGGAATCCACAAACATCTGCAAAGACTGATAAAGCCCTTCTATCTGGTATCTGAATTCCAGGTAATCGTTGTCAAACTGAAAGAGAAATTGTTAAACTAGCACTTACCACACAGAGAATAGATTGTAATTGCAGATCATGTGGCACATCTAAAGAAAATACATATTGCATTAACCAGGATAAGAGTACTGGAGGAACATGATACCTTAGCAGCAGGGAACGTCTATATTACCTAACAGGTCCATTACCTTTTGATTGAGCTGAATCGTATCTCTCTATCCCACAGCCTCCCAGTCTCTTCTCTTTACAGAAATACATTTAGTTGCTACTTGAACCCAATTATACTTACTATAAGCTTTTCTTTTCTGAAGGTTCAAACTGCACAGTACAATAAAAATGTTTTTCACCATTGTGCATTGAAGCTCAGTTATATTCCATTGAAAGAAGCTTATTAAAGGGATTTTTTTTTACACACACAGTCTTGAAGGAGAACAACCTCAATGGCCTCAAATCAAGTCATATGTAATGGAGTAATAATATTTTTCCATTTGAAAATTGTACCATTAAAATATCAGTGGTTGGCAAATACAGATATTTTAAACAACAACGCAAAAATAAATTCTTTATAATATGTAATAACATTTGAAAATGTACCTCTTGCTTTCTGTAGTCCAATACATTGTAGCTCTTTGACATTGTGCTATTGACAATCTTCTGGTAACACAAATATATCTCATCAAAACCTTCTAATTTAACATTCTGCAGATCTGAGAGATTTTCCATAGTGTTTAGTATATCTGCAATCTTCTCCAGACGTTTGCAAAAAGTGTCAAACTTGCCAAATATATAGTTTTCACTGAAATAGGAAAAATATTATTTCCAGTTAAATGAGATCATTGGATCTTTAACGTCTACCTGAACAGACAGAGAGGACATTTCAGTCAATGGACAGTACCTCCAACAAAATGCTTCCCCAGTTTCAGTTAAGACTGGGATCTCAAAGTCCCAATGCGGGAATTCATGCCAAAATCTATTATAATAATAAGTGGAAACACTTGGAACACCACTATACACCACCTGGAAATTAATTGTCCATGTTCAAGTAATACTCTAAAAAATATATATTTCCATTGACAATCCTGAATTTTTGGCCCTGACTACTGATATACCAACCAGCAGGAATAATCATTCACTTTTCCTTGACCTTTCAGAGGTTTGAAGACATCTATTAGATCCCCTTATAACCACTCTTCCAAAGAAACCAGCCTAAGCCTACCCTCATAATTATAACCCCCTCATCTCATTTGCCCAGGAAAATACAGTCAATTACTTTACAGTGTATCCTGTGAAGCACTTTGAGACGTCTCGAAGAAGTGATAAGGCGGTATATCGAATGCAAGGATTATTATTATTACTGAATTTTCCCTAAAAATAACCATAGAAATGTTTACAGCACAGAAGGCCATTTGATCCATTGTGTCTGTGCTAGCTTGTTTAAAGAGCAATTCATTCAGTCCCATCTATCTGCCTTTATCTGTGGGTCAGGCTGGCTCAGTTGTAGCACTCTGCCTTTGAGTCAAAAGGTTGTGGGTTCAAGTCTCACGTCAGGATTTGGAACCACGGCACCCGTCAGGTCTTTCTCCCTGTGTGAAGTGGCTACAAATTGGTTGCCGGCTCATCTCAACTTGCCACCCACCTGTTCAATCGAGCCACTCCAGGAATTGGCTGACCTGAAAACTGACTGGCTGAAATAGGACTCCAAAACAAGGAATAAGATGAACTGGGCCACCAATTGCCTGTGCAAAACGATTGGCATATTGTGTTAATGCTTAAAGACATTTTAAGAAAACTTTCTTTGAAATAAAAAAAACATTTTGTTATAGGGGATAGAAAGGATCAAAACACATAAGAGGTAAAATATTACTGGTGATAGTATCTCGAGGGCAAATATTTCTCATTCAGCTCAAAAACGATAATCCTCCCAATAGCATTTATAATGAGTGCAAATGAGGCAATTGTGCCGCTGGCTACATCTAAGCTTGTTTCTGGTAGAGTTATTAAGCACAGTACACAGTGTGTGTCCAGTCATCCGGGTTTTATTTCTCTTTCACTTTCTGATTTTCTCTCCTTATTCTCTTCTCCTGAAGGCACTGCATCAGTCTGAAGTACATTTCTGCTGCAAGAGCAGCCCTGGTCAACATAAGTGGCTTTGTTCTGTGTTTGCTGAAAATTCAAGGGGGGTGAGGGGCTACATAATATTCTGTACACTGGGTTCGCTTATACAGAACCTCATTTGCTTCATTTCTAAGTATTTACATGGTATTTTGGGAAGTGCTTTGAAATATCTTTATATGAAACGTGCTTTCTAAATGTAAGTTATTATTATTATATTAAGCCAACTGCTAAGATATCAGGGTAACACTGATAATATAATTCAAATTAAAAAGCATCAAACACACGTCTGTCTGTTCTTCATGTGATTATTGAAGATCCCAGATGCATTATTTGAAAAGAGAAATTAGATCCTTTCAGTTTCCCAGACACTGCAGATTAATTAGTCATTCATCTCATGGCTCAGTTGGTAGCACTCTCTCCTCTGAATTAAAGGTTGTGGACTTATGCCTGATGATGGGCATTTGCATTCACAGTCTAGGCTGAGACTCCAGTGCAGTGTTGGGGAAACACCTATATTATATAAATGAATGTTGTTCTTGTTTGTTGTTTTTCAGTTTTAGTTCCCAGTTCAGCACCTAATTCTTCCTGCAACTTTTACCATAGCTCTATGTTCATACATTTTTTTCTGGAGCACTGTGTCACTACGTCTCATAAAATGTCTAGAGACAATGGAAAAGCTGCAGAGGTTGATTCCTTAGAGGGAGAAACTCCAGTGAAAGGCTTGAAGAGCTGGCCTATTCATGATCACAAGAAAGATTCAGCCCTTTTGATTGTATTCCTACATTGGATCAGAGGAGCCCAAGGATTGATCTTGTCGAGATCTTCAAGACGGTGTATTGACAGATGGCAAGATCTTCAATCAATTTTTGTTTAAGAACTAGAAGTCATGCCATGATCCTGGAAAGAAAAGGTTACTTCCAGCTTGAAATAAGGATGCTCGTTCACATGGTGGGCATCTGATATAGGCTAGTGAACCAAAAACAACAACAACAACAAGATTCCATTTATAGAGCGCCTTTCACGTCGGGAGGACGTCCCAAGGCGCTGGATAGTTGGGTCAGGACCCGAGCAGGGGGGAAATGCTGAGGGGAGGGAAGGGAGGCAGCGAGGAGGGGGCAGAGAGTCGAGAGGGGAGCTGAAGGCACGATCAAAGAGAAAGGTCTTGAAGGAGGAAAAGGAGGAGGCAAGGCGAAGGCACTGGGGGATAGAGTTCCAGAGCCTACAGACAAGGAGTCTAATGGTGCTGCACCAACATTATTAGGATGTTCTCCTGACATGATAGGCGCTATACAAGTGTAATTTGCTGTTGTTACTAACAGCAATATTGGCGGATGCAGAGGTTGACTAATATAGGCTTTTACACTATTAATGGTTGGGCTCCTATCTTGGAGCTCAATCAACTGACTGCTTTGAGATATCAGAGGAATTTTCCAGAGAAATGCTTTATTTTCCATTTAATCTGTTTTTTCACATCCCATTGACTGGGACTGAGGTGCCAGCAACAGGAAAGAAGAAAGGTTAGACTGTTTGGTGGGATATAAAATGAGAAAGAATTATCCTGAGAGTGGACTTGATGGATTTATAGGCCTTTATCCACTGTTTCCTTTCTTTGCACCTATCTACGTGTCACTGCATTATAAGGGATCTTACCCTTAATGCAACACTGATGCAGCATTCACTTACAAGTACTGTCACCAAAATTAATAGCAAAATTCCTTGAAGCACTTTGGGATGTTGCAATGATGCGATAAGGTGCCATATAAAATGTAAGGATTATTAATAAATCAATCTATACAATTTTCACTGAAGCAAATTGCTGATCAGCATTATTGTTAAACACTAAATCTAATATAGTATTTGCTTTTGGATTCTGCTTCATATCTTCAGTTAATTAGGTTTATTTTGAGCCCACCTCTATGCAATTGATATTGCTTTTAGAATCCTTTGGTGGAAGGACTAGTATATACATAGTTGTTTAACTGTTCTGCTAACTCCACTCCGTGGAGTCCTGTAGCTCAGTGGTTAGAGCACTCGCTTTGCAAGCGAGAGACCTGAGTTCAATTCCAGGCAGGACGAAACCTTGGGCAAGTTTCCTTACTCCACACAGAGCCTAATAATAATCCCTCCAAAACTAAAAACAATAATAAATCGGTCATTTTCAATCTACGACTGTTTGTGGGACATTGCTGTGCGCAATTGGCTGCCGTGTTCGCCCACAAATATACAGTCAATTCGCTTTACAGTATGTTCTGTGAAGCGCTTTGGGACGTCCTCCCGACGTGAAGAGCGTTATATCAAATGCAAGGATTATTATTATTATTATTAATTCTTGCATCTTACAATTTTCAAAAGGGAATTAAATAGGTTCTTGAAAGGGAAACATTTGCAGGGTTATGAGGAAAGAGCAGGGGAGTCTGACTGATTCGGTAGCTGTTCCAAAGAGCCGGCACAGGCACAATGGGCTGAATCTCCTTCTTCTGTGCTATAATATTCTATGATTCTATGATATGCACTAGATATCCTCATTTGTAAAAAAAAAGGATGGTTTGTCTCCAGCTATCTAAATGGATATCATAAGCATCTGTCACAAGTTGAGGATTGTCACCAAACGAAAAAGAAATTTAGGATTCGTCTTACACAAAGAGTTGTTAAAATCGTTACCATAAACATCTGTTTGAAGCTGAATCCAGAATACATAATTCAAAGGAAGCAGGATAAGTACTTGAGAAAAAATACTGAAGGAGATGGAGAAACAGCAGGGATTAGAATATATCCTTCCGGTAGGGAGCCAGCATGAGTACAAACACCATGAATCAAATGCCCTCATTCAATGCTGTAAACTAACTATGATCACAGCTTTTGACTTTGATTTACATCCCTTTAAAGAATGATTAATGCCTCTTTTGTACATCTCTGAGTTTGAAACATTTCCAAGATATGCAAAATCACATTAAGTTTTTCAGGATGGAGGCATTTAAGTCACTTTTCAAAATCTCAACGCCAGCTTCAGACATTCATGATTTACCCATTTACAACTATACAACTGTAGCATTACAGCTGTATCGAATGTTTATTTCACTAATATGATTCCATGCTTCAACGAGATAAATAAATCATTGTTTCTTGCTCCGATCAATGACCAAATTGGAAAAGGCCTAAAACGGGGACATAATTCACAACATGTATGGCAATTGCCCCATCCTCTGGTAAAAAATAGCAAAAACAGATTTTCAGATGCCATCCAAAATTCCTTTTTATATACCAATCTGTGCATTAATGGAAAAGGATCAGAACTCAGAAATATCTATGTACAACACAAGATGTCAGAGAGACACACAATTGTTTTCCTGGGAAGCTGATGTTTGTTCCGCTTCCCCATAAAGTAGCATGTTTCAAATCATTAATGATTTTTAGCTTTCATTGTGTGTCACTAAGTGCATGAGAACACCATATGCTACAAGCTATAGATGATCTGAGAAATACAATGATGGAAAAGGTTAACGAAAAACACAGCGTTGTTTGAAGCATGCCGGCATAACTAAATCTATCATTTATGGTAATATATTAAAAGTATAATTTTGTAGCTATGGGAAAAACACATTTTGTGCTGAGTGGATGCATTAACTGATCATCCCACCAATAAAATTTATATTCATCCATCTGATTTATTTTCCAGTGTGCAAATTAACTCAGCATTACATTAATAGGGACATCTGCCTCCAGCAACTTCACACATTCTCTAGCTCCTGTGCAATCTTGTCTCCTTATAGAAATCACACCGAATAGTGAAAATGCTGGAACCAAAGGTCCTAAATTTCTCTAGCATTGAATGCTCTAAAGGTAGAGGAATGTCTGCCTTCACATGTGGCAGTACCAATGAGCTTTTTGCAAGTAAATACGAGAACAGAAAGATAACAAGCTCCAGTACAGAAAAAGTAAATTTGTGTCAGTGACTCTAAATCAGGTTGACCTTGATTTTAATTGCATTTTCTGTGTAAATGGAAACGGTTGTTTTTGATTATCTTCTGAAAATGATCAATACATAAACACACATCTTTTACGTATGACAACCACAATAAAATTATGTTCTAGAGATTGTTCTTGATATTGTTAATACATTTAATTAGACAGTGGAATCAAGAGAAATATTCATATATATATATAATTCATAGAACAAGCTGAACTTAGTTATATTTTGATTTTTCGCTGAAATATTACTGAGGTCTTGAGTGTTAAAACCATATAGATATGGATCATGTGCCTCACCATATCCATCATGCAGAACATTGTTGCTAAATAGCAGTGGGTACATAGGTTCAAACTTATAATTCCACACGAGGTGAATTCCTAAGAATAGCCACCCGGCTGGGATAATTGGCAGACTAAAGTAATAATTTCTCAAAAAAGTGTTTTTTTTAGTAAATAAGGGAGAATCAATTGAACGTAGCACTGGCAGAAGTCTAGGACTGAGATGCCAGCCTTCCTATCGTCCAACCCATAGACCATAGACTGCTATGAACTGTGCAATGGGCCTACAAAACATAATACAGTAGAGCCCTGTTATAAAATGTTTCTTAACATAGGTGCCCTGTGGATTGGCAGCTCGCTTCCCACACACCAACCAGTTTCCCATACACTGCATGAGTAGCACACAGCAAGTGACGTTGGCAGCAACTTAATGGCCAGCAAACAAGGCAAGCATGATGCTGGAATATTATTAAATCAGTTGAGTTGCGATCCCCAGATGTCATTCTCAGGCTGTACAGTGCTCTGGTCCGATGCCACCTTGAATATACAGAATACTGTACATACTGCAACATAAGAGTTCTGCGCAGGCCCTAGAGGCAGTGCAGAGGAGAGCCACAAGGATAATCCCCAGTGTTAGAGGAAAGAGCTATGAGCAATGAATAGACAAACCGGGGCTCTTCAGTCTTGAGAGAAAATGCCTCAGAGAGGACCTCACACAGGTGTATAAAACTTCAATAGGATTCAGAAAGGAAACCCAGATCATTACGTTGGGATGTACCAAGAAGGTAGAACAAGAAGAGGTATGTTTAGAATTGTAAAGGGCAATTTCAGGACTGATATCAAGTTTTCCTTCATGTAGGGGGTAATCAACAATTGAAACATGTTGCCAGGAAAGGTTGTAAAGGCTAGGAAAACTATTCTCATTCAAAAAGTAGCTTGATTCAGTGATGAGGGTACGGTATAGTAGTGTTCTGGAGGGACGAGATTGGATAGGTGAAAGGACCTTCTTCATCCAAACCAATCTTGGAATCTTGTGGCCTGAAAAATCAACCATTTATGGCACAGAAAGCTGTGCAAATGCACAGTGAGGTCACTAGTCCAGTAGTTGGTGTCATCATGATGTGGAAGCACTGACTCACTGTTATAAGGCTGGTTGGGATTTTAATGGATCCCAACGAGCACGTTAAAACAGAGCTCTGCAGATGAGGTGATAGTAATTAACAACATTATTGAAGCTGGTGGATATCAAAAGTTTATATAATTACCTGAATTCAAACTGCTTTTCCTTGGGATTTTTCCGAAGCTTCTCTCTAATTCGGTGAAAATTGCTTTGATACTCAACATTCAGCTGAATGCATTCTTTAATCCTCTTAAGAAGCTCTTGCCTACAAAGAAAGAGAGAACAATGGATGTGCTTAAATAAAAGTTTGTTTTTGCTAGAATAACAATTTAAAACATTTATCTGCGTATTATACTTAGGAATAAACAGCAGAAGCCTTCTTCAATTAAAGTTATACTTCAAGTATGAAAACATTTGAATGCTGAACTACTAATTTCAAAGTGCTTAAAAGTGATTGTGGCCCATTTCACTTCGTACTTTTCATCTCCATAGTTTGTACAGTATGGACACAATGAGATTAATGATTTTTTCAACAAACAGTACTCTATAATCAATCACTCTCAGAATGCTTCAGTGAAGCAGGATTTTCTCTGGCATAGATTGGTGTCAGAAAACACGTTGTTTTTGTATTTACAACCGTGACCAAATCCTGAAACTATCAAAATGTAAAACAGGGACAAGTAGAATAAAGCACAAAAAATCTGAAAACTAAAAAACAATCTACAAACCCACCTTTTCCACTGCACCTATGATTATAGGGAAAGAGGGAGATGGAGATAGAGTGCTGTACTTTGGTGTCCAAGCCCATAATTTTGAAGCATCCATTGTAAAAGGCGCCATATAATAATAATAATCCTTGCATTTGATATAGCACGTTATCATTTCATTGAGACGTCTCAAAGCACTTCACAGAATATATTGTCAAGTGGATTGACTGTCTATTTTGTGGGCGAAAAGGACTTAATGCAAATTATTGTGGAACAACAAAAATTAATCCTCTTTCCAAAGCGTAGCTCACTACAACAGTAGGAACATGATTTTTGTGACTGTAAAATTGATTGGAGGAAACAGCAATTTCACCACACTATTTATTTTCAGTGAGCAGGTAAATATTTTCTTTGATCGCACTTGATTTTAAGAAAATTGTCAACATGCAATTTTATGATGTACTCATTTAAGGCAAGGAACATTTCCCCCATTTGCTTTCAGTACTATCTACCCTGAGACTTGCAAAGAATAAACAAACACCAATAATAAAATGTATCTACATCATCTTGCAATAACTCCAAACCTATAAGACCTATATGTCTTCAGTAACATTAGACAGCATTTATTTTTCCACCTGTTTCAAAGGAAAGCTTCAGTTCACCTTTCTAAGTCTTGTGAAAAAGTTAGGAATAAACAAAATCACTTAAATTAACCATCTGGAATCCAGAGATATGAAGTTAAATGTCTTGAAGCCACCAGAGTGAGATCTTCTGTTATCATTTTGTTATTTAATTTTGTTGTTGTTGTTGATGAGTAGGATAGGTCAGGGCTTGTGTGCAGTATAAATACCAGCGTGGATTAGTTGAGCCAAATCCCTCTTTTCCGTGCAGTATCATGCTATGTAAATGTATTTGTATTAAGAATCAAAGGATGCCAGTGCATTTGGACTAATGAAGGCTATTAGCTTCTAAATTTATCCTGACTGCCAAGTTACGACATCATGGCTTTAACCCTGTGCAACCCTGTCAATCAGTCGGGGTGCATAGGGTTGCAGGTATGGATTCATACAGGAACTCTTCATGCCAAGTAGCAGCAGAAACTTTCTTTTGCTGGAGACCTAAAAAAGGGGGGGATCTTGTACAATACAAATTTCCAATACAATTCAAATCTACATTAATATAGCACATTTCATGTCAGGGGAATATCCAACAGTGCTTTTCAATACTGGACGGGCAACCGAGGTAGGAGCAGAGCAGAATGGTGACTGAGTCAAAGAGGTAGGTTTTGAGAAGCAGGTGAAGGAGGGTGTGAGTTAGAAGGACTCCTGGATGGAGTTCTAGAGAGTCAGGGCAAAAAGGCTGAAAGCTCACCCACCTGATAGTGGGGTGTAATAGGGGAAGGACAAAACACAGGCTGGTGTTCACTAAGCAAAGAGAGCAAAGAATCAGATCTCAGCTGTAGTTCCCAGAAGTCTTAACTAGTGCCTGCTTGTGTGGCTGCTAGAGAATTGTAGTAAGATCATCTTCACAGTTGCTCAAAACAACAACAACAATAATAATCCTTGCAATTTGATATAGTGGCTTATCACATCTTTGAGACGTCTCAAAGCTCTTCTCAGAATGTAAATTGACTGTATATTTTGTGGGCGAAACGCGGCAGCCAATTGCGCACAGCAGTGTCCCACAAACATTCGTGGATTGAGTGATCAAATTCTTTCTTTTTTTAAGGAATTATTACCCCCTTCAATCTGACCGCCAATTGACTGACAACTGGATTCCTAATTGCTGTTAGGTAAACAGAGGCATGTGGAGTAAGGAAAATTACCTAAAGTATCGCCCTGCCGGGAATCAAACCCAGGCACCTTGGGACATCCTCCCGACGTGAAAGCTGCTTTACAAATGTAATTTTGTTGTTGTTGTTGTTTCTCGCAATAACAATGCGGGTTAGACCACTCTGCAAATATACTAGTAATCCTTTTTACAAATCGATTTGGGGATGCTAAGCTCCATATAGAATTTAAGCATTTTTTTTAGTTAAGAGTCTGTATCAGGTAAGGAGTAATAGCAGCCATCCAATTTATAGCCACCCGTCTCCAGTATACCTTTCTCATAAGTGGTCTGTGTCCACAAGAAAGATCACTTCTGAATATTAGCATATTTCACTATTTCATAAAATGACTTGGAGCAGTCTCAGTCCAATTATTTAGAGGTGGGATAACGCAGCAATCCAGGCATTTTCACTAAAAGGTTCTACAACAGTGGTGCAATAAATAGAAAATGTTAAAAAGTATGGGGGTGGTTAAGATTATTGCTTAAGCATTAAGGAATACTGTTTGGCTAGAAAAGAGGGACAATCTGCATCTTAACCCATGCTATTAATCACTAGAAGTGTCTGGTGCTTTGCTGACCGTCTGAAAAGCGAAATTTTTTCAGACCCAACATTCCACACCACAATGAATGCACAAATTCAAACCCCATGCTTTAAAGATAAATAATCCAGTCACCTGTCGTGCTCCCAGATTGTTCTAACATTCTGGCAGAGGTAGGCTTTGCACGTGCTGATCATCTGATTGGTAACTTTGACGAAGAGAGAAGTCATTCGTTCCGAGGTGTTGTAATACTTTGAGATGCTATGTATCATACGGATACTGTTCATCAAGTTGGTTATATGGTCAAGCATGGTAACCTGCACACAGGAGATTAGATGTAAAAAATAAAACATTGTTTTTTATAGTCTGTATTCCATGCTATGGTAGCAAATGCAAGGCTTATTATGGTAAGCAAAATTAATGATATATTTTTAAACTTACAGGTGTACATTTCATAAGAGGCCCAAAGAATTTGTCCAATGTGTACAAGTACTTCACATTGTCTTTTGCTTCATTGGCTACGTCAGTGATGTTTCCATCCTTCAATTTAAAAAACAAAATATTATTATACAGAAGTAATATTGAAAAACATGTGATAAAAGAAATGTGTTTTATTACATGCAGATTCTCAAAAGGGAACAACATGGTGTCTTTGATAATGAAAAATACCAGTTCTCTCCAATGTTTCAGTGATCTTGACTTTGCAACTTGAAGAATGCCCACCACTTTTCTCACTTGAGGACTCTTAATTTGATCAAGAAGGCTAGAAAAATAAATCAAACAACTTGATGAAGTTATTTAAAGGTCAAAGAACACGTTTGTTCACAGTTATTGTGATAATCTTTATCAGCTCTCAGTTTAATGCTGATAAAACACTGTGTAGGAAACAAGCATACATTGGGAACACTGATTATCCAAGGGGATTTAGAGAGATTTATGACTTTGGACAGATAATTGGAAAATACCATTAAACAAATATAAGGTAATACATGTTGGCTCCAAAACACTGAATATTACTGAAACAGGAAGAAGATTTGGCATGAATGACACAATATTTGTTAAAATAATCTCCACGATGAGACAGCAATTACCAAGGCAAATAAAATCAAGCAAAGCATAAATTGATGCAAAGTCCATGCATGTAATATTAATTCTCTATTAAACATTAATTAGACCACATGTAGGATACTGCAGCTAATTCTAATCCTTTGCTATTTGAAAGGTATTAAAAGGTGATTAAGTGGGATTCCTGGCCTTGAATCACTTTATGAAGATGCCAGTCCACAAATTGCAGAGTGTCTTCATTTGAATTGTTCCAAGTTCCCAGTCGGGTTATCTCGCTCACTCCTGTCTAAGTACTGAACAGTTGACTCAGTTAGATAATGTTTTGGACTACTTCAGCTATTCAAGGGATTCAAGCAGCATGCAGAAATATATAAAATATCACTTTACACAGACAAACGTTGACATATCCAGTTAGTTTGAAGCTAATCTCCCACATACACCAGTGTATTCACAACTTTAGTTCACTGTTAGGCAAAAAAAATCAATAACACCACATATCAGCCTGGCACAGTGCTAGCAGTTTCGCCTTCAAATCAGAAGGTTGTGGTTTCAAGCTCCCTGTCAGGACTTGGAATCACATAGTTCAAGCTGACACTCCAATGCAGTGCTGAGATTATTATCGCATTATTAGATTCAGTCCTTTGGATAAGATGTTAAACCGAGGTCCTGACTGCGTGTTCATTAAAGATCCTATGGCACTATTTGAAAAGAGAACAGAGATTTCCTGCTAACAATCCCCCAAATAAAATTGGTCACTCACTTCATGGCTGTTTGGGGGACATTTCTGTGTACAATTGGCTGCTGTGTTTCACCCACAAATGACACATTCAATCCACTTTACAGCATATCCTGTGAAGCACTTTAAGATATCTCGACAATTTGATAAGGCGCAATATCAATTGCAAAGATTATTATATTACAACACCATATCATAGATACTGGCATTGGGTAAGGACTTTCCCTTTTGTTGGTCAGCCAGGTATCCGACAGAAACCCATCATCTTTCTTAAGAGAATCCAAGCCAAACTGAGATTTCCATGCATCCCACCTACACATGGAAATTCCAGAGATAGATTGTTGGAATGGAATGTGCACTCTCTCCCTGGAGAGATGCATCCGGCTTACCTAATTCTGGAAAGTATTAGGCACATGGTGTCCTGGTGTCAAGCAAGTCTTTTAATATTAACTCTGAACATGATTATCCTTGGCTTCAACATTTAAAGGACACAGGCTTCCATCCAGTTCAGAGAATAGGAATGGAGTCAGTGACTTATGCAGATTTCACCTGTGTTAGCTATTTTCTTGATAGATTGATACATTGGGTTTTCATTGCTTTCCATCAAAGTTTGAAAAGACACAGAATCAAATGTACAAATTCCCACATAGTGAGTTTAACACAGCTGTGCTGTCAAGGTAAGATGCAGAGTGAGATACCAAGCATTTTCCTAGAAGAAGGGAAGATCAGATGACCAAATACCTCCAAACTACTCTAATGTACATCTTGGTGGCTAGTTACAAAGTAGATCTGGGATCAGATTCCTTGTTTAGTGTCATGATTAAGAATAGTGTACGATAGAGGAAGACTCTTTCATGGTGAAGGAATGCTGTATAATTTAGGAAGCTTCTGCATGAATAGGGAGTGGTGTCTGGTGCAGGAACTCTTCATGGTCAGGCTCTGATGTATGGTTTAGGAACCCTGATAAACAAATAATAATAATCCTTGCAGTTGGTATAGCACCTTATCACGTCATCGAGATGTCTCAAAGGGTTTCACAAGATATACTGGTAAGTGGTGTGACTGTGTGCATTCTTGTGAGCAAACAGCAAAAAGATAAACAAAAATTACATTATTATCTTTACTTTTTTTTAAAAAAAATAGCATTTTGTTTCCACTACATTTTTTGTCAACATTTTATTTATGCCATTATCATTACACTTGGAGCTGATCTAAACTCACAATTTAAACAGTACACCTATTGCACTTTCCTTGGCAATGCGTAATCTGCCCAAATTTATTGAACACTTGTATATCTACAGATCTCTGAGTGTTCTCATGGTGTAAAGGGAAGAATGCTGAATGAGTCTTTTAGGGTACTGCAAGTAAAAATTGATAAGACAGAAAAAGCTGCATGAGAGTGTTCAGTCTAGAAGGGCAATGGATTAAGATCAGATTCGGTGGAGTGTTGCGATTCTGTGAAATAACTGGAAAATGGAAAGAGTAATGAGATTTAGAGGATCAAAGGCTGTAGAAAATAATTCATTTGAAAGCGAAGTAAAGAAGTTTCACTCTAAAAATTAAGTTTTTCTCTGAAAATATACTGACTTGACATTTGTGTGGTGTACTTCAAATTATACAAGCTTTTGGAATTTAGCGTTTTTTAAAGTGGATAACAGATAGGCAAAGTTTAAGACAAATATTTAGGATAATAATTATCTTTGTATTTGATAAAGCGCCTCATCACATTCTTGAGACATCTCAAAGCGCTTCACAGAATATAGTGTAAAGTGGTATAAACACAGAAGTCACTGGGAACACACAGCAAATCAGGCAGTAATAATAATAATAATCCTTGCATTTGATATAGCGCTTTTCACGTTGGGAGGACGTCCCAAAGCGCTTCACAGAACACACTGTAAAGTGAATTGACTATATATTTGTGGGCGGACACGGCAGCCAATTGCGCACAGCAATGTCCCACAAACAGTCGTAGATTGAAAATGACCAATTTATTATTGTTTTTGGTTTTGGAGGGATTATTATTAGGCTCTGGGTGGAGTAAGGAAACTTGCCCAAGGTTTCGCCCTCTGCCTGGAATTGAACTCAGGTCTCTCGCTTGCAAAGCGAGTGCTCTAACCGCTGAGCTACAGGACTCCACGAAGTATCCATGGAGAGAGGAACATGAGTTAATGTTTCAGGTCAATTACCTTTTCATGGAATCATGGAATTATACAGCACAGAAGGAGGCCATTCGGCCCATCGTGTCTGTGCCGGCTCTTTGAAAAGAGCTATCCAATTCAATCCCACTCTCCCGCTCTCTTCTCATAGCTCTTCAAACTAACTTGTCCACCCCAAATAATTATCTACTCCTCTTAAAAGCAGTTATCCAATCGGCTTCCACCACCCTTTCAGGGAATGGATTCCGGATCCCAACAACTCGTTGTGTGAAAAAATTTCTCCTCATCTCCCCTCTGTATCTTTTAAAAACTATTTTAAAAACGGTATTTTATTGTTACCGACCCACACACCAGTGGAAATAGTTTCTCCTTGTTCACCCTATCGAATCCCCTCATAATTTTGAAAACTTCTATTAAGTCTCCTCTTAACCTTCTCTACTCCAAGGAGAATAATCCTATCTTCTCTAGCCTCTCTAGAGCATTCATATCAATGACCTAGACGAGGACATTAATGTAACATATCTAAATTCGCGGATGACACTAAACTAGGTGGGAGAGTAAGCTCTGAGGATAATGCATAAAGATTGCAACAGGATATAGATAGACCAGGGGAGTGGGCAGTAGGTGGCAGATGGAACTTAATGTGGGGAAGTGTGAAGTTATTCACCTAGGTAGCAAAAATAGAAAAACAGATTATTTTCTAGAGGGGAAGAGATTAGATAGTGTTAGTGTTCAGAGGGATTTGGGTGTCCTTGTACACCAGTCTCAAAAAGTTAGTTTGCAGGTGCAGCAAGCAACTGAGAAGGTGAACGGCATGTTAGTGTTCATTGCAAAAGGTTTAGAGTACAAGAGTAGGGAAGTTTTGCTGCAACTGAATAGGGCCTTGGTGAGACCGCACCTAGAGTATTGTGTGCAGTTTTGGTCTCCTTATTTAAAAAAGGACATACTTGCCCTAGAGGGTGTGCAGTGTAGATTCACTCGGTTAGTTCCCGGGATAAGGGGACTGACCTATGAGGATAGGCTGAATAAAGTAGGGCTATATTCTCCAGAGTACAGAAGAATTAGGGGAGATCTTATTGAAACATATAAGATTCTTAAAGAGCTGATAAAGTAGACACTGAGGGTCTGTTTCCCCTGGTAGGAGAATCTATAACCAGGGGTCATAGTCTTAAAATTAAGGGTCAGCCTTTTAGAACAGAGTTGAAGAAACATTTCTTCACTCAGAGGGTAGTGAATTTATGGGATTCACTACCCCAGAAGGCTGTAGGTGCTCAGTCCTTGAACATTTTCAAGGCTGAGACTGATAGATTTTTTAAAAATAGAGGGATTAGGGGATATGGGGATAGGGCAGGTAATTAGAGTTAGGTCAGAAGATCAGCCATGATCTTATCAAATGGCAGGGCAGGCTCGAGGGGCCGAATGGCCTACTCCTGCTCCTAATTCTTATGTTCTTATATTCTTAGATAACTGAAGTCCTCATAGCTGGCACCATCCTGGTAAATCTAATTTGCACCCTCTCCTATACCTTGACATCCTTCGTAAAGTGTGGGACCCAGAACTGAACACAGTACTCTAGCTGAGGCCTAACCAGTGTTTTATAAATGTTCATCATAACTACCTGACTTTTGTATTCTATTTTGTGGAGTCCTGTAGCTCAGTGGTTAGAGCACTCGCTTTGCAAGTGAGAGACCTGAGTTCAATTCCAGGCAGAGGGCGAAACCTTGGGCAAGTTTCCTTACTCCACACAGAGCCTAATAATAATCCCTCAAAAAAAACAATAATAAATTGGTCATTTTCAATCTACAACTGTTTGTGGGACATTGCTGTGCGCAATTGGCTGCCGCGTTCGCCCACAAATATACAGTCAATTCACTTTACAGTGTGTTCTGTGAAGCGCTTTGGGACGTCCTCCCGACGTGAAAAGCGCGATATCAAATGCAAGGATTATTATTATGCTTCTATTTATAAAGCCTAGTATCCCGTATGCTTTTTTTTAAGAAACAGCTTTATCTACCTGTCCTGCAACCTTCAAAGATTTACTTATATGAACCCCCAGGTCAACAATAACAACAACTTGGATTTATATAGCGCCCTCCACGCTGGACGGCGTCTCAGAGCGCTTTACAGTAACGGCTCCCGGGACCGAGCCGGGGGGAAGGGGAGGAAGGTGAACAAAGGCACAGTCAAAAAGGTCTTCAGCAGAGACCTGAAAATGGGAAGGGAGGGAGCGAGGCGAAGGGAGTGAGGAGGGGAATTCCAGAGCCTCGGGGCATAGTGGCTGAAGGCACGGCCGCCGAGGGTGGAGCGGAGGACTCGGGGGACGAGGAGGAGGCCAGACCTGGAGGAACAAAGGCAATGGGTATTGTTTTGAGGAGAGAGGAGGTCAGAGAGGTAGGGGGGATGCAGAGGAGTGCAGGGACCTGAATACAAGGGTGAGGATCTTGAAATCGATCCTTCTGGGATAGGCAGCCAGTGCAGTCTGGCAAGGACTGGGGTTATCCGGGAGCGGAGGTTCGTGCGGGTGAGAATGCAGGCGGCAGAGTTCTGAATAAGTTGGATTTTATGGATGGTAGTCGATGGGAGACCGGCGAGGAGGGCGTTAGAGTAGTCCAGTCGAGAGGTGACAAAGGCATGGACCAGGGTTTCAGCGGCTTTTGGGGAGAGGTATTGGTGGAGACAGGCAATGCGTCAGAGGTGGAAGAAAGCGGTGCTGGTGAGGGACCAGATGTGGGGGAGGAAGGATAATTGAGGGTCGAACATGATTTTGCTTACAAGTCTCTTATGTGGCACTTTATCAAACTCATTTTTGAAATCCATATAAACTACATCAACTGCCCTACCTTCATCCACGCTCTCCATTACCAAAAAACTCTGATCAGGTTTGTTTGACATAATTTGCCTTTAATAAATCCATGTTAGCTGCCTTTATTAACCCATGTTTTTCTAAGTGAAAATTTATTTTGTTCTGGAATATTAGAGTTTTACTAGAGAGAAATTACTTCCACCAGTGAGTCAGTGACTAGAGGAAATCAATTTACAATAATCAGCAAAGAAACAACAAGATTACATTTGTATAGTGCCTTTCATATTGGGAGGAAAGTATATCTTTTATATACTATATATATATGAAAAAACAAAGGGGAAGATGAGGAGGATTTTTCTTACACACTCACTCACACACACACACAGTTGTTAGGATGTGGAATGCACAATAGCTTTCAAGAAAGAACTGGATAGATGTCTAAAAATAAGTAATTTGCAGATTTTTGGTGGGAGAGGGAAAGTGGAGGCAACAAAATAGGATTGAGTAGGTTGCTCTTCCAATGAGCCGGCACATATTCAATGGGCTAAATAGGATTCTGTGCTCCAACTTTGTATGCTTTCTTATGGCTTGATATAGCTGAAGAAAGACAAAAATACACTAATATAGTGCATACCTGTTAAACTTTGCCATTCTGCTCTTCCAATGATCCAGTTCTGCAGAAGGGCCTATATCGTCAGCCTCCTTTCTCATTTGCTCACTCTCAGCCAAGACATTCTCTATCCGTTTAGTCCAGACCGTCAGCACACTCTCAAGTTGCTCCACAAATTCAGTATTACCGGCTAGAAGTTAAAGCATAATCTTCACTTAATTTAGTTATTCATTCCAGGAATCATAGCAAGTTTACAGCATAGAATTAGGTTATTTGACCCACTCAATCAATTTTGGGGTTCGCTTTCCCACTGGTACTTTTACTCTAATCTCACTCCGCTGCTCTTCCGCCATAGCCTTTAATATTATTTTATTTCCAGAAGTCTTTGACTAATTCCCATTTAAATTGGAATATCAGACTGAAAAAAATCTATCCAGAAAGATTACAACCACTGGGGTCAGGATTATGCTATTTGACCGATCGAGTCTGCTCTGCCATTTTATTAATTCACAGCAGTTCTTTATGAATAATAATCTCTTTCATAATATTTTTGGGTCTCTTACCCATATCTACTAATACACTTTTTGCCCAGGTACATAACTATTATTCCTTGAAAAAAATAGGTCACTCAATCACTGCCTGTTTGTGGGACACTGCTGTGTGCAATTGGCTGCCGCGTTTCTCCCACCAAATATACAGCCAATTCACTTTACAGTATATTCTGTGAAGCGCTTTGAGACGTCTCAAAGACCTGATAAGGCACTACATCAAATGCAAGTATTATTATTATTACATCCTTTGACTTATTTTCCTCATGACGGGTAAGCTTTCTCATTCTCTTTGCCTAAAGAAATCTTAAGCAGCTACATCGCATCAGACAAAGCTTTTGACAAAACTACCCCCAACCTTGCTAATGGAGTTTATTTTCTACAAGTGTTTTTTATTAATTAGATCAGAAACAGTTTTTACCTTATACCATTTTACCAGTATTTTACCATATCTTATATAAAAACAGCTTTTAAAAGTGCAATGATCTAAAGTTTTATATATATGCATTTGACATTGCACTGTATCACGTCATTTAGTAATCTCAAAGTGCTTCACAGGATATACTGTAGAGTGATTGTGTATATTGTGGGTGAAACACAGCAGCCAGTTGCGCACAGCAGTGCCTCATAAACAGCCATGGGGTGAGTGACCATTTTATTTATTTGGGGGGATTGTTAGCCTTGACACCAGGAGAAACTCTCTTTTCGAATAGTGCCTTGGCATCTTTAACATCCACCTGAAACTCGGTTTAACATCTCATCCAAAGGACAGCACCTCCTATAATCTATCACCACACCCAGTATTGCATTATAGTGTCACCTTAGACTTTGTGGTTCTAAGACCCGATGTGGAGTTTGAAACCACAACCTTCTGACACAGAGTAAAAAGTGCTACATACAAAACATTTCCCCCAGAAAGTGATCTGCCAATCGACTGACAACCTGGTTCTTCCTTACTGCTGGATAAACGGAATGAAACCGCCTATGGTTTCGCCCTGCCCAGGAATCAAACTCGGGTCCACTCACTTGAAAGGCGAGCTTGCTAACCTCTATGCCCCGGGACTTCATAACCAATAACCATCTTTTCAATATCTTTATACAGTTACTTTTTGGTCACAGATATCCTCATTCTTTCAAAAGCTAATATTTGTGTCCAAGAAACTTTTGATATGCAAATACTATAATCTAAACCAAAGTAAGAAAAATATTCAAACCAAGTTTATTTTGGATGTTGCAGGTTATAAGTGTGAAAGCATGGCTTGTTTTACAACATGGTTCGGTAAGCACAAAAATGTACTGTAAATTCAAAAATATTAATTTCAAAATCCTTGTAGTAGAACAATTGATATTTGTCAAAAAAGAGCAATAGGAAAGATATGGTTATACTCCTCAGGCATGACATTGGCTTCATTACAAACAGTTTCACCTTTTTCAAGCTTGAACAGAAATCAGATTCATCAATCTGAATACATAATCCATACATAATTGTGACAAATAAATGCACGCAAAGTATGGCATATGAGAAGTGAAAATAGGATGTGCATGTTCTCCATGTACAATAGGAGAGAATTTGTCAAGTTCAAGTTCACTCGTCACTTACCCTGTCGAGGGAACAGCAAACAAGGAAAAGAGATTGCTAGGCTACATTACCAAATAGGTATAGTTCACATCCATAGAAGTCATCCTTAAGTTGTAAAGTGTTCCAATGAGCCCACATCTATTGTACTATGTAGAATATCAACATCATAACATAGAGATGTTGTGAATCAGAACAACAGGAATAATTCTCATCGTAAACAGACGGAGCTATGAGGAATAACTGGACAAGCCAGGGTTCTTTAATCTGGAAATAAATTGTTTCAGAGGGAATTAATAGAGCTATACGAGATTCTAAATGGGAATGAGAAAATAAACCCAGAAGAATAGTTTCAAATAGGCCAAGGCAGCAGAAAAGAGAATATATGTTCAAGTTGCGAAAGGCAATTTTAGGACATGCACCAGGAAGAATTTCTTTATGTGGAGAATAATTACGGTAGGGTAGGTTTCGTGGAAGGATACCTCTTGTCTAATGAAACAAAAATATAATATATGTACACACACACACAATGCAATGAGTTACTACAGCAAAAATAACTTTCCATTCATTTTTGCTGCTACATACAAAAACAATTAGCCAAATGTATGAAACCACAAAACATCTTATAATATTTTATAATACATTTTATAATATAATCTCAACCAAGAAATTGCTATTTTTTTGAAAAAGGGTACAAATTTATCAAATAGAATATATTAATTCAGCAGCTTTCAAAAAAACTATACAATTCCTCGATAAAGTAGAAATGTGCATTTTCCATGATAATTTGATTTACTAAACAAAAATAACTACATCGATTTGTGTTACATTAAAATTAATGCTAAAACAAATAGAGAAAAAATTAGGAGTACTGAAGAAACTGAAAAGAGGGAGGTGAAAAGTTAATACAATACCTGCAACCATGAAATCAGAAACATTATGCAGATTGTCTAGGCTGTATCTTGAGTCTACATCCTCCAGTATAATGTTGCTCTCCATATTTTTTCTGGCAGAAGACAGATTGCCTACAAATTTGTCCAAGGATTCAAGGAATTCTTGAACTTCGGCATTCTTCAGCCCATCTTTTACAGATCCCCAGTTCTGCTCATTTGGAGGAAAATTTAAAAAAGAAAATATTAGGCTAAATATTTTAAAGGAGTTATGGTGTTTTAGTAATCTATAAGAGCAATAGTTGAAGTGAGTCATTTGTTTCATTGGTATGAATTGGATTTTAGCTGAAAGGCAACAGGTGAGAATTCAGCTAAGTTGAATATTTATCTAACTCAATGCGTTAACAAAATTAAGTGCTTAAGTTCAACAATTGAGTGACCGTGGCAAATAGATTTGGAATATTAGGAAACAACCTTCATATAAAGTTGTGCAATATTCCTAACAATCACACTTAAAATGTTGGAAAAAATAATTATAAAAGTTTGGTTGTAAATATGTAGAAAAATGGATACCTGCAAGCAATGCAGTGAGTTCTGATGGCATAATAAATTGTAAGAGTGAAGCTCCTCTAATCTAAAGTCAGAATTGTATATAGAATTTAGCAATTTCTATATTTCAAGACTAACTTTGAAGCCATTTTTTTCTGTAGTTATTAAATAAACTTACAGATAGAACAAATCTAGACCCAAGTGAATTCCTACTCCAGTCTCCCATGCACGCACGCACACATACAAGGCGATGGTAGAGAAAACCACAAAGTCAAACAAAAACAAATAGAAGACAGAGATTCATTGAAAAAGTACAATTAAACTCATACCAACAGTTGGTATCCTACATAAGACATCCTTCCTACCGCTCATCCAAGGTGGGGCTACTTTACTAGTTTTTCATAATGACCAAATTGCTTTTTTCCCTCTTGTGTGATAGAAAATTAATTAAAGTTGTGTTTATGATCATTCGAGTAAAGCTAGGAGTTGTTCCAGTCTAGAGATCATTTGAGAGAGCTTACCTCTTGAGATCGCAGTGCAGGCACCATTACACTGGCAAGAAGTTTCTCCAGCCCTTGAAGTAAATTCCCTTCAGAGCAATCAAGCATACAGAAATTCACCTCCTATGTAAAAAAGAAACCTTCTGTTATGAGTCAGCTATATGGTCATAACATTTACACTAATAAATCTGCAAATATGTAGCTTCTAACTGATCAAACAAGATCAATAATAAACCTCTTGAATAGTGATTGACTTCAAACCATTTAACAGGAAAAATATCTTGAGATATACTTGACGTCTATTGCATCAGACTAATGCAATGGTGACAGAAAGGCTAATATCTGAAAGGTCCAGAAACCTCTTGTACAAACCACCTAACTCCTACCCTCATACAGCCAGTTTGCTCTCCCCAACAGTAATTTTTGCAGCATGTCTATAATCTGGTCTTTCCAGGTGAAACAAAACTGATTGCACTTACTTCATCATATGAATATAACAATACTTTAGTGTGTAGGAACTGATCACTGTGCATTGCTTTTATTCCAATCCTGTGCACGGAATTTGCCGTCTGTGCGTATTGTGGCAGTCACAGAAAATAATTGTCTAATATAGGTAATGTTGCTGAAATGTGCATTGTAGATTGTAACTGGCAGAAAATGTCAATTTGAAAGACGACTTTTGGTGCATATTTTATATTCTGCAAACCATTGCACATTGCAACAAAAAGGTCAGATTTTAGAAATCACAATCACAATTAAAGTAACCTTTGCCTACACATAACTTTCATTTTACCCAATTATAGTTGTAAAGTACTTTGAAATGTTTCTTTTGAAGCAAAACGTACGATATAAATTCCAGCTATTATTATCTTGTGAGAGCAGCTAATGGATATACTGCATCATGCTGATAAATTATTTCTAAACGTTTTAAAATTGAGAAAGTTAGGTCAAGGACCAAGGCCCATAATGCAAAATTGAAAGGGTAGTTTCAGAATATATTTCACTATGGTAAATGCTTCAGTGTTGCTAAATAATGTTTAATGCTAATGTAATGCACTGATTCACAGAAGGAAACTGACCTGAAACACATTAGCTGTGCTGATTGATTTGTCAGTAGTTCTGAGAAAGAATAAGCAAGAACCAGTCAAACCCTGCAAAATGGGCATGCAAGAAACAGAATTACTGCACTGAAGGATTTTCAAACAATCCAAATGCACAGGTATAAAAAGAAAACAGGCTGGAAATCTTAAACAAATGCAGAAAATGCTATAAATGTGCAACATATCAATCATCATCTGAAAGAGAAAGAAATCTTTAAGTACTGAGAATCACACTTTATTGCGCAAATTTCCAATGTTTTAATTTTGTAATCTACAATTTGATTCTGGTACAGAAAGTTACAGAATTGCAAAAGATGCATCTTTCACAACTCAGGTGTGTATAATAATTATATTCCAGCAATATTCGCTTTGCAGAAAAATACATAAATCAAGAAATAACATTAACTGAGTACAAACAGTTTTGTCTTACCTCTGCAGAACCAGTTGTTATAAAAAGCTTCTTCTGGGCTGAGCTTTTGGAAGTGCCTGCACTTGAAAATCTGTGCTCTCTGGGCTATAGAATTGAACAATCCAATTGTTAAACAACTGAGATCAATACTTTAGGATGGTGCCTAGTCATTTTAATTCAACAGACTCTTAAAAACATTCACTTATCATTCAGCCTGTCAGTGAGTTAATGCTACAGTACCTTGAACAGCCGCAAATCAGTATTTTAGAATGTGTTTTAGAGAATTCTTGTTTTAGCAATAAAAATATTTTATTTAATCTAAAGATTTTTAGACTTCAACATACGACCCGAAAAATTCAATTTCAATAGTTTGGGGCTCATTACTGTGAAAGACACAACACCAACATTTAGCAAGGAACTGGTTGGCTTGAATATGTGAACACTTACTGGAACGGTCTCTTGATAGAAAAAGAGTAATTTTTTCGATCCATTTGGTGCAAAGAATTCTTCAATCATGTTAAACTGGAAGAGAAAATTGATTCATTTTAATTGCATGGATATTATTCCAAGAGACTTTTGCTACACATTTTGATTACTGATTATCATGAAATACTTACAAAGATGAGCAGAACTATACAAATACGTCTTTAATCACACAGAAAATTTGCAGCACAGTTTATGCTGGTGTTTTCTCCACCACTGGAGCTATTTACTCTAATCCCAGAATAAGAAACAATTGAAATGTTACACTTTCATCCGAAGTTATGCAAGACTTCAAACGAAAATTAAACATTTGGTCTTGGAAATATATAATACATAGTATATTTGGATTTGATAAGGTTCCACATACGAGAATCACGGCCAAAATTTAAGGTGCATGAGATTGATAGAAAAGTAACAAATTGGATAGAGGAATGGTTGAAGATGGTAGTAGATGGCAGAAAATGAAAATTAAATTAGGCTTATTTTGATTGTCAGTGGGTAGTTAGTCAGTTATCTCAGGGATTAGTGTTGGGACCTCTCTTGTTCTTCACTTACATTAATGATCTGGATGTCGCAGAGGCAATCATATCCAACTTGACAAATGATGATGAATTAGGAGGCTTATAGTGACAAAGAGTGCAGCAGATATTGACAGTTTAGCAAAGTGTTGGTGGATTTATGGAGAATTAAATTCAATACAGAAAAACGAAGTATACAACAGAGAATGGAAATATTCCCTAAGTGGTAAAAATTCTCAATAGAGTGGAGGGCCAGTGGGATATAGAAGCACAAATACATACATTGTTAAAGTAAGATTACAGCTAGAGAAGACTGTTATAAGAGCAAAGAGGATTCCGGGTTTTAGACACCGAACCATTGAATTCAAAGGAACAATATGGCAATGGACATTAATACCATATTCTGTGAAGCTCTTTGAGACGTCTAGAAGATGTGAAAAGCGCCATATCAAATGCAAGGATTATTATTATTATTAATAATAAGATGTTCATTAAGGTTCAGCTGGAATACTGTGCAAAGTTTTGGATGCAGGACAATGAAAAGTTATAAAAGTTATTGGAGCTATGGCACATAGATTCATGAGAATAATAATAATATCCATGCATTTGATGTACCTTTCATGGTGGGAGGACATTTCAAAACTCTTTACAGGATTCACTGTGAAGTGGAGTGACTGTGCAGTTATTGGCTAACATCTGCACAGCAATATTTTATATTATTCAAATGTTATATTATTTTATATTATTCAAAAGTTTTTAACTGCACATTAGTATAAGTAGTTAAAGTATCAAACCTTACCCTTTCATCTCCAATAATAGAATCCTCCACAACGGATTCCTCCTGGCCAGTCCCATCTGCCAATTTGCATATGAGATATTTGTGCCGGGAGTCCAAGTGGGATCTGCGTTCTTCCTTTGTTGCTTTGGCTTGTTTTGCCAGTTCCTTTTTTGCCTCAGTAGAAAACACCACCATCTTCTTTCCCTGAGTCTAATGATAGGAGAGGAAACAAAACTTAGACCACATAATGGCATTGTTTTTTATTTTAATTATTCTCAATCCACATCTGCTTCCCACCTTCAAACATTCCTGTAGGCTAACACTGCTGTCCATGTAACTTTGTGGCATTGTTGAGATGATATGCAATTTTCAAATGAAATGGACATCTTATTGTTACAGAATCTGACCTTGCTAGTTTCTCTGACTCTTCTCCCCCAACCCCCATTTTTATCAATCCATTAGTCAGTAATCAATTAGCTCTGAATAGTTAAATTGTACTGTGACAAAGAAGATTTCAGATGGAAAAGAATGTATGAATGATCAACTTAACAAAGGAAGGCTTTAATAATAAAACTTTTTTCAAATCTTATCTGCTTGATTTTAATTTTATTGTCAGGAATTAAAATAATTATAAAATAAATGAATGCAAAGGGCACTTTGCTGCATTATTTTAATTGGTGTTGAAACATTCTTAAACTGGGGTAAAATACCCTCCAAAATTTGCATAATAAATCACTTACTGACACAGATGCAGTTGGAGATGGTGCGGTAGGAGATGCTCCTAATCCAGAGTGCATCCATTTAGTACCTCCTACACGCCTGTGACCTTTAGATTCTCCAGCTGAAAAATGGCCAGAAATGTTTATTCTTACAATACAAATATACATTCAAATCATGCCTTTCAGGTCGTAAGAACATTACAAGAGGCTTAACAATACTGGCTTGGTACCCGAACTGAGGGTGGTGGTCAAGGGGGGGGGAGTGAGAGGCAGGTGGATGTCCAAAAGGGCAGTCGGGGAGGTATTGATGAGATGGACATTGAATGAGACGAGGAAAGAAACAATTCTTAATTGGTAATCAAATTCTTACCTGAAATATTTGCTTGTTTAATTCTACAGCACAATATACACAGTTAAAAACCACTTAACAGTAAATCTGGTGAAGCTTTTTGAGACATCTTGATGACATGATAAGGCGCTATATCAAATTTAAGGATTATTATTTATTATTATTATTAACAATCATTTGAAGAATTGTACTGATCCCTTTGACCCTCATAGGCATGATTCTGCATTCTCAGTTTATTTTATTTCCAGACTTGCTTGGCTTCACTGGCTCCCAATTATCGATCGGATCGATTTCAAGATCCTCTCGCTCGTTTTCAAATCATTCATGCCCTTGATCTCCCCACCTATCTGACCTGCTTACCATCCCCCAACTCCAACACCCGCTGCCTCTGCTTGGCTGGCTCCGCCTTCCTCCACTTCCACTACATTGCCTGCCTCCAGGCATTCGTCACCTCCCAACTCCTCAAATGTCCTCTTTGCCAGTCTCCCCACTTCCAATGTGCACAGGATCCAGCTGATCCAAAACTCTGCTGCCCGCATACTCACCCATAATAAACTACATACCCCTATCACACCAGTTCTAGCCAAGCTCCTCTGACTCCCAATTGGCGAACGGATCGATTTCAAAGTCCTCATGCTCATTTTCAAATCCCTTCATGCCCTCACGCCTCCCTATCTATCCGATTTCCATACACCCCCCAATCCATAACCCCCTGGCTCTGCTCAACTGGCTCCGGCCTTCTGCATGTACCTCTTGCCCTCCTTTCCACCATTGGTGGCGCACTTTGAACCACTATGCCCCGAAACTCTAGAACTCTCTCCCTCAATCCCTCCAGCTTGTCTCCTCCCTCCCCACTTTCAAATCCCACCTAAGGACCTTCTTATTTGATCATGTTTATGATCACCTCATCCCTCCCTGGCTCAGGGTCAGACTATGCCACTCTCAAGTGCTCCGGTACACTACCCCCGTGAAGGCTCCATATAAATGCAAGTTGTTGTTGTTGTTGTATTTCCCTACCTACAGTCTTTCCACATTGTCCCTGGTATACACACTACCTTTGAGAATGTATTTATGCCTATATTACAGGATTAGGTTGCACTTCATAGCTTTTTAACTATCATTGATCCTTGTGTAATCTGGAATCTCTCAAACATCATCCATGCTTTGAGCACGTCAAGATTGAATTCTGCAACTCTTTCCTCAAAAAGGCTCTGGCAGGCAATAAGTCAGCAAGAAAGAGAGAATGAAACTGTGAAAGAGTGTGTGATTGTTCAATAGCAAGAAATAAAATGAAAGAAATAACCACAGAAAAAAAAATTCTGACCAACAAACCACCCATTCCCCTCAAAAACCTAAAAAATTGCAAGAATAAACAAACAAAGTGAGGAAAGTACAACATTCAAAATGTAATGTAATTAAATGCAGTGCCAAACTAATCTTGCATCATGCAAAACTAATGCTGCATTTAAAATACTATCACTGAGTTTTGGAGTTCTGTAAATGTGCTAATAACCGAATGTGCAGAACTCCAAAATCAGGATTTATTAAAAACTGGTCGCAGAACAGATTCTTTAAAAACATTGAAAACACAGATCTTTAAACATTCCTGGACCATCCATTGAACTGCTCAAAAATCATTCAAGAGACTATTGGGAGCAGAACTGTCATCATCTTCTGAGATTTGTTTACACGGAAATTAAGCTGCTTCTGAAACAACCTACTCTATGTGGTATCAGGAGCATAACAATAATAATCCTTGCAGTTCATAGAGTCATAGAATTATACAGCACAGAAGGAGGCCATTCGGCCCATCGTGACTGTGCCGGCTCTTTGAAAAGAGTTACCCAAATCAATCCCCTGCTCTCTCCCCATAGCCCTGCAAACTTGTCCTCCTCAAATAATTATCTATTTCTCTCCTAAAAGTTGTTATCGAATCAGCTTCCATCACCCTTTCAGGCACCAATCATACATGCATACATACAGCACTTTTCATACAGCACTTTATCATGCCGTTGAGACATCTCAAAGCGCTTCCCTGATTGACTGTGTATTTTGTGGGCAAAATGAAGCAGCCAATCGCACACAGCAGAGCTACACCCCAATTTGCCATACTTTTTGGAGTCCTGTAGCTCAGTGGTTACAGCACTCGCTTTGCAAGCGAGAGACCTGAGTTCAATTCCAGGCAGGGCGAAACCTTACTCCACACGCCTAATAATAATCCCGCCAAAACCAAAAACAATAATAAATTGGTCATTTTCAATCTACGACTGTTTGTGGGACATTGCTGTGCACAATTGGCTGCCGCATTCGCCCACAAATATACAGTCAATTCACTTTACAGTGTATTCTGTGAAGCGCTTTGGGACGTCCTCCCGACGTGAAAAGTGCTATATCAAATGCAAGGATTATTATTAAACCCAGATTTATACTTTCCCAATGAATTCTCAAAAATAGTGCAATATAAATGCAAAACAAGTATTGAAGTAAAGCAAAAAGGTAAGACATTCCAGGGAACTAGAGCCTTCCTCCAGTAACCTCCTACCTTCATATACCCCAAATGAAATTTGGATACAAGCATATTAAACTTACCTATACACATTGTTAGACTTATCCAACAACAACAACTTGCGCCCTGCACGCCAGGTGGAGTCCCAGAGTATTTGTATCCTGCAGGTAACTTTTAAAAAACATTAATAGAAGTCTGTTTTCCGGCTCTAGATCTCAGATAAGCTAGGCGGAGGGATAGAGCCAGGGAGGTCCAGAGATTAAGACCAAATGACTGATACAAAAAATAAAAAGAGCAACAGAGCTATTGCTTCGGAGCTCATAGGACAACAGTAAGTGGTTATGCACCTGCAATTTCACCCAGAGTGAACTCTCAATGTCACTCATGCCAAACTACTTTCCACAAACCATCTGAAATTCTCCCTCATCCTGAACTCTTTACTGCTATCTCTAATCTACCCTGGAGCAGTCCTTCCCCAGAAGTTCGTTGAGAAGTGGTCTATGCTGTATGGTATCTCTGAAAGGCCAAGCACTTACTTCCCAGGTGGAGAGATGAAAAATAAATCAATTATGGACAATACTCCCTTCATTTCTATGCCTTGAGATCTATCAGAGATGAAAACATCACTGAGCCAAACTGAAAGTGTTTTAACTTACCCAAACCACATGGGGGCTGTTGAAAAAATTGATGGGAAAATGAACTTGCCAACTGCTAACACTCAGATACAGTGAGGGCAAAATATTAGCATAGAATTACACAGAATGACACAACACAAAAACAGACTATTTGGCTCCACTAGGATGGTGTGGAGGGCCTGTTTCTGAGCAGTTTTACCATCTACGAATCCAAGTCTGTGATGGTGTTTACGCTCCACAGGAGCCTCTATCTTTCATCTTCCCCTCTATTCCCTTCTCCCTCAGACTTGCATCAAGCTTCCTCTTAAACACACTGATTTTTTTTGCCTCAAACAAAGCTTTCAAAAGTGAATAATAGCACATTCTCACCACCCTCTGCTTAAATAAATTCCTAAACTCCCTATTGGATGTGTTGTATTTATGTCTGTGTTGTATTTATGCTGGTTGTTGGTCGATTGGCAGATTGCTTTTTTCGGGGATAATAATACTTCAAAAAAAAACAAGGTCACTCAATCGACGACTGTTTGAGGGACACTGCTGTGCATAATTGGCTGCCATGTTTCACCCACAAAATACACAGTCAATTCACTTTACAGTATATTTTGTGAAGCGCTTTGAGACGTCTCGAAGATGTGATGAGGCTCTATATCAAATGCAAGGATTATTATTTTTTATTATTACTGTCTGTGGTGTATTTATGCCCTCTAGTCTTGTGGAAAATGTAGTGGAATGAGGAAAGGTCATTTAGATAACCAAATTGCTTTTCCATAGACCATCTGAAATTTGCCCCATCTTGGGCTGTACGGGGTGTCCACAAAGTCCTTACCCACATCATCAGCCCTCCCCTCCTCTCCACCCATTACAAAACAGTGATACAAAACTAACAAGGAGCTGAGACAAGATGACAGAGATGCATTTCACCTCACATTGCACTGAACATGGTGACAGATCATTAGGTGCTAGGAAATTGATGGTGCTCACACCGATTCTCTGGACGTCTAAATACAGTTAACAACAACTTGCATTTACATAGTGGCCCTCATACAGGGTAGAGTGCCAGAGCGCTTGACTATGGAGGAGCACGAGTGTCAGCTGGGAGGTGGGTGACCGCAGGCACAGTCGAATAGGAAGGACTTTAGGCACCACCTAAAGATGGGGAAGGAAGGGCCAAGGTGGAGGGATAGAGGAAGAGCGTAAGTGGCTGAAAGTGCGGTCGCCGATGGTGAAATGCAGGGCGCGAGAGACATGCAGTTAAACACTTGTATTCAATAAAATGAAGTCCTTTGTGGAGTCCTGTAGCTCAGTGGTTAGAGCACTCGCTTTGCAAGCGAGAGACCTGAGTTCAATTCCAGGCAGAGGGCGAAACCTTGGGCAAGTTTCCTTACTCCACACGCCTAATAATAATCCCTCCAAAACAAAAAACAATAATAAATTGGTCATTTTCAATCTACGACTGTTTGTGGGACATTACTGTGCGCAATTGGCTGCCGCGTTCGCCCACAATTATACAGTCAATTCACTTTACAGTGTGTTCTGTGAAGCGCTTTGGGACGTCCTCCCGACGTGAAAAGAGCTATATCAAATGCAAGGATTATTATTATTATTATTATTAATCCAGTCATCAGCATCCTTTGCAGGTTTCACTTGTTGCCTGGTGGCTGTAAAAAAAACACACACACACACAGGGGTGGGGGGTGGGGGGGGGGGGGTAACAGGACTTGGTGGACACCCTGTCTGGGGTTATTACCAGTGTAGCTGATGGAGATGAGTGGGGGCGACATGTCGCTGTCAGGTTTGGGAGAGGCTGCTCTGCTCCGCTCTTTCTCTCCAGCCGTCAGCTCCGGCAGCGTGTCCCCGGCCGCTTGTTCACCGTCAGCCATGGTCACAGGGAGGCTCTCGGGGTGGCTCCCCTCCCCTTCTCTCCCCTCCCGGGTTGGCTCCCACCGCCCAGTGCAGCCAACACCTGCTCTGTGTGTGGGAGAGAAACACAGACACACACACACACACAGAGAGACACAGAGAGAGACACACAGAGAGGAACCTGTGAACCACAGATCTGAAACAGTTTATCTGTAGTGTGTGTGTGTGGGGTGTGTGTGTGTGTGGGGATAGTTGCTAAGAAACGGGTAACGTGGTGCAAAAGACCACACAACCCACAGGGGAGGTTGGCATTTTTAGTTTCCCAGCAATGCAGGAACCTGGTTATTGCAGCGACTTTTACACACACAAACACACCACAGACACACAATTAAACCTGTTTGACAATCCTCCCACTTGAGTCTGTAATTCCAGACGATTTTATTGTGTGATAAGCTGCTATAGAAATGTGCTTATTTCTTACAGTGTTCATAATAATAATAATGATGATGGTGATCCTTGCATTTGATAGCGCACCTCATCACGTCGTTGAGACATCTCAAAGCGCTTCACAGAATATACTGTAAACTGAATTGACTGTATATTTTTGTGGGCGAAACGCGGAAGCCAATGGCGCACAGCAGTGTCCCACAAACAGTCGTGGATTGAGCGACCAAATTTTTTTTTACATTTTATTTTTGAAGAGATTATTACCCTCGAAAAAGTGATCTGATAATTGACGAATAACCGGGTTTTAACTAACTGCTAGGTAAACAGAGGCGTGTGGAATAACCCAGGTCCTCTCACTTGTGAGGCACAGTTGTGAGCCATGACCTGCTCTGCCTTCCCTCACCTCCGTAACATCGTCCGACTCCGTCACTTCCTCACCCCTCAGGCCGCTGAAACTCTTGTTCATGCCTTCATCACCTCCAGGCTCGACTATGCTTGTCGGCCTTCCCAACTCCTCCCTCCACAGACTGCAGATAATCCAGAACTCTGCAGCCCGTGTCCTCTGCCGCACAAACTCTGTGATCCCATCTCCCCCACTCTCGCCCGACTACATTGGCTCCCTACCCTTCAAAGGATCCAGTTCAAGATCCTGGTCCTCACATACAAAGCCCTCCAAGGCCTCGCCCCACCCTACCCCTGTGACCTCCTAACCCCCTACCAACCCGCCCACTCGCTCCGCTCAGCCGGCTCAGGCCTGCTCCACGTCCCAAAACCCACCCGCCCCACCATTGGCGGAAGAGCCTTCAGCCACTCTGCCCCCAATCTCTGGAACTCCATCCCCCAGTCACTCTGCCTCGCCCCCTCCTTAGCCTCCTTCAAGTCCCGCCTCAAAATCCTCCTCTTCGACCATTCCATTGGCCACTCCACTTCCCCTCCCTTCTCCCCCCTGACCCCAGCTCGGGTCTGAAATGCTGTACACTGTCTAGCGCCTTGGGACATCCTCCCGACGTGAAAGACGCTATACAAATGTAATCTTGTTGTTGTTGTTGTTGAGGCAAGTGTTCTAACAAATATGCTACAGGACTCCTACCTTGTATTTGTTATGGAGTCTTCATTCTGGGAGGGACAGTTCAAGCGTTTCAGAGGATTTACTCTAAAGTGTAGTAACTGCGTATTTCATTGGTGAATGCGGGAGCCAATTTGTGCACAGCAATGTCCTACAAACAGCCATAATGTGAATGACCAATTTAATCTGCAGGATATACAACCAGGAGAAACTCCCCTCTTCTTTCTGAGTAGAGATTTTTAACATCCATTTGAACAAGCAGACAGGAACTTGGTTTAACGTCTCATTCCGAAAGACATCAACTCCAACAATGCAGTACACCCCAGCAATGGTTTGGAGTAGCCTATGTTTGGAGTAGCCTATTACATTTGTATAGTACCTTGGGACATCTTCCCAATGTGAAAGGTGCTATACAAATGTAAATTCTATTGTATGTATTCTGTACCCCCTATCAAAATGGAAGTACTATATGAAAAGTTTAAGTATTCCCTCCAATATGCTTGTTCTCAATTAAATTACAATATATTTAAATAATTTAGATCAAGCAGATATCCAAGATTGAAATACCAGTTGCACTTGCTTTCAAAGAGCTGAACACAAATAAGTTGAACTTTTTTCACTTAAAAGGGGCTATATTTAAGGGCACAAGCATAATTTGTTCCTTCTTACTTCACATACTCCTAACTATTGAATGGTGGTTTCACCAGTTAGAAATGAGCTTTGCAGCAGCTATTTATTCCCTAGCAAACCAAGACCAAGCAAGGTAGGTAACAAGCCCTGGATATATGGGCATGTATTCACATACCTGGATTCCGGACAATGCCTTCCAGAAACTGTCATCCCAACCCTCAGAGTTTCCTCATTAGCTCAAAGAACATCTGCCTTCAGGATGGTGAAATCACATACATGGAACAGCTTGTGTTTGGACCACCATCTTATGTTCTCGAAGTCTAAGTCCATTGTCAAGCACCAGGTATACTCAACAGCAACTGCTTAATCTAGGTCCTCGTGTGAATTGCTTTCTCGCCATGAAGCCAACTCCACTCGCTTCCAAGATACTGAGCAATAGGTCAATGTAAGCAACAAATGTAAGTTGAAAGGCAGCAAGGATGGTAGAATTATATAAGTCAAAACAGAAAAAAACAGAAAATGATCTTTGTTATAGCCATTCAGGAGCTAGTTTAATGGTTCAGTTTAAGTTTGTACTTCACTGACAGTCACTGACACTGGCAGTATTCAGAGAAAATGTTGTAGTTTAGTATAGTATTGGGAGACGTGAAAGGCGCTATACAAATGTAACTTTGAATTTTGTATTGTATTTTCTGCAGTGCATAATTGAACAGAGATGGCTGTTGCAATCCAATGTGTTTATACTGCCTGTTCAGGTAGATGTTAAAGATCCCATTACACAATTCAAAAAGAGAAGAGAGCTTCTCCGGTGTGTCCTGGCACACAATCCTTAAGGTAAATTGAGCATTCACCTCATGGCTATTTTGGGGCCTTGCCTGCACTGGTAGGTTCTGTATCTGCCTATAAATCAGTTATTAGTGTTTGAGATGATTAAATGTGACAAGGCAACATAAAATTCCAGTTCTTCCTTTGACTATTTAATAGATTCTACATAGTCTGAGGCTACACTCCATTCTCTTTCAGAAGACGGACATACAGAGAGCTGACACAAGATTTTTGTGGTCACTCAATCCACGACTGTTTATAATAATAACCCTTGCATTTGATATAGCTCTTTTTACGTCTTCTAGATATCTCAAAGCGCTTCACAGAATATACTGTAAAGCGAATTGACCGTATACTTGTGGGCGAAACACGGCAGCCAACTGCACACAGCAGTGTCTCATAAACAGTCATGAAATTAAAAATGTCCGATTTATTATTGTTTTGTTTATAGAACACTGCGGTGCACAAACTGGCTGCTGCGATTCACCCACAAAATATACAATCAATTAATTTTACGGTATATTCTGTGAAGCGCTTCGAGAAGTCTCGAAGATGTGATAAGGAGCTATGTCAAATGCAAGGATTATTATTATTATTTAAGCAACAAGTGAATAGGAGGGGGAAGGGATTATTAATCAGACACGGACAGCATCACCATCCGTGGGTGCACACGCCACCTTGCTAAGCCAGTTTTGGAACTTTGACGTCTTATTTGACCCTCAGCTATTCTTTCTACACCACATCTGGACCATGACCTCCTCTGCCTTTCCCACCTCCGCAACATCGCCCGACTCAAGGCTGGACTATGCAAACTCATTGCTTGTCGGTCTCCCCGACTCCTCCCTCCACAGGCTGCAGATCATCCAGAACTCTGCAGCCTGTGTCCTCTCCCGCAACAGACTCTGTGTCCCTCTCACCCCCATCCTCACCCGACTCCACCAGCTTCCCATCACACAGAGGATACAAGTTCAAGATCCTGGCCCTCACCTTCAAAGCCCTCCACGGCCTTGCTCCCCCCTACCTCTGCGACCTCCTAACCGCCACCAACCTACTCGCTCCCTGCGCTCAGCGGGCTCCGGGCTGCTCCGGGCTGCTTCACGTCCCCCGCCTCGCCCGCCCCACCATTGGTGGGTGGGTGGGCCTTCTGCCACTCTGCCCCCACCCTCGGGAACTCCCTCCCCCACCTCCTGCAAGACCCACCTCAAGACCCTCCTCTTCGACTGTGCTTTCGTTCACCCCGCCCCCCCCCCCCACCCCCCCCGACCCCCGCCCCCGCCCCCCCCCCCCAGCTCGGGTCCAAAACTCTGACTGTCCAGCGCCTGGAAAGGGCTCTGAACGAATGCCATTCGTTGTGGTGGTGGTTGTTGTTGTGACGACGCGTCTCCTTGACAACCACTCGCCTCCACGCGCTGCGTCGTCACTTCCTGGATACGCGCTGCTCGGCGGCCACTTCCGGTTTGTGTGAGGTAGTGGGGGGGAGCCGCCATTTGCCGGGGTTCAGCCTGAGAGTCAGCCCCAGGGGCCGGACTGCCTGTGACCCCCCCCCCCCCCCCCCCCGGGCGGCAGATGGCGGAGGAGAACCGGCGAGGCGATGAGGGTGACCGGGGGCCCGGCGCCGTCCACAACATGTTCGTCATCATGGAGGATCTGCTGGATAAGTTGAAGCTGATGGACTACGAGGCCGATTTTCTCAGGAAGAACAACATGAAGACTCTGTGCAGGTCAGAGCCCGGCTCGGGGGGTTGGGTTGGTGGGGGGGGTTCTCGCTGTGGGCATCGTGTAAAGATTCAGGGCATGTAAACTGGCATTACTGAAACCACAACCCACAGACACAGCTGAAACCCTCCCCCACACCCTGGTCACTTCCCGGCTGGACTGCTCCAATGCCCCCCTCCTGGTCTCTCCAGCTCCACTGTACACAAACTACACTTAATTCAAAACTCCGCCGCCCGGATACTCGCCCACGCGAAACTCCATCCCCCCCATCACACCAGTCCTTGCCAGGCTCCACTGGCTCCCAATCACCGAACGGATCGACTTCAAGATCCTCACACTTGTTTTCCAATCATTTACTTCCCTCGCACCTCCCTACCTGTCCGATCTGCTTTCCCCGATTCCACCACCTGCTGCCTCCGGCTTCCTATTTGTCCCTTGTACCCTCCTTTCCACCGTTGGCGGCCGTGTCTTCACCCACTACACCCCAAAACTCTGGAACTCTCCCCCTCCCTCACTCTGCCTTGCTCCCTCCCTCCCCACCTTCAAATCCTGCCTGAAGATCTTCCCTAAAGATCTTCCTTTTTGATCGTGTTTACGGTCCTCCCTCGCCTCATTGTCAGACTCCGCCACTGTGAAGCGCTCCGGGACGCTACCCAGTGTGAAGGGCGCTCTATAAATGCTGTTGTTGTAACGCCTTGGAAAGTCCTCCCAACATGAAAGGCGCTATACAAATGTAATCTTGTGGTTGTAAAATAATCATAATCCTTGCATTTGATAAAGCACTTCAGAAGAATGTCTTAAAGCGCTTCACGGACTTTACTATGACATGTAGAGACTCTATATTTTGTAGGCAGCACAATTGTGCTCAACAATGTCCTGCAAAAAGCTATGAAGTGAATGACCAATTTTAACTGGGGGGTTGTTGGCCAGGACACTGGGAGAAACTCCCTTCTGTTAAACAGTGCTATTGGATCTTTAATGTCCACCCAAATAGGCAGACAAGACCTGCCTGTTTTAAGTCTTATCCAAAGTCACGTGGACTATGAGATTTGCACCACAATATCCAGCCATTTTCATGGTGAATGACCCCAGTAGCATTCCTCCCAAAATATTATGACTTCTAAGCTTTGTTTGTTTTTCTTTGATATTGTGATTATTCTGGGCAGCTGATCATGGATTCGAAAGCAAAGTTGTTTTTAGCATTTGGCTCCTGGTCGGTCCACTGGGTCAGTCACTCACTCAGGATCGGTCGATAACTTGAGTAAAACTTTGAAACAAAAGTCAATGTAGTTTCATCAAACTGAAACTACGCTGATGAGACCTGCCAAGTAAAGCCTCACAAATCCGCAGCCAGCCCTTACTGATGGTTGACCTCCTATCTGGCTCATCAGTAAGACTTGTAGGTACATTCCTATCTTGAAAACTGCTAGCCAAGGACTCAATAGTTAATGAAACCCTAGTTGCCATCCAGCTTGTTTTTTTTGTTGTTGAAGATTGAACCATAATGCTTGATGACACCTCGTGAGAGAATGCAGTTTCATTTTCCACTCTATACATCAATCCTGATCTAAATAGACCCTCCTGAATGAGGAAAGAAGGTTGTGTAAACTTGGAGAAGAAGAGATAGATGGGTGCTGACTATTCTCAAAACTAAAATGTTTCATAACGGGTTGAAACATTTTTTAATCTTATAGTGGAACCTTCACATTCTGACCTCAAACCTTGCTTCATTCACTAACTTCCTCTTACATCAAGAAGGTTGTTTGGATGATTTGTCCCAGAAAGATCTAAATTCCTAATTCCTTAATCTGCGAGTTCCAAAGATTTACATATCATTACACCTTGAATGAATCGCAGAATATATAATGATTTGGAATTTCATCATTGTCTGCTACCATAATAAATCAATTAAAATTAAGATTTGGGAAAGGGAAATCAAGTTGATGGGGCCCCTGCAGTCTTCACTTTAAATAGATCCTTATCAATGATACTGGTCGACGTTTTAGAAGTGAGCAACATAAACTATAAGCACTGATAATATATTGTGTTTATTTCAACAGACATTACTTTGCTCTCCCTACCAACCCAGGTGAGCAGTTCTACATGTTCACATCTCTTGCTGCTTGGCTGATAAACAGAACAGGATGCTACTTTGAACAACCTCAGGAATATGACGATCCCAATGCAACAATATCAGATATTTTAACACAACTCCGAGCATTGGCAAGTATTAGAACACTAAATTAGGTGGGGCGAGGAATGAATTTTGGTTAATCATGGTCGTGGATGAATACTTTCTATTAGAGCATTAAAACTAAAATTTACAAAGCATATGATTACTGCATGACCCTTGACAGGTGATACATGTGAATTGAACAGTACATCCTGACGGAATCGTGATTCCCATCTGCAGGAACCTTATTTCTACGTTGACCGTTTTAGTGGTGCTATGTTCTCACCGTCTTAAAAAGCCTACAATAAAAAAATTGCTCAATTTCCTTTTTAAAAGAAGATCCAATTGCAAAAATAGCCTAGGAGTAAACTGTTGTGGATAAGACGGAAGCCATACTCCTTGGCTCTCGTTAACGTCTTCACTCCTGTGGATCTAAACTTCTCAACCTCTCTGGGCTCTCCCTCAGACTCACCGAACCAGACCACCTTCTTCCACCTCCGCTACATTGCCCGCCTCGACCGTACCTTACCCCAAATGCAGCCGAAACCCTGGTGCATACATTTGCCACCTCCCGCTTGGATTATCAAACGCACTTCTCGCTGGTCTCCCCTACCCCACCATCAGAGGTCGTGCTTTCAGACGACCACTATGCCCCGAAACTCTGGAACATTCTCCCTCAATCCCTCCACCTTGCCCTATCTCTCCCTTTTTACAAGTCCCGCCTGAAAACCTTCCTCTTTAATAGTGCTTACGGCCACCTCCCCCCGACTCGGAGTCAGGCCCCACCACTGTTAAATGCTCCAAGACGCTAACCTGCGTGGAGGACGCAAAAGTGCAAGTTGTTGTTGTATAATCTCAAACATGACTGTAAAACTGGTAAAATAACCACATTTATTTTATTATTAATATCATTCTAAATTTTGTTATTACTATCATACCAAATTATTAGTAGAGCTAATTTAGTGCTTAAAAGCAATCATTTTGCCCCCCCCAAAATACTGTCACTACGCTTTACAGTAAATTCTGTGAAGCGCGTTGAGTTATCTTGAAGATGTGATAAGGCTCTACATCAAATATAAGGATTATTGTTATCTGTATTTGTTATGAAATCGCAGTATTTATAATTTAAATTAACACCCGGATTGTCTAATACAATCCGGGTGTTAATTTCTAATTGTCTAATAGATTTGAAATCTTTGTGCTTCATTGATTTTCAATCCATTATTTTAGGGTGGCTCAGTAGATTTCCCTCCCTCGAAACTGAAACAAGGTTATGGGGAACAGGTCTGCTATGTCCTGGATCGCTTAGCTGAAGAGGCCCTGAAACGTACTGGTTTTAGTTGGAAGAGGTAAGACAAAGTGGCAGAGATCTTTCTGGAACAGCATAGAATAATGCCACATTGCTGTCGCATTTGGTGATTTGAATTGGCATTTTATACCACGGTATAAATTAATAGAATTACATAGAAGTTTACAGCACAGAAACTATGTTGTGTTTGTACTCCACATAAGCCTTCACCCCTCATAATACCCAGGTCTACATTCCCTTCTCCCTCATATATGCATCAATATTCCTCTTAAATACTTTGATGCTTTTTGCTTTAACCACAGTATCTGCCTTTGAGTTTTACATTTTCATCACCCTCGGTGGAAAGACATTTTTTCTTAAACTCTCTATTAGATCAGCTAATTTTCAGGTTTTCAAATATTTTTTAAAACTCTGTAGTGTTGAGGAAGAATGGTCACAAACAGTTAATAAGATCAATAGTTTTTATTTTAAAAATTTTGAATGGGTAAAATGGTCCCATTCGTTGCACTATTGCCCCCCTGAACTGCAGTCATTTGTGATTTGGAGAAATATTTCCTTTGGTATGTAATATTAAGCACTATTAGACTTCCTCCCAACACAAAAAGTGCCATATATATATAAATTGTAATGTATAGTGTCCAGCATTATTCTGTTTTAAAGTGATCTAATAGAAGTTTCAAAACTTTTGAAACAACAACAAGAAGATTACATTTGTATAGCACCTTTCTAATTGGGAGGACGTCCCAAGGCGCTGGACAGTGTACAGCATTTCAGAAATAAAAAGCGTAAAGAATGGAAATAATTTCTATTAATACATGAATTAGCAACAAAAGACCATAAACTTGAGATTATTACTAGAAACTGTAAGAATTTTTCTTTACACCTAGTGCTATTAGGATATGATTTCATTACCTTGAGTGGTTATTGAAGCAGTCAATTATGAGATTTAAGGTGAAGTCAGATAAACACGTGAAGGTTAACAATATAAAAGAGTATTGGAAATTGGCCCAGAATAGATATTTTCGATGTAGTGAGTACAGCACAGATCCAATAGACCAAACGGGCTTCCTATGCCAAAATATCTGCATTAAAATTTGTTCTGTTAAATTGGTAGGACATGATTCCAATGTTACTACTGAAACAGTGAGGGGGTGGAAGTAAGGTGAATTTTGTGTGGCCTGTGGAAAGTACAAGTTTGATGGTCCAGATGTTTCCATCATAAAATAAATATTGCATGGAAATTGGAGTAAAGTGCGTGTTTGGGATATTTGAGAATGGAGTTCTGTATTTAATTTGCAGCTGTGTTTTATAGACCTGTGTATCCAGCAGAGGAGATGGAAGAGGAAGCAATAATGGAGGATGATTCTGAATTGACTTTGAACAAGCTGGAGGATGAACTTGTTGTAAGTCCAAATGAATGATTTCTACACTTTCTCGTCATCTTTATTTAACTCTGCTTTTCCAAAAGATTACCACCCAATGTTTTCTACTAACAAAGCATTATAAGAAGTATTATTTTACTCAAAGACCTGAAAAGTGATGAAAACATAAATTCTGAAACTGAAGAAAGAAAAAGAGAAAATTGTCTAAAGCGCAAAGTAAAATGCAGACAACAATAACAAATCACATTTATATAACGGCTTTCATATCAGAAGCCGCTGGACAATAAAGGGTTTTCACCCGAGCTGGGGGTTGGATTTAGTAGGGGTGTGGTCCAAGGTGAGGTAAGAAGATGACTGAATGTGCGGTTAAAGGGGAAGGTTTTGAGATGGACCCCGAAGAAGGAAAGGAGTGAGGGGAAGAGACTCTGGGATTGATTGTGGAGTCCTGCAGTGGTTAGAGCGCTCGCCTTGCAAGCGAGAGACCTGGGTTCGATTCCAGGTAGGGTGAAATGTTGAGCAAGTTTCCTTACTCCATACGCCTCTGTTTACCTAGCAGTAAGTAGGAACCCGGTTGTTAGTCGATTGGCAGATCACTTTTCCAGGGGTAATAATTCCTTAAAAAAAATTGGTCACTTCGATCCATGACTGTTTGGGGGTCACTGCTGTGCGTAATTGGCCGCCCTCGCATTTTGCCCACAAAATATACAGTTAATTCACTTTACTGCACATTCTGTGAAGCGCTTTGAGACATCTCGAAGACATGATAAGACCTATATCAAATGCAAGGATTATTATTGTTTATTGTAATTCCAGAGAATGGAGGCAGATAGGCTGAAAGCCTGATTGCCGATGGAGCAGGTAGTGCAGGGGATATGAAGCAGGCCCATACCCGCCTAGCTGAGGGAGCGGGTGGGTTGGTAGGGTTTCAGATCGCAGAAGTAAGGTTGGGCATGACTGTGAGTCCAGCATCTTGAGACGTCCTCCCGACGTGAAGGGCACAATACAAATGTAATTTTGTATTGTATCTATTAAATCAACCTTGGTGCTGGCAAGTGTGGAATAATATTATTTAAGAGTTTTAACAATCTGTGTAAGCGTTACGAATGAGATAAGTTGTATTTATAGAGTTTATGGATTTTATGGCAAACAAGTATATTGAAATTCTTTCTTGTATGTTAATATATTTCTTTCCAAATATTACCTAACTTTACAATCATACTAGTGTATCAAGTATATTGAAGTTCTTTCTTGTATGTTAAAATATTTCTTTCCAGATACTACCTAACTTTGCAATCATACTAGTGTATCAAGCGTTGATGGTAATCTGAGCAAATGCAAATTGCCAAAAAAAACCAAGATAAATGTAATTTCCTTATTGCCTCCTTTTCTTTACAATCATGAAACAAAACTATTTGTAAATGAGATTTATTGTTAACTATTTGTCTAAAACTGTCTTCAGGAAGAAGCTGAGGACTGTGAGGAGGGCGAGCCCTTTCTTGATCTAGAGGTTTTGAAAGCCCAGGGACAGAAAATGGTGAGTCATTTCCCACATCTTAAGCGCATAGGAAAATTCTGAGGTCCCATCTGCCTGTTTAGATGGATGTTCACTATTCAAAAAGAGGAGTTTCTCCCGGTGCCCTGGCTAACAACCCCACAAATAAAATTGGTCACTCACTTCATGGATGTTTGTGGGACATAGCTGTGCAAAAAATGGCTGCTGAATTTCCCTACAAAATACACAGTCACTACACTTTATAGTGAATAATGTGAAGCAATTTGAGACATCCTCCCAGCATGAACGGCACAATATCAAATGCAAGGATTATCCTATTATCCCATCCTCGCCATCTCCACTGGCTCCCCATCCTCCCTGAGGATTGAGTTTAAGATCCTCGGGCTCACCTCCGTGGTCTTGCCCCTCCCTACCTCTACAACCTGCTAAAACCCTACTAAACTGCTTACTCCATCTGCTCGGTCGGCACTTTCGGTGATCCCCACCCTCTGGAACTCTATTCTGGAATACCTTTGCCTTGACCCTCCGTTGCCTCCTTCAAGGCCCTTCTTAAAACCTTCCTCTTTGACCAGGTCTTAGGTCATCCTCCTATCCACTTGCCTTCTACTCCTTTTGATTCCAACCCTCAGCTCGGATGCAAATGCTTGGCTGTTCAGCACTTTGGGACATCATCCCGACGTGAAAGGCGTGATATAATTGCAATTTGTTGTATTATTTATTGTGTTAGTTATTAATGAAAGATAGATTGGGGTGGCATGATATAGCTTCAATATATGAATATTTCCTGGGGTGAAATGGATACAACTATCAACAAAGATTAGCTTAGAGCTTTTTTTCTGGAGATGAGTTGATTGAGAGAGGACCTGATCGAGATGTTTAAAATTATGAAAGGATTTGATAACGTGCATTTTAATAGACTGTTTCCAGTTGTTGATGAGGCCAAATAAGAACATAAGAAATGCTAGACGAAAAAAGACCAAGGTCCATTTAGTTCACCTTCCACCTTCCTGGCGATCGCATGCACGTATGTCCCGAACTACCTATGTACTATATCCCACAATGTTCTTTACTATAAGCAAACTATCTAATCTTTGTTTGAAAGAATCAACTCTTCCTGCTTCAACTGTTTCAATCTTCTCTTTTCCAGCATGAACATGCCCAGTTCACTTAGTCCCTCCTCATAGTCCAGTCCCTCCATTCCCTCAATCATTTTGGTTGCCCTCCTCTGTATTTTCTCAATTTCTCCAATATCCTTTTTGTACTGCGGCGACTAGAACTGTACACAGTATTCTAAAAGTATGGTCTCACCAATGATTTGTACAGTGGCAGGATTACCCCACTGTTTTGAGTTGCTATTGATCTTTTGATACATCCCAATATTGGTTTGCTTTACGCTCTGCAACAGAGCATTGTTGGGAGAGCTTCAATTTATTGTCAATCAGGACCCCTAGGTCCTTTTCATTTTCCATAAATATTATTTTCCTTCCATTCAAATAATAGTCCCTTACAGGATTTTTTGTCCGCATGTGAAGTATTTTACATTTCTCCACATTGAATTTCATCTGCAACCGATCTGCCCAATTCTCAAGTATGCTCAAATCCTCCTGTGACCTATCTTGTTCAACTTCATAATCTACCACCTTCATTAGCTTGGTGTCATCTGCAAAGTTAGCCACTGTGCTTGCGACTCCTAGTTTCAGATCATTTATAAAAATATTAAACAAAAGAGGTGCCAAAACACACCCTTGTGGAACTTCACTGGTAACTTTGTCCCAGGCTGATGACATTCCCTGTCTCTGGGTTCTTCGGATCAACCAATTGCATATCCATTGTAATATACCTCCACTGATTCCCGCTTTCTTTACTTTCAGTACCAGCCTCTTAATAGGAACTGTATCAAAGACCTTACTGAAATCCAGATATATAACATCCACAGCCTTATCCTTACTAAGCTCCCTTGTCACACCATCAAAGAAAACCAGTAAATTAGATTGGCAAAACCTCCCCTTCATGAACTCATATTGGCTATCATTTATGATTTTATTTCTGTCCAGATGCTCCATGATTTTATTCTTCATAAGAGTCTCCATAATTTTACCCACAATGGACATCAAACTTACTGGTCTGCAATTTCCTGGATTACTCTTGTTACCTTTCTTAAAAATAGGAGTAACATCTGCCTTTCTCCAGTCCCCCGTCACCTCTCCAGTGATTTTTGAAAGATTTGTGCCAGCGTTTCTGTGACTTCCCCCCTTAGTTTGTACAGTTGTTTGGGAACCATGTTGGTAGTGATATGAATTGTGTCGCAACTTTTCTCTGTGATATCCTTGAGTTCTCTTTCCGGATAGGTTACACATCTACAACACCAGCAACTTGCACTTATATAGGGCTCTCCACGTAGGTTAGCATCTCAGAGTGCTTAACAGTGGCAGAGCCTGACTCCGAGCCGAGGGGAGGGGGGAGGTGGCCTGGCCGTAAGCACGGTCACATTGGAAAGTTTAGGCGGGACTTGAAAGAGGGGAGTGAGGGGGCAAGACGGAGGGATTGAGGGAGTATTCCAGAGTTTTGGGGCGCAGTGGCTGAAAGCACGACCTCCGATGGTGGAGCAGAGGGTGCGAGAGACGAGCAGGATGCCGGTGCCAGTCGTGCGGAGGTCCCGGGTGGTGGATTGAGGAGTGAGGAGGTTAGAGAGATAGTGAGGTACCCGAGAGTGAATGGATTTGAACACGAGAGTGAGGATCTTGAAGTCGAAATGAGGGAACGTAACTATAAGATGGGTAATAGCAGATCTAAAAGTGAATTTAGGAGGAACCTATTTACCCAAATGGTGGTGAGAATGCAGCATTCACTGACGGCAGCTTTGGTTGAAGTGAAAGGCATCAATGTATTTAAGAGGAAATGACAATACACAAGGGAGAAGGGAATACAGCGATATAGGAATGGCTAATAGGAGAGGTGGCGGCTTGTTGTGGATTATAAACACAGGCACAGATTATCTGGGCCGAATGGCCTGTTTTCATTCCTTATCATTCTGTGTAAATGTATGTAAAAACATTCATCAGATGAAAAATAGGTTTGCACATTGTAGTGTGAATTTTTGAATTTTTGTTATAGGGATTCATTGAATGATGAACAGCGGAAGATTTCTCTCTCCGTCCCCTCCCCCAGGAGGGAGTAAAGATCAGTTAGAATATTTCCTAAAATATGCTCTGGCAGAGAACTAGATATTTGGCCTGTATGCTTATTGTTTACTGCTGAGAAAGTCAACATTTGTCTCAATATACTGTATTTGAATGTTTATATAGGATGGATTGGAGTCTTCAAAGCCAGAAGACATTTTAGAATCCAAAACTGATGTTGGAGAGTGGAACCTGGAGGTGGAACGAGTTCTCCCACAGCTTAAAGTTACCATCCGGACTGACAACAAGGTATGTTTGAATTTCAGCTTTCAGTGCTGAGCTCTGGATCTGAATCTGGGTTTACCACTAGAATAGATTTACATTGTTTGCCTGGGTTACCACTAGGATTAGTGTTTCCAGTTTCATGAAGCTTCTCATTGTTGGCAGCTGGACTGAAACTAAAGAAAGTAACTGTCCAAACTCCTGTGAGATCACTTTTCAGGCATCACTTTTTTTCCCTTAAGTGAACAGTTAGTGGGTTGTTGAGACAGTACGAGGGTTTGCATGTCTTCACAGATGTAGTTTCTGAGGATAAGACAATGTCTATGCATGAAAGGATCAGCGTAGGAGTTAATTGACGGTCTTCCTTGGAGAGGTTATAAGGACAACCTGTGAGAAAACATAAAAAGAACTATGCTAATACAAAGTGGGCTGTTTATTCTGAAGACATAGTACAGGCCTTTATTCTGCTTAAAGACCTAGGTCCTACGTAGCTAGTAGTAGATCAAATCGGGACTTCAGGAGAAACTTGTGCATGCATAGAATGGTGAGAATACATAGCCCAAAGATGTAGTGGAAGCAAATAGCATTGATGTATTTAAGAAAAAACAATATCTGTACGTACTTGAAAGAGAAGAGAATAGAGGGGTTTAGGTGAGGGGACTAGGATGGGTGGGGGCTGCAGTGGAGTATACATTAGAATACATTAGAATATACAGCACAGAAACAGGCCATTTGGCCCAATTGGTCTATGCCGGTGTTTATGCTCCACATGAGCCTCCTCCTGCCCTTCCTCAACTAAGCCTTCAAGCATAACCTTCTATTCCTTTCTCTCTCATGTACCTATTCCAGCTTTCCCTTAAATACATCTATGCTATTTGCCTCAACAACTCCTTGTGGTGGCATGTTCCGCATTCCCACTACTCTGTGTAAAGAATTTTTTTCTAACTTCCCTATTGATCTATTTATGACTATTTTATATTGATGGCCCCTGGTTTTGGTCTCCCCCACAAGTGGAAACATCTTCCCAAAGGCCATAAACCTTTCATAATTTTAAAGACCTCTATCGGGTCACCTCTTGCCCTCCTCTTTTCAAGAGAAAAGCATCCAAGCATGTTCAGCCTTTCCTGATAGGTATAACCTCTATCCTTGTGAATCTCCTTTGCACCCTCTCCAGTGCCTCTACATCCCTTCTATAATGTGGAGACCAGAACTGCACACAGTATTCTACTTGGTCTAACCAAGGTTCAATAGAAGTTTACCATAACTTCCCTGCTTTTCATTTCTATTCCTCTTGAAATGAACCCCACTGCCTGGTTTGCTTTTTTATTGCCTTATTAACCTGGGTTGCTACTTTTAGTGGATTGTGTATGTGTACCCCTAGGTCCCTTTGCTCCTCTACCCCATTTAGGTTTTTATTTTCCAGTATAAAGAATGGCATGGACTAGTTGAGCCAAATGCCCTGTTTCCATTATATTATTCTATTTACCTATATCTGCCACTGAAACTAGAATAAGTCTAATTAACAACAACAACAACAAGATTCCATTTATAAAGCGCCTTTCACGTCAGGAGGACGTCCCAAGGCGCTGCACAGTTGGGTCATGACCCGAGCAGGGGGGAAATGGTCAGGGTGAGGGGAGGGAGCGAGGAGGGGGGAAATGGTCAGGGTGAGGGGAGGGAGGGGAGGGAGCGAGAAGGGGGAAGAGAGTCGAGAGGGGAGCTGAAGGCTCGGTCAAAGAGAAAGGTTTTGAGACCGGCCTTGAAGGAGGAAAGGGAGGAAGCGGCGAAGGCACTGGGGGATAGAGTTCCAGAGCCTCGGGGCTGAGAGGCTGAAGGCCCGACCACCATTGGATAGTTCTATAACAGAGTGTCATTATAGACCAGAGAATAAAATAAAGCATATTGATTGTGAAAACCTTTATAAAATAAATATTTTTGCATATGCAGAAAAATAAATGTAAACTCATGATCCGGTAAAAATAGGTCTTCAGTGGAAAAAATATTTTGATCTTCAAAAAATACATATTTTTATTAGCTCAATATACCAAAAATATACACCTTGCACTAGAAATATCTGTTTTGAGAAGTCCTATAAGACAGAAATGGTCCCATGTCTTCATTTGTTTGTTCTCATTAAGTTGTGCAGTTACTAATTACTCCCCTACACAGAAGTATTGACTTGTGCACAGTGAGGATTAACATCCCTTTATAGTTTGGTATTATTCTGGTTCCCTTGACAATCTCTTTGCTATTACAGATTCAGAAGCTGTTTAGATTAGTAAACAGTAAAGTACCTGACTAAGAAAACCCACAGAGATAAACTGTATTGTACCGGCTATAAATATCAAACTGTAATGTGCATTACATAGAAATGAGAACATTTCATTTTATGACTGGTTCTGACTTTTAATAATCAAAGGGTCAATTGTTTGAGGTTTTGCATATTTGTAAAGCATTTGAAGTTCCATTCCTTAAGAATGTGGTTGACTTAATATTGCATGCAACGTAAATATTTAGAAAATATTGCCAGGCAATTGTGAACAGTGGCAGGCATGTATCTTACAGAAGGTAAATGAAAGATCTCTTTGGTTATGCAAGTAATATTTTATACCATTGACAGAAAAGGAAATGTGTTCAAATACTCTCATGGCTTTGAATAAAACAAATTTATCAATTAAACCAGAAAACAACCCTGGAAAAGATCTTCTTTTTGTTTCACCACTCATTGTTATCAGCAGCTTCTGGATCTGCTTGATTTTCGGATGCTTAATTTGAAATCTGTAACAATTCACCTTTTAATTATGAAATTAAGTCATGTCAGAAATTCAGTGAATCCTAAAACCAGTGTGTTTTTTTTATTCGGTCTACTCCACTTATACATTTCAATATTTATTTATTGATCTGGTTTATTACCCATGACGATTCTTTAAGCACTACGTCTCTGCCCTTTGGAACTATTCCAGAACACTTTGCTTTGCTGCCTATCTCTACAGCTGTTCCTTTCATCACATTTATATAAACCTCTTGTTGGTTGTTGTCCCCCAGTCTATGTGCCAAGTGCTTGGAGACATTCCTTTACATGAAGTTTACTGTATAAGGTGTCAGTCTGGCTGAGTTGATAAACCTTTGCTGAGTCAGAATGTTGTGGGTTGAAACCTCAAGTCAGGACATGAACTTACATAGACTAGGCTGACACTCCAATATAGTGTTAGGGAATAATGCATTGTCGCAGGTGCCATGTTTCAGATGAGATGTTAAACCGAGGTTCTGTTTGCCTGTTGAGGTGAGCCCATAGCACTACAGGTCAACAATCCCCCAATTAGTCTTGCAGCTTAGTGGTTAGAGCACTCGCCTTGCAAGCGAGAGAACCTGAGTTTGATTCCCAGGCAGAGGGCGAAACAACAACAACAAGATTTCATTTATAGAGCGCCTTTCACTCGGGAGGACGTCCCAAGGCGCTGGACAGCATACAGTTATTTCAGACCCGAGCTAGGGGGGGAGAAGGGAGGGGAAGGAGATAGCATGGTCGAAGAGGAGGGTCTTGAGGCGGAACTTGAAGGAGACTAAGGAGGGGGCGAGGCGGAGTGACTGGGGGATGGAATTCCAGAGGTTGGGGGCAGAGTGGCCGAACGTTCTGCCGCCAGTGCTGGGGCGGGTGAGTCAGGGGATGTGGAGCAGGCCGGAGCCGGCTGAGCGGAGGGAATGGGCGGGTTGGTAGGGGGTTAGGAGGTCGCAGAGGTAGGGTGGGGCGAGGCCATGGAGGGCTTTGTATGTGAGGACCAGGATCTTGAACTGGATCCTCTGAAGGATCGGGAGCCAATGGAGTCGGGCGAGAATGGGGAAGATGGGGTCACGGAGTTTGGTGCGGGAGAGGACACGGGCTGCAGAGTTCTGGATTATCTGCAGCCTGTGGAGGGAGGAGTTGGGAAGGCTGACAAGCAGTGAGTTTGCATAGTCGAGCCTGGAGGTGATGAAGGCATGAACAAGAGTTTCAGCGGCCTGAGGGGTGAGGTAGTGGTGGAGTCTGGCGATATTACGGAGGTGAGGGAAGGCAGAGCGGGTCATGGCTTGGATGTGGGGAAGAAAAGACACTTGAGGGTCGAACAAGACACCGAGGTTCCTGACTGGCGGTGAGTTGTAGTGTGCAACCGTGGAGGTTAACGTTGCCAGAGCCTGAGGTGCTGAGGCGCTGGCGCGAACCAATCAGAAGGGCCTCAGTCTTGTTCACATTCAACTGTAGGAAATTTGCCTTCATCCAGGACATGATGTCCGACAGGCAGTCTGTCAGGACAGCAGTGGTCCTGGAGTTGAGGGTGGAGGCAGAAAGATAGAGTTGGGTGTCATCTGCATACGTGTGGAAGTTGACCCCATGTCTGCGGATGATGTCACCAAGGGGGAGCATGTAGATATTAAAGAGGAGAGGGCCAAGGACAGAGCCCTGGGGGACGCCAGATGTGACAGTCCGGGGGCTGGAGGAGAAACTGTGAGAGGTAACAAAGTGGATATGGTGAGAGAGATAGGAATCGAACCGGGCAAGGGCAGGTCCATGAAGATTGAGTAAAGCGGAGAGGCGGTGTATGAGGATGGAGTGGTCGACAGTGTCGAAGGCGGCAGAGAGGTCGAGGAGGACAAGGAGGCAGAGGGAGCCCTGATCACAGATGCTCAGAATGTCATTAGTGAGTTTGACCCGGGCTGTTTCCGGTTAAGGGAAAAGAAGAGGGAGGAGAATAATAATAATAATATAGAAGTTGGCAGAGACAGAAGAAGCGCAGCAGGGGGTGAAGTGGAGGTTGAAGTCACGTAAGATAAGGAGGTGTTCAGAGCAGAGGGAAAGGGAAGATAGGAGGGTGGAGATGTCCGAGAGGAAGGTGGGGGAAGGCTTGGGGGGACAAGGAGGATTTTGAGGGAAAGCCTGGAGGGGTGGTAAAAGGTAAGGTGTTCAAAGGAGGGGAAGGTTCCGGAGGAGTAAGGGGAAAGGCCGAGTGGGGACCGGGAGATGAGAGCCACACCGTCGCCACGTTAGGTGAAAGGTGTAACCTGGAGGTGTGGCCTCAACTAGTGGGAAGGTGTCCCCTGAACATCCAAGCTCATCCAAGTCCTGGATGAGAGCTAACTTTCTACAGTTGAATGTCAGCAAGACCGAGGCCCTCCCACACCTCAGGCACTGGCAGCATTAGAATCCACAGATGCACACTCCACCTCACCAAGCCAGTCAGGAACCTGGGCATCTTGTTCGACCCTCAACTGTCCTTTTCCGCCCCCACATCCGTGCCATGACCCACTCTGGCTTCCCCCACCTCCACAACATTGCCCGACTCTGCCACTGCCTCACCCCTCATGCCAGTGAAACCCACATACATGCCTTCATTATATCTAGGCTCAACTATGCCAACTCCCTGCTTGTTGGCTTTCCGAACACTTCCCTCCACAAGCTACAGATCATCCAGAACTCAGCAGCTCATGTTCTTTCCTGCACCAGGCTCCGTGACCCCATCACACCCACCCAACCTCGCCCGGCTCCACTGGCTCCCCATCCCTCAGAGGATCGAGTTCAAAATCCTCATTTTCACCTTCAAGGCCCTTCATGGCCTTGCCCCCTCCGAATCTCTCCGACCTGCTAAATCCTTATCAACCTGTTCACTCCCTCCGTTGTCTCCTTCAAGGCACGCTTCATGAACCTCCTCTTCGACCGTGCCTTCGGCCACACTCTCTGCCCTCCACCCTCCCTAATCCCTGATTGTTCAGCTCCTTGGGAAGTCCTTCCAACATGAAAGGTGCTTTACAAATGTAATATTGTATTGTATGATTTGCCAATGAGAGCACTGCAATGGCAAGTCATACAATACAAAATTAGCAAGCTTCCTGCTACTTATCCAGATAGGATCACTTTACGCATTAGTTGGCTTGCAGGAGCTAAATGGGAACAGTCCCTGCCCCCCAGTAACTGAACTATGCCCCCCATGCCAATTGTATGAGCAATACTAGCTGATTTGTTATCAGCAGTACCTTGGAGTAAAGCTTGAAATGCTCAAATTAGAGTCTGAATTGGTGATTTGTGTCTGCACACTGAAAGTTCAACCAGTTATCTTTTTCTGTTTTAGGAGAAATGTTGACACCTCCCCTGGAATGAAATTATTTTCACAATCTGGGCAATGCCACTTTAGAGGATAACAATTTAAATTGTAATTCCACATCTTAACCACTCTGTGGTGTAGGATACTGATTGCAAGTATTTTTCTACCTGATCCAGCAACTGTATGGCACTTCTGTTACCAAGTGTTACCTGCTATTTGTGAATAGATTACCATCTGTAAAACACTTAAGCCTTTATAATAATCTTTAATTTCATGTAGCTCCTTATCACATTGTCGAGATATTGCAAAGTGCTCGCGGTGAAGTGTAGTGACTGTATTTGTAGGTGATATTTTCTCCAGCTTTCTGATCCTAGATTCTCTTAAAGATCCAGAACTTGACAGTTGTTACAGCTTCTAATTATTTACATTCATCTCAAGTGTTTTTTGGGAAGTTTGCCATCACTAACTCTGAAAGCACGAGCAATGATTAAAAAAAACAGTTAAACATTGAGCGGACATTAACAGGATACAGAAAAATAGAGTAAATGAGCAACCAGATGCCTTTTAGGACTTGCTGAACTGATATAACAAATACAGAAGTGTGCTTGGAATATCATCCTAACTTGTCAGATCATTTGGTAAAACATGTATCACCTAAAAAAACAGTGTAAACTGGTAGGCGGGTCTATAGGGATGGTGGTCATGAATTACAAAGATGGTTGCTGAGCTGATTTGTTAAAATTTTTAATGTTCACTTTAGATCTTGGATTGGGGCCTTTCAATGCCATGTTACAGAATAGCGATTAAAATAAAACAATATCTGTTAAATCAGAATCTGAGACCTTGCATTTTAAGGTTGAAAATTGGAGCCTTACTTATCCATTTTGGATGGAAGTGCTACCAACTGTTAAGTAACTGTTACTTAAATAAGGAATGCAATATGTTTTAAGAATATCACAGTCCACATTGGCTTACAGACAGTCACTTCTTTTTACGGTAAATCCTGTGAAGTGCCTTGAGCTCTTTCATATTTCATTATGACTCTCAACATATATTATAAAGCTTAACAGATAGCAAAGTGAATTCAAGCCAAGGTTTGGTTCTGATGTTCTGCTGCACTTCATAAATAGCAAAAACTTCTTTATGTTTTGAATATATATATTTTCTCTATATAATTAATTTACTGTTTATTGCATGGAATTAGATCTTATATAGGATTGCCTGAACCTATAGCCCTTTCCCTTCTCCCTTGCTCAGCAGCCCTGCCAATGTACAGCCCTCTGAGGCAGTATTCGGCATGAAGAGCACTATATAAATACAAGTTATTATTAGAATCAATAAAGTGCTTTGTTTTAACAGGACTGGCGAATCCATGTTGACCAGATGCACCAGCATAAAGAGGGAATTGAAACTTCCCTTAAAGAGACAAAGGTATTCCTTTATCATACAGTTATAATAGATATTTGACACCAGTGTAGTCCTTGAAACACAAAGCGTATCAGGTTACTGAGTTTACTGAGGGTACTGATAATGTAGCAGAGCCTATTTGAATGACTTGCCTAATAGTGGGTTCTTCTACCCCATAACCTGTGTACCTTTGTTAAATTTGCTACTAGCTACTATTGCTATTCCTATTCTTGCTCTTGTCACAGCTATAAAGACGGTAACGGTACAGGATAAACTTGAACTATCATAGTGTCACCTTGTGCCCCCTTGTTACCAGGAGTCAGGATGTATTAAGTGCATATAATATATTACATGTATATAATTCTTGATTTCTGTTAATACTACGATACAAGAACAGCAATATTTGATATTGAAACATATTAGAATGGGAGCAACCCTTTGACGTGTGAGGCATCAGGAGGATGGAGTGCAGGAGGGGGACTAGAGATGAATGCATGAGAAGAGGAAAGCTGAAAAATTAAGCTATCTTGTTTTAAATCACTGCCTCCTATTACTGCCTACCAGCCACTCCCTCCCCCACCATTACCACCTGAAAAATGTCCAACGCGGTTTAATCAGTAAGGAGCAGACTGGCATCCTTTGGAATTTGTGGGACAGATTGTGGCTTTGTATGAGAATGTCATAACTTAGCTAGGTGCCAAAATATAAATAGAGAAAACATTGTCTTCTGAATAAATTAGATAATATAGGCATACAAAACAACCACTGTGTTAATATTGTTTTCGACAGTTTTTCGAAAAATAAATCAAAGGGATTGTATAAATAGAGCCCACATCAGTGAACCTATTGGTTGTTATTGTGGCAAAATTTTGCAAAATCTGCAGCTCCATGAATTTTCCCTCATTGAGAACATGTTTTTGTTATCTGTCATGTCTGAAGCATTAAAAAGCTGAATTAAATTCTCGTTCATGACAGAGTTACTTGGACAAGCTTAAAGATGAGATTGGTCGAACATTGGAAAAGGTCAGCAGTCGAGAGAAATACATCAACAACCAGCTGGAAAATCTGATCCAGGAGTATCGTGCTGCTCAGGCCAAACTCAGCGAGGTGATTGAGTGTTCTAGAAGATGCACTGGAGTGCAGTTTTTAGCGTAAAATATTGGCAGCAATACATTGCAAACCGTGACATTTTGCTTTTCTGTAGGCCAAGGACCGATACCAGCAAGGAAGTGGAGGAGTAACCGAACGGACCAAAATTCTCTCTGAGGTAGGGATTATGGTGATTTTAGCCAAATGTTTGAATAATCCTCTCCATTTCCAACAGATTTTGTTTATTTTATAACTCTTTTGTTCTCCCTTGCCCCAAGCCATGTACTGAGTGGCCTGAAGTAAGTTGCCAACCAGCTGTTTCTCTGTGGGACGTGTTTCTGTGCCTGCCAGATAAGGACTAAACAAGTATTTTTTTTAACCGCAAAATAAAAAGCCAGATATTTTCAGCTATTTGTGTGCACCTTTTATTGTGTCAAAAAAATGAAAAAAAACTAAGGGGTAAAAAATCGATCCAATAAGTGGGTAAATTCAGTTCAAATCAGTAAAAATTGGGCTTTATTTTGCAGTATTCAAAAAAACCCTCAAGAGTTTTCTGCTCAACTTAAAGGTAATTAGAGAACACCACACCATTTTTCACAGTATCAGAGTGAAGGAGCTCTAACAGCTTGCAACAACAAATGCAAGTGAGCCTGGCAACAGGAACATGTGCTGGAGCACATTATAGGTAAGCCACTGCTGCCCAGCTAAGATGAACTAACTCAAAATAAGCCAGGGATCAAACCTGACTTCTTCCTGCCTGTAAAGTACCAAAATACGATGCACTTACATACTGAGCAATGTTGATGTCGTAAGATGCACAGCACACTGGTGATTAAACATATATCATGCATTTGGGTGCCCCCAAGATTATCTACACAATCTACAGGTTTCAGAGGTTATCATTGAGTGCATAATTTTATCCGTACGGCAATTGGCAGAATTGCAAATGTGTGCACTTTCCAGAGGCCAATAAAATCTCCAAACTCACAGTATTTACAGACATTTTGAGGGCTAAGGTGCTATACAAATGCAATATTATGCAATAGACTTTCGACAAATGATATACAATATTTCAATATTTTCTTTTTATGTTTATTCTTTGTTTGTTTAGATAAGTGAAGACCTCGAAAAAGTGAAACAGGAGATGGAAGAAAAGGGAAGCAGTATGACAGATGGAGGTGCGTAAAGGGCATCGGGAAAGTTTTTTTAAATTAAACCTACATTAACCCAGACGCAGTTGAAACACTCATTGAGGCGTTCGTCATCTAACGACTCAACGTTTCAAATGCCCTCTTCCCCGGCCTCCCCAGATCCACCATGTATAAGATCCACCTGTTCCAAAACTCCGGGGCCCGCATACTCACCCACACTATACTCCATATCCCCATCACACTAGTTCTAGCCAGGCTCCACTAGTTTATGTTCCATGCTTTCGTATGTTCTTGATACTGGATCAACGCTGTTCAAATATGACATCTGAGGTAGCGCAATTCATTGAGCTTAAGACTGAAAGATTCTAGTAAGTAAAAAGAATCCTTGCATTTGATTTAGCGCCTTATCATGTCATCAAAACATGACAAGAAGATAAGTACGTTTTAATCTTGAATCTTCAGTGGGACAAAAATGATCTGAGTTTGAATCCCTGTCGGTCCACAACAAGTCATCCTTGGAGTTGATAACATTTCAAAACGTACTCAAAGCAAAAATCCCCTACGCCAAGAGGCGGGTGTAGGGGGGAGAGAGAGAGAGAAATTAAAGAGGATTTTAACTGGCTCTGATTAGCCTTGGTAAATCCAAGGAAATGCAGAGAGGTTTAGAAATATTCTCAGCTCTCAAGCCAAAGCTGCAAGGGGTAGAGCCTGAACTTGTACAATGCAATTCACTTGCTAATTATTTATATCATCTTAAAACTGTAGTGTTTTGTTACTGACTTATTGACCAGTGGAAATCATATTTTACTATTTACCATAACATGCTCTATTAGGTCATCCCTTAGCCTAGTGGAAAAAAACTAATTTCTCATGTCTTTCCTCATAACCCCTCATCCTCAACAACATCCAAGTCAATCTATAGTGCACCTTTTTCATTGCTTTTACCCCAATAATTGAGTGCCCAAATGTACTGTGAGTGATGATTAAATATCTAGGCTAACTATAGGCTAAACTGGCATGTACTACTTTATTGATTATTATATTTTCAGCTCCTTTGGTCAAAATCAAGCAGGCATTAACAAAACTCAAGCAAGAAATAACTCAAATGGATATCCGGATTGGAGTGGTAGAACATACTTTGCTACAGGCCAAACTCAAAGAGAAATCAAACATGACCAGAGACATGCATGCCACCAATATTCCAGAAAGTACAATTGGTGGTTATTGATGTACAATTGTACTCTTACATCCAGTTTATAATATATGCTGATGTTTTCTTTCCCCAATTGGAAAATTATTGAACTCTTTATGTTGTGGCTTTTCTGAGAGTTCAGAAAATAAGTGCAAGAGATGATCCTGTGCATCTAGAGTGAACCAAACGCTACTCGCCACTATTAGATCCCTGCCTACTGATCATTACAATGAATGTTTCTACATATTTGATGCTGGAATGGGGGACAGAGCTGTTTAAATCACTTGGCTGTGCCTTTTTTAAGACCTCACTTGGTACTTTGTTGATAAAGATTTTTACACTACAAAACTTATCATACAAGGTTGTACTTTAGTTCAACTATCTTGTTATAGCCCTTACACCTGTATAGTTTGGGCACTATATTTATTTTTCAATGTTACTGGTAAAGCTATCAAAGCCAAATAATGAATTATAAATAGTATTTCTAATGTTTTGTAGTAAAATATTGAAAATCTGTTGAAATGCTGAACACCCATATATTCCAACACACTGGTTGTATTAGGTGCCTTTGGTAGAAAAAACTCTGTTACATTTCTAACCAACACATGCAGAGGTACTGGCAGGCTGCTTGCCTTGATATATTGCTGCTGGTAGCAGAAGTGGCTAGTCAACTTCCTATTCAAAGTACTCAACATGTCAATGCTGGGTAAGTATCTGAGCGAGCTACAAAGCACTTGATTGGATCCATAGATGCAAATTATTTCACACTGCTCAAGCTTCGCCTTCATTGTTTATGTTTCCTCTGAATATCTTGATGGACTTATTCTCTTATAATGGTTTCCCAGATATGTTTTCTGTCTACCATACACATATTTTATATATTTTAAACACTGTTTTTATGTGAACTACTTTTACTACTCCTGTGAATTGTTCTGAGGCTTACACTAAAATTGTACAATGATGAAAAATATTTGTACACAAGATTTTGTGCATAATTTAGAAATAGATTTATGCTGTATGCAGGATCGATATATGTAAGCCTTTTTATAGTTGTATATATTCAAAGCTGTAACTTTATGTAAAATAATAATTGCATTTTATTGAAATGCTGTCCAATAAACCCTATCTTACATAAATAAAACAACATCTTGCTGTCCCACAAACATACTCCAGACTTATTTTATAATAACAATAGGATATAAGCCGTTTGGGGGAAAATATAGCAGTCAAGATAAGAAAACACTCACTGTGAAATTGGTGCAATTTTTGGAAATATTCCAGGTCATCATCCCTTTTCCAAATGAGTCATTGAATCAAGGTCCCTACATTAACATCATGAACCCATAACCTGACAGTAAGCACCTAACTCCATTGTTAGGTACTAATTGAGGTGTAGACTGGCTGCCCTGATAGTGGACTTTAAATGCGCATTGACTCTGGAAGATTTTCACCTAGTTTCCTAGTGAATATAATGGTCTCATTTAAATTAGCCAATTGCCTTTCATGTCCTCCTGATGTGAAAGGTGCTATACAAATATAATTTTGTATTGTATATTAAATAGAGCAGTATTGGATCTTGTACTATTACTATTTCTACATATTGTGTAGTTACTGAGGGCAGTACCTATCTCAGGATATTGCTGATGATAGACCTGCCAGCCTGGCTCATCGAAGGGTGTGGAGGAGCAGACCAATCAGTAGAGCTGGGATTTCTTCCACTTGGCTCTTGTTAACTGCAAACCAAAGCCTTTATGGGTCGGGTGGTCCTGGCTTGACAAGCAGCAGGATGTTTGCCAGACAGTGCTTTCATTGGCAGTTAGCTGTTAAACTCTAGCACTATCCCAAAGAATACTCTGGGGTCACCATTCCTTGGCTCTAGCCAACCTGTGACTAATACTCTGGAACTAGGTAAGAAGGGTGTATCTCCCTGAAGAGAGTGTGTGCATTCCATTGCAGACAAGGAAATGTCTATGTATAGGTGGCATACATGGAATTTTAACTCTGGTTTAGATACCCTTATGCATGATGATGGCTTTCTGTATGTGTCAGACACCTGGCTACCAAAAATAAAATGACTTATGGGCAGTTTCACAGAAAAGTAAATGCATGCTAACAATTCTATTTGGTCCAATATCTACAAATGAAGTATAATTTTAAAATGTATATTCTGTAGTTTTTATTATTACCTTAAAATAACTTCAGATAACACAATTTGAAAGCTACATTTTTCTTCATCCAAAAGAAAAACAAAATATATATATAAAGCATTTTACATGTTATGAATGTTATTTAAAGGTCTTCACAGAGATAGGGAGAACCAAGCAAGGAGGTTGGAAGGAGAATTTAAGCTTGTGGACCAACTGCACACATGTTTTAACAGGTTTTGAACAAGGGGCGATAAGAAAGGTAAAGGGATTTGGGAACAGAGTTCGGGAGAGCAGGGACAAAATGACTGAAGATTTGGCAACTAATCATAGAATGAACAGAGTCAAGAAGAAAGCGTTGGACCAGAAGTGGAAGAACAGAGGGCAAGGTTAGGGGAATGGGGCTGGAGTTGTAAGGCAATGGAGGGATTTGAAAGTCAGGTGAGGATGTTGAAGTCAATATAATTTAGATTGATATATAATTTAGATTTCTGGTCAGGAGGAAGTCTCAAACTGCTTGACATCTACCGGCTGGGCACCTCAACTGGGGGTGGGAGCTGAAATGGGTGAAGGAGAAAAGATGACTGAAAGCGCGGTCAGAGATTTTGGGGTACTGGGAGCCAGTTGAGCCTGGCGAAAATTGGGACATTCATTAACGGCGAATAGTAACAACAATAACCCTTGCATTTGTCTTCCCTAAAACCGTAACAAGAACCAATGAAGGCAAAGGGAGGCAGTGAGTACAGCACTGGGGTGTTAAGTGCATAAATCAACAGCATAGCCGCAAGTTTTCTGTTAAGTATGAATTTGAGAAGATCACAGTGGTAAGGTGCTGAGGACACCAGTGGTTGCTTGTCAGCCCTGGTTACCAGTCAGCCCCTGGTTACCTGTCAGCCCCGGTTACTTGTCACCCCCCTGGTTACCTGTGATGTCAGCCTCCTGGTTACCCGTCAAACCCCCGGTTGCCTGTTAGCCCCTGGTTGCCTATCAGCCCTGGTTAGCTGTCACCTGGTTACCTGTCAGCCCTGGTTAGCTGTCACCCCCTGGCTACCTGTCAGCTCCTGGTACCTGTCAGCCCTGGTTAGCTGTCAGCCCCTGGTTACCTGTCAGCCCCCGGTTACTTGTCACCCCCCCCGGTTACCTGTCAGCCCCTGGTTAGCTGTCACCCCCCTGGCTACCTGTCAGCTCCTGGTTACCTGTCACACCCCTGGTTGCCTGTCACCCCGCTGGTTACCTGTCAGCCCCTGGTTAGCTGTCAGCCCTGGTTACTTGTCACCCCCCTGGTTACCTGTGATGTCAGCCTCCTGGTTACCCGTCAAACCCCCGGTTGCCTGTTAGCCCCTGGTTGCCTATCAGCCCTGGTTACCTAGTTAGCTGTCAGCTCCTGGTTACCTGTCATCCAGCTGGTTACCTGTCAGCCCCCGGTTACTTGTCACCCCCCCCGGTTGTTACCTGTCACACCCCTGGTTGCCTGTCACCCCGCTGGTTACCTGTCACCCCCCTGGTTACCTGTCAGCTCCTGGTTACCTGTCAGCCCCTGGTTAGCTGTCACCCCCCTGGCTACCTGTCAGCTCCTGGTTACCTGTCACCCCCTGGTTAGCTGTCACCCCCCTGGTTACCTGTCAGCCCCTGGTTACCTGTCAGCCCCTGGTTAGCTGTCACCCCCCTGGCTACCTGTCAGCTCCTGGCTACCTGTCAGCCCCTGGTTAGCTGTCACCCCCCTGGTTACCTGTCAGGCCCCTGGTTACCTGTGGTTACCTGCGGGGGGTGGGGGGTGGTTGTCAGGGTGGAACGCGGGGATGCTGTTGCTATGGTTCCTGCTCTGGGGATGTTGTGTTTCGAGGTGAGAGCGAGGGAGAGGGAGAGGGGGGAGGGAGAGAGAGAGGGAGTTAGGGACAGAGGGAGATAGGGAGAGAGGGAGAGGGGGAGGGGCGGATTGAGAGAGGGGGAGAGGGAGGGGGGAGAGGGAGGGGGAGAGACGGAGGAGAGGAGGAAGGGCGGGAGAGGGGGGGGAGAAAGAGAGCGGGAGAGAGAGGGAGGGGAGGAGGGAGGGGAGGAGGGAGAGGGGCGGAAAGAGGGGGGGAGAGAGAGAGCGAGAGAGAGGGAGATGGAGGGAGGGGAGGATAGAGAGGGGTAGGGGAGAGAGAGAGGGGGAGGGGGAGAGAGAAGGGGGGAGGGGCGGAGGGAGAGAGTGAGAGGGAGATAGGGAGAGGGGGAGAGAGAGAGGTGGAGGGGAGGAGAGAGAGGGGGGGGGAGAGGGAGGGGCGGAGAGGGAGAGGTGGGGAGAGGATGCGAGGCGCCGTGTCCGCCCCACCATGTGGCCCCCGGGGAGAGCCCTGCCAGCCGGGCAGTGTGTCGAGCGCTGCCCGCCCCGGGCTCACACAGTGACAGCGGCTCTGATCATCATCTCCATCTCCTGCTTCCTCCTGCCCTGCCAGCCCTCAGGTACCCACATACTGCAGCCAGGGGGGTGGGGGAGAGGTGGGGGGGCAGTGTTTCATTGATTGGTTCATTGATTTACATATACGTTGTGTTACACTTAAACAGTCACTACACCTCGCAGGCAGCAAAGTGCCTTTTTTTGGAAATCCTGTGCATGCAGTTAGCTCTACATTGGTAGATTTTACTGTTTTATCCAGATTTTACTGTGTGGACAGGAGCGCCATGGGGGATAGTAACTATTATGGGACACATTAATTCCCATTTCTGCCCGCTATGAAATAGCTTGTTCATTCCAAAGGTCACAATAACTGTTTCTTTATCATAAAAGCTACGTTAAACCGCCCTGAGCACACCAAACAAAATCATTGCCATTGACTCAAATTTATATAGCGCCCCTCACGCAGGGTAGCGTCCCAGAGCACTTGCCTTCCCAATAGCCCCCCTTCCCTGGTTTATTGATATTGGCTGAGGGCACTTTGGCATGTCCTCCCAAAGTGAAAGGCACTATATCAATGCAATTTGTTGTGGTTGTATGTATAATAATAATAATCCTTGCATTTGATATTGCACCTTATCATGTCATTAATACATCTCAAAGGGTTTCACAGACTACTGTTAAGTGACCACTATTAAATATACTACTGTATATTTTGTAAGCGAAATGTGGCAGCTAATTGCACACAGCAAACAAATCCACGACAAACAGTCGTGGATTGATGACCAAATTATTTTTATTTGTTGTTGTTGAGTCACTGAATCACAAGGTGTCCAATTCAATCCTCACCTCACTCAGATAATCTCAGCCTGAGTGACAGTAGGGGAAACCTGCAGTTGGCCTCAGAGTATTTCAATAAGGCAGGTAAAGTAAGGTGAGATTCCCATCGCTTTCCAGACAGATGCTGAAGCCCAGTACACATGTGTAGGTGAGGATAGGATGGGTTGTTACTGGTCTAATGCAATCTGAGTGTGTAGAACCATCCCAATGGGTTGAAGAAGACACCAGAAAAGATAAATCTGTGGTGAAAATTGGCGAGTAAGAGAAAAAACACGATAGAAGTGAAACTTCAAGTCACTGGCCTTGCATGAGGAAAATGATTGTAGAAACCCTTTGGTGAATCAGATCCATTCACAATACCACACATCCGGTTATTATTTCTGCCTAGTTCTAAGTACTATTTCCGAGCTCTTTATCAGACCACAATATAATCCTGAAGCAGTCCTTTAGGAACGCTTGAAGAAAAAAATCCACACACAAACAAATGATGTAAAGGAATTATAAATCATAATTACATTCAACTTTTCCGAAGGGAAGTGCCTTTGGAAATCATCTGGTGCATGGAGTTGTAAACATGATTTTTTCTATCAGTATTTGTAGCCATTGCTCTGTACTGTCTGGCAAGCTTTCCTGCTGTTTGTCCAGCTAGTGCCACCCTATTTGTTAGAGCTTTGGCTTGCATGATTAACAGGAGCTGAGTAAGAGGAATCTTTGCTCCTGATAGTCTCCCCTTCAAAGTCTGGTCCATGAGCCAGTCTGGCTGGTCTGTCATCAACACTGCCTGGAGTACTGCAGATCTCCC